ACTAAATGCAGCCCAAACCATCACCGATCCTCCCCCTGCTTGCCTTCTCTTGGTCCTTCGGGGAGGACGGCGTAAGTCCCTCCAATATTGCTGAAAGCCGTCGGGCCCATCGAGGTTCCATTTCTTCTCATCAGAGAAGATAATGGAATCCCAATAGGACCGCGTCTTTCAGCAACAGCTTCTCCGTTGCCCACGTGAAGCGTGCGGCCATGTCTTCCGGGTTTAGCGGAAGCGTGTTGACCATTTTCGTGAAGACCAGCCAGTCGACCCACAAGAAGACACGCTGGATGGTCCTCACGTGCACGCCGAGGCCCAACTCGGCTTTCAACTGCGCCGCCGAGTGCTCGCCACGCGATGCAGTGCGCACAAGACGCCTGACCTCGCGGTCTGTCAGTGCTGGGGGCGCTCCGCTTCTTTTGGGGGGCTTCGCGGCCTTGCGTGCCTTGGGTGGAGGCTTGGGAGCCAGTGCACGGCAGATGGTGTCGGGGCTGTGGCCGAGGCTGCGCGCGATGGCGCGCTTGGAGGATCCAGCCTCAAATAGGCCGTCAATCCTCCCCCTCTCTCGCTCGGTTAATGGAGGCTTCTTGATCTTCGGCATCTTTTAGAATGAGCCATGCACTCCACGCTCATGGCAGCCACCCACAAGGTACACGCGCTGCAGCCACAAATTTTCAGCTTTAAAATATACTTGATTTTTGTAAAGTCTGTACTGTCCGATCTGATCTGTCGTAGAGCTGAAAGTGGAAAGTTGTATTGGAGGTCCCCCACAGCGGCCGAATCTGCGCTCGTTAGCGCTACTAGGCTTTTCCTACTGTCAACAACTCGCATATATCTAAATAGTATGGCCTAACTCGCAGTATTGACGGCGCTAGAGCACCGTAAGTGGGTGTCCGATGTGATCTGTCGCGCAGTGTAGGATAGCGTAACTTTCCGTATCGATTCCAGCGACTGGGCCACTCGTTCGGGTGCAAAGTTACTGTGTCGGTGATTACGGGACACGTGGACTTGAACTTATGGTGCATCCGATCCCTATAACTTATCTACTGTAAAGTAGTGCAGTCTGTACAGTACGAAAGCGTCAGCATTTCGTCCGCCCTCCCACTAGGCTCTTACTGCTGTCGAGTCAAGAGTCCTGACGACTCCAAAGTAAGTCATCCCTGGTATTGGGCCTACTCATCAAGACTGAGACCCTTGACTAATTCTTACAAAGCACGCAATATTAATACATGTTCTTGTGCAACACTCAGAATTCTCAATGACTCCTACTAAAACTAATCAGCTATCAACCTTCAGTTGGCGTAACTTTAAGCGCTCTGTGGCCGTTTGTTGATCTCCAAAAAGTTGCGATCGTCAACGGTGGAGAGAGACGCCATTCCACCGAAAACATGCTCTTCGTTGTCTTGCCTAAAGTCTAATACCATTTCTAGAAACTCAGCTACTCTTGAGCCACACGATCGGAACGAGCTCAAACACACAGGCATTTGATTCAAGTACATCTCCATCACGGTACCAGTGTTGCTCGGACGAAGTCGAATCCACTCGAATTCGCTTGAATTTATTCCCTTGAGCGCGAATTCACCCTCGACAAATGCTCTCCACACAACCACCACATCTCCTTCTAAAACATAGCGACGGAGAACAAGACGGTGCTGAATTGACGCTGAACAAGAAGCAGGATGTTTTCTCGTGTAGAGGAGCTTGATGGCCTACGAGTTCTCCGAGTTGAAAACTTCGCTCACCTGGCGATAGCACAACTGACGGTATAGATGGGTACGTTCCCATAACGAGCGACAGACTTGAATGAACTGGAATGGGAATACGGTTTTACGTCGATACTGAAAATTCTTGACACGCCCGTCAATGAACTTCACGATCGATTTGATCACTCCTTCACGCATCGATTCCACGCCTTTTGCGGTTGATACACTTCTGATACTCAAGATATTTGAGTCCATCTCCGTCAAGTATACGTCGTAAAGCTCCAAGTCATTGTGCTAGTCCAATACATGAACGAGTTAGTAGTTTCAACTAAACGTTAACTAAGTGTTTTTTTACTCGTAAAGCTGACTATACCGTCAGTGTGCAGTGAGAAGTGCACCATAGCGGTGTTGACGTCATTGGGTTTGCCCTTTTGGCGTTCATACCTCACTGCAAGAACCGTAGAAAGTCACAGAGAACGACTGTTGAAGTTGCTTGTTTTATTGTGGTGAACGCCACAACGACGTAAAATATGTACACTACAGCTAGCCGATCGCTTCAGCACTTGCCACTTGTATCTCCGCATCGTTAGTAAGCCACAAGTGAGCGTTTGTATTCATTGTCTACTGCTTTGAAGATACCGTGAACAAAACAACGGCGAGTCCAGACATACTCCAAGGGCGAGCAGAATAAAAAAATCATAAGTAAAGCTGCTTAAAGCCAATTGGGTGCCGCAATCGATCCTTGACCCGCCCACTCGGACAGCTACTCAATAGCTTTGACTGCCACCCAAAGCCATCCTAGTTGGTACCACAGCTTCTTGCAGCAATAAATCCTCCACCATCGTGCTCAATGCAATCACATCGTCTTCGTAGGAATCAATCACCAGATTTGTGAGTAGTCCAATCTCGTTTGGTGGGATAGAAGCCGAATAGTCTACTCGTTTAGGCACAATGTGGACACAGTTGTGCATGACGCAGCCTGATAATCCAAGACCGGAGTCTGGAGGGATACGCTTGAGGACGCTCCAACCAGTTTCGTCCGTGTACATGCCAGAGAACTCATCTTCCCCACGTGATACAGACCTCCAGACGATAGCCAATCGATCCTTTTCCACGTATCGCCGCATGACCATAATGCCATCCAGCCACGTATCAACCCCACGTTTTTTGCATGGACTACGGTACTTCACTGCGATCGTATCATCGATCAGCTCCATCCTCTGGTAGGAATGATACCGATTCTTACTATACCGCCGCTTAACTGCATACCACATCGCAGTTGCCGCCTTCTCGAAGTGGAATGGTATAATATTCACGTCCTGTAGCTCAGCGTACAGTTCGTCCTGGTCCGTAGATCCCTTCCTCGTCCTTACGTAAGCTTTCCTTAGCGAGTCATCCACCGACATTTCCATCCCATTTTGATGGAAAATGCCATCTGTCTGTGCATATAGACCGTCTAGTTCACTCAAGAAGAGGTCATACATACTGGTAGAGTCTTCACTACCCAGACATAGTCTCTTCTTGGTCGAACTGGTCCTGGAATCTGTAAAAACCGACACATTTGGCCTCTTATGCAGCACTTGTTCCAGTCTCTGAGCCAGTTGAATCTGTCCTTGTAACACTGTCTTGAGTCTTCTATTCTCTGCTTCAGCTTCGTCTCGATTTTGAGCTTGTCGCTGGGCGATTCGCTGCCAAACGCGAGCACTGGCTCCATTTCCTCCCTCTTTTCTCGGATTTGACCCCGTTAAGCTCAAATTCGAGCGTTTTCCGAGATGTAGCACTCTTAATTCTCTCTCTAGCTCCACGACTTTCTTTCGGAGGTAAGCCAGTTCGTTCTGGAGACGCTCTCGTGATGGGTTTCTCATCTTTCCAGTGTTGGGATCGGTGACCTTCTTCCGACCTGCTTTTCTCCCTTGGTTCTGCTGTTTTGGAGACGAGTCTCGAGCTACAATGTCTTGAGATATTGCAGAATCTTGAACAGGAAGGTCGGAGCCTTCAGAGGCGTCTAAGGCCTTCAATAGCTCCGCCACTTCATCGGGTGTTAATCCAACAGATTCGTCAATGTTTGGTGGTATATAACTCGGGCTACAGGCGGCGCATTCAAGCGTGGAGGGGCTTGAAATGCTTGCAATCGTGTTGTCTATATCATCCACCTTCGATGAAGCTTGTTGGACGTCTACATCGTCCAAAACAGGCGTCCACGTCGACGCATTCAGCTGTTCGTATGCGTCTTCGTGCTCCATGTTCGAAAGTGCCAAATGTACCAAATTCTTGGTTCACGTAATTTTGGCGAATCAAAAGTGTGTTGAAGTTTTGAGATCTGATTACAATGTATGTAGCCATGTTTGAAACTGCAAAAAAAAAATATTCGGGCATATATATCTGGAGTAGTGCATGTTCCACAAATAGCACCGAAATGTCCACATCGTCCATATAAGTGAATGTCTACACAGTAAAGAAGTGTGTGCACGTCTTCAGTGGAATTCAGAGCACAGCAACAGAAATAATGATAGCGCCGAGCAGCGTCCGTGGCAACATCACAAGTAAACCAACATCCTTAATTTCTAAATCACTACGAAGTATTCGGACCGACATTAGTGGAGGAAAGATGAATCAAATTGTACCAACGGGGCCAACAGTTGAAGAACTGAAGCTCGAGAGCAAACGAATACTCGGTCGAAGACAAGATGGGGCGCTTTCTTTCGGACAGGCATTTGGTGTTTTTGGTGCTCCGATGTTATTTATCCTGCTTGTTTGCATCTGCTGGACGTCGTGGCTTGTTTTCTTGGCACTAATGCCAAACAAAGCAGCGAATCTACTCATGGACACAAGTTCGTATGATAATGGGCAGTTTTGGTTATTCAACGATGCGAACCCGCAGATGGTCCTTCTTGGAGCTGTCGGGTTAATTATTGTGGATATTTGCTATATGATTGTGACGCTAAGGATGCTCTTTTGGAGGGATAAACTATTTGGCTCTGCTTATCAGAGTTACCCAGCCAATCTCGACGTATCTTTCTCATGGATGAGATCGGATGGTCCGCTGTTCAAGCGCATTCGGCATTTATGGGACGAGCTTACTGCATTTGAAGGAAAAAATCGAAAGAAATGGGTAAGTACAAATATTTTTAATATATTACGTAGATGTCTAATTTTTTTTCGTAATTTATGCAGAACGCATTTCTAAAGCTTTTTGACTTGGCGATGGAGACAGCCATGCTACGTCAATTACTGCGGAGTGGAAGCCCTGCTAGTCTTACGTACGGTTTTGCTGGATTCCTATCTCTAAACGCGTTATCCTGCGTCACAAACGTCTTAACGGGTCGATTTACAGCATTAACCGAGATCTTCATCGACTCAGTGTACGTGCGTACTTTTGCTGTTAATGGTTTACTACTAAACTCTTCTCTGTCCGTCAGATTCGACTTATCCGCAGCCGTCCTGTTTCCAATTGTGACGCTAGTCTACTGCTACTACAACTTCGATTTCGATCGAGAAGTCTATCTCACATACTTGGAAAAGCTCCCACCCGGAAGTTTTGAGCACCTTGCTCGTTCGTTCGCTGACCAGTCAAAAATCGCCTTGTTTCGCGTAAATTTTGACTCTCTTCGCATCGATTCGCTACTGGATTTCGCACTCCGAATCAGTATGAACTTGACATTTTGCTATCGCTTTGAACGCCTCTTGCAGGCAATTGTGTGGATACGACATCGCGGATTGATTATCCAAAGACTAAAACGACCAAAAATTACGCCAGTAACACAAAATTCTGTACCCACAGGTATCTCCGCCGTTTTTGTGGTAATTTGTTTCACAGTATTCTTGGCGACACACAAAGCCATTGCAGACTCAAAAGCATTGTGTGCGCCACATGCTGAGTGTGTTGTGTATGCTCATCGATGGGAAACCAGTGACGAGCATTGTCCGTGCCTCATCCTGATAGATGTGGATACCGCGCCTAAGACGTACCAGGAGTGGATTAATCCCATAGACGCGTATGAAAAAGTGGAAACTCTCGCATATGCCGGTTTACTGACATCACTTCAAGTGATCAACCGACAACTTCTCGAGTGGCCGGATGAATTGCGCAAGTGTCGTAACCTGAAAGTCATGTACGTAATAATGCGTTAATGCGATTCTTTTAGTGTCTAAATGCTGTGCATTGTTAAATTTCAACCAGCCAACTGATGTATACGAGTACAGAGCACATTCCATCATGGACAACAGAGCTAAAAAGTCTTGAAACAATGTACGTATGTGTGTGTGTGCAGTTCTGGATGATGAAATGCTAACTTTTCGGATTTATTTTCAACTCAGTCAAGTTGAAGGAAAATACGGCAGTCCAAACCTGCTTGATCTTCCTGACGATCTTTTTGGCGACTTACCTCAATTATCGATGATTCACCTTGGTCTTCACGAGAATATCGACCATATTCCGCCGCTTATAGGTGTTCCGAATCTACGAAGCTTATCTCTCGCTTGGATTACTCGACTCCACACTTTACCAAGCTTTAAACACGTACCCAAGCTGGGTCGACTTATTCTATCCCTCTTGCCAAGTATGGAGCAGATCCCTGATATGGCTCCGCTGCAAAATCTCGTTGAATTTGTCGTGCTTCGACCAAACCACATGTGCTGCAATGGCTTCCTCGGGACGTGTAACTTGAGTCATATTTCATGCCAGAGTTACCCGTCGTCTCGAACACCAGCAGCGTCATGTATAATGAACGACACAGATCCGCACTTCCCTGTTACTCCGTATCTGGGAAATAACGGAACGCAAACAGCCTTTGAGAAATTTGCGCCGCTAATCTGCCAGTCATCACCATTCGATTCGCCAGACTATCTCAGCTTTCCTACCAAAGAGACAATAGAAATGTGTGACGGTAAGCCATATCGACAGTGCTTTCTGCCAGGTAACAGAACTGGACTGTGTTACAACACGCGGTTTCAAGTGTTATCGTGTCTCGCCGATGATAATTATGTTGCGTTACGACGGCTTCAGATTCAGAAAGAGGTTGGTCCGAGATGTGATCCAGTTGAAGAGAAATGGCTCGGATGTAGGGGATAGCACATCGTAATTTAAAAGTACTTCGTAATAGTCGCTACTCAAAATGATCTTAACTACTGTACAGTTGGCTTTGCATGCCGGTTTGTTGTAAGTCATACTACCCACTTCCTTCAAGTCAAATGTTTTAATTATGGAAGTTCCGATCAAAGTGTCTATCAATGCGTCGGTGGCTGGTAGTAAACTAACAAGTTATACCGCTATGGAATTTCGTGCCAAACGGAAAAAGATGGAACTACAGACGGAATTCGTAAATCTAATTCAACACTGGACAGAGCTATTACCAGAAGGAATGCCGTCAACAGGGTTTCCAAATGAGTTTGGGTGCTCACGAATTGATGCATGGCGATTACAATTTGTAATCGTCAGCGTTCTGGATGAGTCATGGTGACGTTTCAAAAATGAAGACCTCTACCAGTGTTCAGTACTTTACGTGACTCTGACGCAAAACGCACACCATGCAAAAAGTGGTATAATTCAGCGCAAGAGGTGGTAACTACAGGCAGTTGGGTGGTCGTATAAGTAAAGAGTACGGTGCAACCTGCAATACTGAAGCAAGCGCATCTCACCGTGTTAATACATGAATGAACACTAATTAACGACTTTAAGCGCTAGAATGAAAATCCAGCGTTGTTAAAACAAAAGTTTCAGCCTTTTGCCTGAGACAGTCATTCTGAGCAGGAAAACCATAGGTCTAGGTTTATCCGTTGCTAACGTCCACGTTTATTGGCCGTTATTATCACATCACTTGGATTCACCCTCACAGAGCTTCATTCCCATCGGCACATCTCTTCCTCGCTTCACCACGCGCACTACTCTCCTCGTTTCACGGTGCAACTCGGCTCAGCATCTCCGCCGCCGTCTTGCGCGTATTTCCATCCCTTATTCGTCCCCTTCCGCATTGTATAAGCCGATATATCGAGCATGGAAGGAGACCCACCAGTGATACCCACGGACTTTCTCCAAGACCTTGATTTGTGGCTCACACAGACCGGTACAGCGTCCTCAACCTCAAACAGACATAGCTTGGATGTAGGCGCAGCCAACGCCGCAATTGCGAGTCTCGAGGCTGCATTATTGACGCCTACAGCCCCAGTCACTGACACAGACAAGTCCGACACAGATTCCAGCTTTGTGGCAGCCTTAACGGACGATACGCTGCCCTGGATGGCTCTACCAGCAGCTTCCTCAGTGGACAGAGGATCGATGACGTTACCACCGCCAGCTCAGAGACCTCCGACGCCTCAAAGAGCTACAAAAACGCCTGGAACAAAACCTACACGGACGAGAAAAGGGAGGCCTCCTGCTGCCATTAAGGTGACAGAAGCATCGCCCTTGGAGCCACCGAAAAAGAAAGGAAAGACCAATAAAAGCACGAGTCAGAGACAGAAGGAGGAGCTCGCGTATTTGCGTGAGAAGGCAGAGCAGCTTGAGGCCGAACTGGAGACATTAAAGCAGCATAATCGACAGGAAATGGAGAGACAACAGAGAGAAGAGGAACACAAGCAAGAAGTGCAATTCGGAGACATGTGCACAGCGATGATAGCGCCGAATTTGGATGAATTCGAAGCCCCTACACAGCCTGAAGTCTCTCTATGGGAACGGATCGCCAAACGCCAGAGAGAGGAGAAGGCGAAAGCAGAAGTGGAGAACGTCAAGCTTCGTGAAATGGTACAGAGTCAAATGCGTCTAGTCAAGAGCTTTGAAAGGCTGTTACGGAAACGAAAGGTACGTTTACGAGTGTATTTAAGGGTCTGTAAGTGAACTTACCATTGCTATGTGTAGATTTGGGACCAGCTACAAGAGAACAGCAATCAGGAAAGAGGAGAAGGTCGGAATGAAGAAGAAATGTTTGAGACTATGCTTCGCGATGTGGACTCCAGATATCCCCACGTGGATGCTGTATTAGAAGAGCATGGTTTAGGTGAATCCGACCCCGCCGTGGACATTAGAGACGACGCCAACATGAAGTACTCACCTGACGACGGCATGTATCTTGAATACAAGGAGAAGAAGTACATGCCTTTCGACTATAAAGTCATGGATGGCGTCGTGTGGCGGTCGTTTGGAGAGGGAAAACTCAAGCTGGAAGACACTCAAGTGACAATTCTCAAGAACGTGGACAACGTCTTCTACTCCAGAGCAATTATGCCGTTAATCCGTAAAGGTTCGAGCTCCAACGAGAAGGAACCAGGGACTTCTAGTACCTTGTCAGTCATGAAACGATATGTAGAAGGCAACCGCGTGGTGTATCTCTGGTACGCCACCTCAAGGGTGAAGCGCCCGGAGAATGAAGAATTATCTCCTGTGGTTTTGGTCCAAAAAGGGTACGCGGTTTTGTCGTCTGCCACGCTCCCGGATGGGTCTCGAGGCTGCGTTATTCGCAGCTATACGAGCTCTGTGCCTACATTCCCAAGTAAACCATCAGAGGAGGATTCGGAACAACAACAAGCTCAATATCGGGAAGTAGGACTACTTACCGAAATGGTCTTTGCAGCGTATCAGCAGAGTCGCCAGAGTATCAACCAGACACTTGAGAACCTCGTATTGGACGAAATGATGGCCAAAAATGCAGCACCGACTCCTGCAACGTCAACAGCAGAGACCGATTTCAGCGTGTAAACATCGATAAAAGTCTCTACGTTCTTCCTCGTCCGAGTTAACATCAGTGGAGGCATCTAATTCGAGGAGACAGAACGTCCAAGTGCTATCCTGCTTGTACAAATGCGAGAAAGTTTCAGAAAATGCAGCTCCAAGGCTAGGCACTACATGTACCCACTAAGCAGGATGAGTATTGATCGCCGCAGACGAAGCAATGCTGGCGTTGTGCCGCGCTTTCTCTTCTTGCGGGGTGGCTCATAATCATCGCATTTATGAAGAAGAGACTACGCTCAAACTGTGCCGGTGTTCCGCATGGTCTTCCAAGGCCAGGGCCTAATGAAGCAAGCAAATGCTTACGCCAAATTGCGAAATTCTGAGCGACGATGCCACAACCTTGGTACTTATTCCCACCGAAAAAGAGCAAGGTCGGATCTCAAAAGCTCCGCTTTTTGAAGCCCATGGACACAATCGGACTGGTATGCCGCAACCATCTTGGCGTCATCGAGTAGGTAAAGCCTTCAAAGTTTCTGGTCCGCAAAGCTCGCGCTCGTTCTTGGAATTTTTGCTGATGGATTCGCCAGCAAGACAAAGATACACTACATGTACGCTCCACTAGTTTATATGCAAGTACAATCAACAGTATTGGAGACTCGACTACTCGAGTCGACTTCTGCCGACGCGGAGATTGTCTTCCTTCCGACAAAATTCTAGCTTGGTAGCGCGATCAATAATGACCCTAACTGAGTGGGTGCATGGAATCAAACGGCGACGACTTTCATCAAAATGATGTCGCCAGCATAAGTGTTGTACGAAAACCTACCAAGGATTGAATCCTACTTTTCCTATCTTTCAATTGTCTGCTTCAGAAAGTTAGTTGGACAAGCACTTACGACGACATTTTAGTTAGCTAGGACTCCCCAGTCGAATGCCGATTACTCGCGCTAGTACTGCGAGAGCACCCCCTGCAGTCATGAATACATGCAGAGAGCGGCATGGTTTGATTTGGGTGGAGATGGTCGATTTTCTTCTGGAACGTGACGACGGCAAAACTAGTAAATGCTGGTTACGTATGGGAGTACCCTCTCAACGATGCTGCATGTACGCATTGTGAGCCCCGAATACAAGCTGCAAACGTCGACGTACCGGTACAGTACTCATCAAATTCTCTGGTACCGTACATTCTCAGTGAATTACACCGGACCAACAATTCCGAGTCCATTTGCTGCTACACAGCAACCATGAATCGAGTCCCACAAAATCAGTTTTGAAGCTGTCGTCCGGCTGCCAGTCGCGACGGATACAACGGGGCGAACAAGATGCAACTTCAGATGTGCTTCATTTGATGTGTCCGTATATCGCGCGACTGTCCCAAGCAAAATGATGATGGGGGTACCAAGATGGTCCATTATAATCGACTCGATCACGTCATGTCAGGGTGAAACCAATGCGACGCTACAACAACATAATTTAAAGGACCATTTACGCAAGTGAGTTACAGAGAAAAATGATGAACAAAATGGTCTCTACCTGCAAATACTTCGTTACTTAAAACAAACAGGCCCCAGTGCCGGCGTTGGCGATGGTGTCAAGTAAAGTGCATGTATTTTGCTCTACAGTAGTGTACAAGACCAGAGCGACGAACGTTTCCGAAGCCGGGAAGAGAAGCTCGTACTGTAACAACATGCCGGAGGTGCCTCTGGCTGACCAGCGCGTTGATGGCCACTGCCCCTCTGAGCGTGGGGAACGGGGACCCTCTAAGCCGATTTGCCGCTCGTACTGTACTGGAGACAAACGATCCTGCACGCAGCATGAAGACGGCGGCATGCCGCCCTCCAGCTGGACTGTGGCAATTGCCGCCGCTATTAGCACATGTACTGATCAACTTGGCGACTGCATCACGCTGCTGCTGTTGCCTTGGAACAAAGGTTTCGCGTTTCTGTGCAGCTTCACCTTCTGCTGATGCTGGCATGGAGCATTTCTATAAAAGAAATCTATGAAGCCGTCCGTCAGACACGGTTGAGCGCTGAACAACCGATACCGTACATGTGCTGCATGGTCAGCTGAGACCAGTCACATTTCAATGAAGAGGTTTGGCACCACCACGAACACATGCTCTCCAACGGAGATGGAGGCTCCATCTCCTCGCCACTCCTTTTCAAAACCAATATTGATACATGGACTTAACTATTTGAATCGTGCTCGACTTGTTTGATCGAATCTACACTACTGTACTGCATTGTGACATCGCGCATGTATCCACATTTGCCGCAGCTGGTTTGCAAGTGTGCTAAAAAAAATGTAAGTGGGTATTTAAGAAATAGCAATTAGGTAAAGATTAATCCCGTAACTCAGAGTTTTTTTTTTTTGCCTCCACTTCACTGTGAATGGCGGCCAAAAACTATTCAAGTTTTGTTTGTGGCACGCTCAAACGCCCCTTTCGCAATCATGTGAGTCTCTGCCAGATGTGGGATAGCCCCAGCGCAGATTTTCGATCATTTTTAGTGTGCTGTCAAAATGAGATCGTGAACTTCTGGAGGGGTGGAGGAAGCCAAACGGGCTGAAAAGCGGTGGTGGCGATGAATCTGCGACTCGCTAATCGACTCCACGTAGCAGGAAGTTCACGACTGTCCACTATTATAATAGTGTTAAATTCTCGATAACTCCTCTCTTTGGTAGTTCGTACGACACAAAGGTAATGGTAATTGTGGTATTTTTTTGTTTGCATGTATACACCTACGTCTCCATCGACAAAGTGATCCATTAATTAATTTCAGCTGCGTGTTCAGCATTTGTCCGATGCTTTAAAGAACTCTCGATTCAAAACACGCCGATGCAAGCGATAATCGATTGTCGACTAGCCAGGGCATGCTAGCTTGAGCTGTTGCTTGTTGTTAGAGCTTGCCATTGTTACACATAGCAGTGCAGTTAACATTCTTGTCCAAGCCGGACGGATCATCACAACCGAACTGCAGCCTTGCAACAATCTTCAACGATGGGGGTGAGTCCGCCTCGCAATCGGGTTTTCGGACACGTCGATGTCCAGCATCCGACCATCTCGTGCTTAGGTTTCGCGTCCTTTCTCCCGGACAACCCCAACATGTGCTGCCCACGATTTCTCGGAGCCCTGCGCCAGTCACCTGTAAACCTGCCAGGCTGGATGCCAAGAGGGATCACCACAGTCTGCAATTCGCCTCGCTTCACCCAACCGGCAGAATCCAAAAACCAGAAAATGACCACGACGTTGTCGAGCGACAACAACGACCTGGTCTCGCTATTCGCCCATGACCAACACAACCTCACTCCCCGTTTCGCTTCTCGCCTCGACAACGTACTCACAGCTCGCTCCGAAGCCATGAGTCCTTCAAGCACCGAGCTGTCGGACGATTCGACGCTTACCAACGACGATCTAGTCGTTCTCAGCGACCTTTTTGGCTTCACAAATTCGGGATCAACCTCCTCCACTACTAAACCGAAACGAGCCACTCCCGCTCGTCCTCGAAGCCGCAAACGTCCTCGCAAGACCAAAAACGTTACGGAAGACGGCACGGTTCTTCCCAAGTCGCAGCAACAACGCCAGAAGCTCGAGATCGAGTACTTGAAGAGACAAGTCGTCGAGTTGCAAGCTACGATCGAAGATCTGCAATTGCGAAAGCTCGAGAGAGTACGTCGGGAGCAAAGGCGAGAGGAAATCAAGATTGAACGAAACAACGAGTGGGCGGCCGTCTCGATGAGTCAAATCTCCACTGTGCAGCAACTCGAGGAGCAGAACGAGAAGCTGCGATGCCAAGTGGCAACGCACCTCGGACAGCTCCAGCAGCTCGAGCAACTGGCTAGAACCCGTTACCTGGCGAACGCTATGCCCGAACCGATACCACACCCTACCTCGACCTACTACTCCTCATCTTGCTAACGAGAACATTTTCATTTAACGCCAATAGAGTCAGATTTACTTATCCATTTTTACGTGCACGGTTCGATGTTGGTTGGTGACTCTTTTTCACGTATTGATGCTCTACCGAGAACAATGGCAAGAGCTTAGACAGCCCTAGAAGACATCTCACACACATGCTCGTGGAGTCGACTGGTTCTTCAGTTTGTAGAGATCTTGTAATACTGGTGAGACCAGGCATGTTAACACCTGATGTGTCCTCTAGGCCACTACTGTTGCTTACATTTGCTTACATTTGTCAAAATGACGTAGCATGAACACCTTACTCACAAAGTGTTCACGATACATGATATTTAGAGCAACCGTTCCTATCAAGCGACTATTTGCGTTGGAGCCTCTTAGAAAATGGTGAAGCCGTGGCCTTCGAGATCGACGACGAAGAAGGACGTACCCAGCACAATAACGACTCGAATTGGCACTCGAGCGTTGAGGACGTCGGGTATTGGAACGGATCTCCTAGCAGCGCTACGTCGGAGGATCACACGGAGGCCCAAACCTCCTGCGATCACTGCAGAGCCTGAACACGAGATCTCAGCGCCTCCAGTCGTGGCTCAAATAGCACCAAAGCCTTCGGTTTCGACTATTAACGTGAGCCAACCAGTGGCGCCCAAGCCTCCGCCAGGATCTGATGAAGAAAGTGAAGAATCGGGCGATGACGATGAAGTGGAACTAACTGGAGTCGAAGGCGCTAAGAAATCGGAGAAGAAGAAGAGTCAACGACCGAGTCTCGGCTTGAATCGATGGGTGCCTAAGTTGCTGAATCCCGTGGAGAAACATCGTGATCGTGTGCACCATAAGAAGAAGAAGTTCGTTTTTTCAGCTCATAAACGTCCTCCAGTCATATTCACCGACTCGAGACGGCCAGTTGTCGAGCTGTTAGCTCGAATTCTAGAATTTCTAGACCCTTTCGAACCCGCACGAGTCATTGCGTACGTCAACAAGTCGACGGCTGTAAGTGTCAAAGCATATTATGATCTATACTGTCCTTTTCCTCGACCTCGGAGATATCTCGTCCATCGACTGTTTGAGAACCGCAACAGTATCTTTCCAACTAAAGTGATGGAACTACTGTCAATTAATGACCGAGTACGAGCCAGTGCAAGTTGCTGGTCATTCTACGAGGCATCGAACTCGCTGCCTCTAGAATTCAATGGCGCAAGAGCTGCTCAAGAGTTTCTTGCATGCTTCGAATACCCACGAACTTTCCGTGTCCACAAGCGCTTTAAGAAGACCCCGGCATTATTATTCAACGAAGCTACCGACGAGGACGTAGTGAATATCATTCAAATGATGGAGCGTGGAAATGATGATGATGATACCGACGATGATAGTGATTGTTTTGCTGCTGTCCGAGAGATCTCGCTGCGTAAAGTTAGTGAGTTGAGCCTGGCAAAGGGAAAATATTTCCAGCAGCTTTTACAGACGCTCTTCATGGATCACGTGAGCTCCCGATTAAGCACGTTAGAACTCGCCGGTAAAGGTTTATTATCTGTAGTTTTGATTAAGAGCGCTGCACTTAACTGTTCGTATGGGGTGAAACAGAGCTGAACCTTGAGGATCTGCAATTCAAACAACTCGCTGGGCTATGGCGAGGGGCACGATTCCCAAGTCTACAGCGTCTGAGCTTGGCTAATAACGCATTCAGCAGTCGATTCGTCAGAGACTGGAGTTGGGGCTTCGAAAACGACAGTTTTATCAATCTACAAGCGATCGACGTGTCCAGTACGTGATGATTCTTCTTCTTTTTTCTTTTTTTATATGCTGACAGTTTTTTTTACTGCTTGCAGACACTGAAATGACCAACCAAGACCTCCAGCGCTTCATTGCTTGTCTATTGACAACTCCAGCACTTCAGATTCTCACTTTATCTCACAATTTGTGCTCGTTTACTACAGTCCAAAAACTGCGCGAGCTGATCGAATCGAGAGCGTTGAAGAATCTCAAAGAACTGCATTGTGTGGCTATTACAGCCGACGAAACAGCGATGGGGTATTTGCTGGAGATATTCCAGATTAATCCACCGTGCTGCCCTCACCTGCACATGCTCGATGTGAGCGGTAACCCTCTCAGTAACCCCAAAGCAGCGACTCAACTTGCCCGAGTCTTCACCTCGAACCTTCAAGTATCGTCCAAACTAACGACACTCAACATTTCAAGTACGCAAGACTGCTTCGCAGTTGTATCTTGAAGGATATTTTAACTTTTTTTTAAATTTTTTGTCTGATTAGGTATGCATCTCGGAGACGAGGGCCTTCAAATAATCGCTGCAGCAATTTTACAAGGACCAGCAATACAGATCCAGTGCTTGGACGTCTCAGACAACGCTATTCGGTCATCTATTGATACGTTCGCTCAGGCATTGACAACTGGAAAGCTTCCACATCTTCGTTCCCTGATAGTTGCAGGTTATGTCACAACAACAAAAAACTTCGAAACATTCCGTACTAATGTTTGCTTGCCATCAGATAATGATCTAGGAGCATTGGAATTCGAAGCGTTGGGCTCAGCATTGGCAACTAATTGCTGTCCTCGACTACAAGATCTTGATTTATCAGGTGACCACGCAGAATTTTTCCTTATATACGTTTAAATTATCACTAATTCTTCTCGTTTATCTAGCAAACTTCGCGCGTGGGGAGGGCATTGCACGTTTCTGCTCATTTCTGCTGTCACCCCCAGCACGATACCTTTGGTCACTGGATCTCAGCGGTACGTTCTTGATGGAAATTTTAACTCCTGGTAAACTATTTTATTAATTATTGCCATTTAGACAATGAAATCCCACATCGCGGACTGCTTCTCCTCAACGAGACGTTGGCTCGTGGCAAGTGCAAACAACTGCACGAGCTCAATTTATCTCGCAATTCCGACTTGAAGGCCATTGTGTCGTTCTTGGATCTCATTCGAGGCGATGGTTTGCCATCTCTCACTATACTACAAGTGGGTTATGCACAGAGTCGCTCGGAGGGGTACAACCTCGTCCAAGACACTCTGAAACAACGGAGCGTTCAAGAACTTGTACGTTCTCATTCCCTTTATTTTTACTTACCGATACTGTAGCTTACAATATTCCACTTGCACAGAGGCGACTCAAGCAGCTTCGTTTTGAGGATAAATTACGCGCTATTCAGCTAAGAAATGACGATAAGGCAGAGCGAGATCAAATGCGATGTTACCGACAAACTCAACGGCTTCGTGAGGTCTACGATCACCTCGAAAGCGAAGCTGATCGAGCCCTACGACGCCGTAAGCAGGTCAAGAAATCCTCCCAACTGCACATTCATCAGGAGATCAAACGCCAAAAACAAGAACGTGCCAGTGCACAGCTCGGCAGAAAACTCGACCTTAACGTACATGCAGCCTAGCAAACCTCATTATGAAGTCAAGTTACGGGCACAAAAAAAATATTCACAGTGTTAATCCTGAGTCAGCTGAGCACTCAGAGCTCGGTAGGACCAGCAAACTTCTCCGCCAGCTTGAGCAACACGTTCGTTTGCGCGGCCATCATCTCCATTTGCTTCTCTGCTGTTTGTCGTTGCTGCTCGAACCTTTCCTCTTCCAACTTGATTCGTCGCTCCTCGAGTTTGATTCGTCTCTCTTCAATCTCCAACTCCCGTTGACGCAGCACCACTCTCGGGTCATTGAGCAACTGAGTCAAGTGCTCTCCCGTTGGTGTGACCGAATTTTCTGCTCTGGTCGCAGCTTCCTCTTCGGTCATGGCACTGAAGTCCGTTCTGCCATTATTGGACAGTCTAGCTGCATCTTGCAGTGCCAACTGGGCCACGGGAGGTTGTCGTTCCGATTCTTTAGCTGCCTTACGTCTTCTGTGGTCTTCATCCGTCTACAATATCACATTACGAAATGTTATTGTACAATATTGCAATAGAAATATTACCGCTTTTCGTACCATTAACTGGCATTGGGCCAATAACTTGGCGCGCTCGGCGTTCATGGCCGGAGTTCCGGCGCCCCGCAGCTTCTGAAGCTTCTCCGAACCGTAGGCCTCAATAAGCGCCAGGTAGCGGCGCTTGCATGCCCGCCCATCGTTCGTGGACCAGGGCACGATGCGCTTGAACGCCGCAGCCACAACTTCCCACGTCTTAGCCATGTCTCCATGCGAACTGGCCCATGGTTTGTGGTCTATCACCTCACGTAGCAGCGCAATGTCCGTCACAGTCGTAAAGCGGAAGGCCTTGGCGCGCTTATCGTGGATGCGCACGCTCCATGGGACGTTGGCTGTTCCTCCGCTCGATGGCGACGGAGGGGAGTCCGGTTCATTTTCTGCCATCTTGCAAATTTCACACTTGAATTGTGGCAATATGGTAATGAGTCGTGATCCACATTGTGTGGCGTACATTTTGTGGAAGTGCCACATAGAGTGTCGCGCAACAAAGTTAGTTGGTCAGTGGTTGTGGTTGTTTACGCTTCTTTGCGATGAACTAATATGAGACAGCGTCAAACAAAATAATACTAATGAACCTAAGTACGAATCGCAATATAAGTGCAATGTTTGCGATGAACGAGTGTCTCCTCTTTTGTTCTTTCAAAAATTTTATCTCCTGTCCCAGAGATAAAATACAAAAAGCATAATTGGCTGTATAGATGTAAAATTTCACTGCGGAGCCAATGGTGTTGTCTGTTTTGTTTTTCTAATTCGACACAGATCACCTTCAAAATGCGAATTTATTCTACAAATTCGCAATAGTGACCATTTGACCGTAAGTATCAATTGGTTTTCTCCTGGACATAAGTATCATACCACAAAGACACAGTCTGATTATAATTTGTGCGTTCTGCTTCACTTGCGAGACCGTTTTGGCACCGGAAAGCCTGCCTCAAAATCTTGTAGTCCACGCGGTCAAATGTTTCTCTTTGTGCTTGGGCCAGGAAAAATTTGATGACGTGGTTGTTCTTATTTTGCCCTGAACAATTATCTGCATACACCACGAGATATTTTTCCCTGCCGGCACTAGCACTGTCGGGATGAAGTGCTGAAGCAGTGCATTGATCTGGTCGCTTCCTTTTCCACTGGCAAACTCGCCGTAGACGTAGTTCGTCTGCGTCCCGTCATTCTCAAAGAAAATGCCGAATAGATTGGCGGCAAGCAGAGAGCAGAAGTACCACTGCGACGGTGTAAAGGTGACGGAGGGGATAGTTAGATTCTGCGAGAAATCCATGACGATAAGTGCCAAGTCGCTGCCAGGTTCCTGGCATGCAACTTTATCCCGCTTGTATTCACGTCTACATAAACGTATCAATCAATTTGTTACTAGTTTCCACGCTAAAAATACCGGATAGATCAAAATGATATCTATATCCACATACTCATTCGACGTGCTGATTCTGTGTGTTGCCCCAGTTCCTCGGTTTTATCAGCGGTGGCACCCTGGCGCATTCTAGTCTGGTAGATGATGCAGACATCACACACGTTCGACTGTGACGAGCGTATCTTGATGTTAGGACAGTGAAGTGACAGCAGCTTACGGAATGTGGATCGTGTCGGCTCGTACACACAAAGTCCCCTCTCCACGAATTTGCGCATATCTTCGTACAGAACGTCTCAAGTTAACGTAGCGGGCAATAGCGTGTAATCCTCTCGGCTATAATACTTTTTCACCATTCCGTCCTTTGTCTTTTGCATACGAACCCTTACTGGCACAACCTCATCCACTTCGAAGGCAAACCATTTGAGCCATTTCACAAGCCACGCTAGATTCACCTTGGTAGCATTCTTGTTGCTCTTGTTGCCGTGATCGTTAGGGGCAATGTTGCCGTCGTGGATTGCACAGGGAGGGGCTGAACTCCGAGGCACCGAGCGAAGGTGGGGCGGCCAACACGGCCCACAAAGGGCAAGTAGCAATGAAACTTCATTCGAACACCAGTTCCACGGTGTCTCTTTGCCGTGTCCGTCTGCATCAGTACTCCCAGTAGCGTCAAAATACAGGTAGTCCTTTTGGCAAATTGCAGAATGAACATGAAAACGAGCTACAGAGCTACTAGAATCCTCAGAACTAACAACCCAACCACTGGTTCCCAGTTGCCCGAGCAAAATAAATAGATTGTCGCCGTACACAAAATTCGGAAATACGTATCCGGCATGTGTGCCACACCGAAATAAATTATTTATTGCAAAAGTATAAATATATTTTCTAAAAATATATTTTTCGGGTTCCCTGAGTCGTACCCATGCCACGACATTTCGAAGATTGAAACGCAAAAAAAGTGCTGCAGTCACTTCCGGTCTCGCAGTTGGCCACAAAATCGCGGCACAAGGTACTTGCCAGTTGGGTCTCCTGGCGGGAAGAGAATGGTGTTACTACCACGGGGAGGCAATTTGAGTGAAGGCAGAGTGCTTCTCTGTGATCCTAAAGATCGAGTCTCCTTCAGAGTGGTCAAATGGATGCTTCATCGGGCGGGACATGGGCTTGGCAGAAAGAATGTTCTTGTGCAGCTATGGCTTTTTCCATTGTTAAGCCTCCCAGAACAGGAATGTTTGACTTCAAATGCTTTCCATTTTACAACTGAGGGGTGAGAGTGAATAATATCTTGGATTGTATGCTACTTGGCATCGGGAGCTGCTTAATTTATTGCTATTGAGGGAGAATTCCAACACTTGGGATTACTACCGAGGGAATCGTCTATATACCTTGTATTAACATAACTTAGATATATTAATAATAGCGTGGGGCCCTGGGTAATTGGCTCTCACTTCTGTTTTTATCAAGCAAGCCCTTCACAAGTCCAACATACAAGCTTCTCCTCCAAGATTTTCTACCTACCACCACGTACATACATTCTCGGTCTCCTCAGCTGCCCTAATACCTCTGCAAACCCCTTACTTTACCAGGACGTTGGGCCTCAACGTCCTGTCAATTTCGAAATGTTCAAGTGATACAACCAGCACGACTTTCCCAGATGTGGGATTACGAACCATTCGTGATTCGTAGCTATGCCACGCGTTGGCCAACGACTCACAAAAAAAGAAAGCGAGCCAAGCAACCATAAAAAAATGGCTGCTGAACGTGACCATTGCGTCGCTGCTAGATCAGCATCCTGGATTTGTTTTTGCAGAACACGAAAGCGAAGTACAAATGTACTACAGCATAAAGTTCAAGTATCCGGATATTTATTTAACTTTCGATGACGACTATAGCAGCTATCAGCTTGGAGGACAGTCCGTAGGAGCTCGCAGACACAGTTGGGTCATCCTAGTAGATTCATGCCAGCAGCAGTGTTAAAACTCCCATTTACTCCCAAAAAAAACACAAGAGTGATCAGGCATGCAGATACACCCGTACAGCTTTCGAGATTAGTAACTATTGGTACTATTATTGATTAAGCGTTCGAGAGCCGTAAAGAGTGGAATTAGATGATTGACTATAGTTAGTGCTGATACAAGGAATTAAATGAGAGCTCTACTTCTTAACTCAAATTGTTGGTCACAGTGGTTCTCTCTATGTTGCAGGCCCCGTTGGGTGGGATCGCACTTTTCACCATTCGTGCTAGTATCAGATCGGAATGTTGGTTGGTTGGACCGTCATCATTCGGTAGCGTCAACATTCTCATTCTTTCAAAATGCGTTACCCCCTCAGACCTCTAAAAACTCACTTTCGCATTGATCATCCGTGTGCGTCGACTAGTGAGCGAAGCGCTATGGAGGAAAGATTCAGCAATAGCGATACACTACCAGAAAGCGTGCAGTTGTTGGACATGTTCCTTGAGGACATGAACCAGCTTGATGCGTTGCAGTCAAAAGTCATTGCTCCGAAACTGCAGAGTCGAGCTGCAGCCAGCAACAGCACGCAAGATAAACCCTTCGATCTCGATGCCATTGGACAACAGCATTTAAGCGCGCACCGGGGCACTGCTGCAAAGTTGTTGCCGAAAAAGAAACGGCACTCGTGGCGGCGACGAAAAGAGGAACTGAGCAAACTTCGGCAACAAACAGAGGCGATGGAAACTCATGTAATATTTCTACAAATGAAGAAACGAGGACAGCGGGGATATGTACTTGGCTCGAAAGATACACTGTGGGAAGTTACATCTCTAGTGGAGCAGAGGCGTTTGCAAGGGGCCCTACACGAAAACGACATTTTAAAGGGTAAAGTTCGTGCTAATAGCCAGGTTTTAGCCGCGCTGCAAGCAGCGTTATCTGCTGTCAGCTTGCAGGAGAGTTTCGCAAACGTTACATCGACTACATGTCCTCCTCGTGCCGCGATGGAGGAGTCTCAGCGACTTCCGATTAACAACAACATCTTCGGTATGCTCGAGACCCGAGTGGATCAGCGATTTCAAGAATTCCACACTATTCTGCATCAACTACAGCACTTTCCGACTGCGGTAGATACTGTTGATGTACAGATGTGCAGCGAAGAGGACGGCGCAGATCCAGTGATGGAGTACAAAAGCGTTCAAATGTTGCCGTTTGATGACGAAGCTGTGTCGAGCGCAATGTGGAGTTTTATCGACCAACATAAAATGCCGCAAGGGAAGGTCTCGCACATTGTACGACGGTCAAAGAACACGTACGTGTTCAACTCGCGCGTTGTGTTACGTCTAGATAACGATACACATCTCCTTGCCTATTCCGACTCCGTCATGAAGCGCGACACAGTTTCTGAAGGTACAGTTATGCTTGGAGAGTCTTCTACGCGATGGTCAGCTTACCGTGGAGATTCAAAACTTTGGAGTTACAATTCCAGAGAATCTCTGTGGTTTGTCATTCGGAGACATTCGCTGGGTCCAAATGGGCTACCTCAGCAGTTTGGGTGTCAGTTTAATGCGCATGTACGAAGCCGAGCAGTGAAACAAGAAACGGCGGGCACTTCATCTTCCCGTCACGCGGTGGTGATGCCGCTCTACCGCGAAATTATTGACTCGCAACGCCAATTTCTCGAGAACTGGCTATGGGATTCGATGCGTGCCTCTGCTAGCTGAACTAAGAAGGATTTTGGTCAATTTTTGATGGATGGAAGAGAGCAGCAACAAGTAGAGACTAATGAGGTTTTAGTGATGTAGAATTCAATGGACTGATGGGAACCCTCTTGAAGAGACTAATGCCAAGGATGGACAGCTTACAGTCACTTGCTTAGAGCGGTTGTTTGATCAAGTACTCCTCGCTCTCACTAATCATTTCGCGTTCTACTTCACACGCAAATCGACAGCAACCTAACTAAGAAACTTGACGTTTAAGATGCGTTCTAGTATCCTATTGGTGGTCGGTCTGTGTGTCATTGTTTCCGTTCTGCAAGCGACCGATGGTTGCATCGCACCTGGAATGGCTCCGCGTTGACAGCTCGGCTCCTACAAGGACTACAAACGCCACTCGCACAAGCACGACCATGAACACAAGAAGCACCACGGTCATAAGAAAGGCAAAGATCAGTCGCACTACCGTCGCCGCCTCGAAGACATGGACGACAAGGTCAAGGCCATCGAGTCCTCCTACTACAGCTACAGCTACGGCTACGGCAAGTACGACTATGGTCTGTTGTGCTTCAAGCTGCAGTTCAGGTCCTTAGTGTTGCTCGAGTAGATCTTAAAGCTAGGAAGCGAGTAATGTAAACACAAACTCCTATTCCTACTTATCCACTCAGCTCGCTGTGTCCTTACGCGACTTGTTCTTCCTAATGCACTAGTTCGAGACTGAGGCTAAAATGCAGGGAGAGATCAACGGCACCAACCAATAGGATCCATCTTCGGGAGTTCAATGTTCTTGGCCCTTGTCTCTCATGTGGGACGCGCTTGCATCTTCACTTTGGTCGCACGCGCTGCTGCACTGCAACGTGATAACAACGCAGCCGAATTGCAACACGCCCCCACCGACGCTTGCGTCGGAACATTCAACTGCTGCCAGATGGTATCGTGTCTGACATGCCGATATGCTGGCAGTATCTTGCAAGAGTGTCCTTTGGCAGCGCCTTGGTAAACATGTCGGCGGGGTTGTCCTTCCCGTCGACCTTGTAGATGTTCATCAGGTCGCGCTTGACCTGATCACGAATAAAGTGCCATCGAAGCTCGATGTGCCGAGTCCTGCTATTGTACGTAGGCGCCTTGGCCAATGCAATTGCAGCATTGTTGTCGACACCCAGCTTCAATCTGGTCTTGACTTCAATTACTTGGAGAACTTCGTCCAACATGTTAACAATGCCGCGGCCTTCCATTGTGGCCTCACAGGCCGCAACGTACTCGGCCTCAGCGGTTGATAGTGCAGTGACGCTCTGCCGTCGGGCCGCCCATGCCACTGCGCCTCCAGCGATGGTAAGTACGTATCCGGTGACGCTCTTGCGGGTCTCTGGGTCATTGGCCCAGTCCGCATCGCTGTGTCCACTGACCACGATCTTGTCAGCAACCTCGTCACTTGCAGAATACATGATGCCTTTGCTTGAGCTTGTTACTAGGTACCGTAAGATGCGTTTTACAGCTCCACAGTGCTTCTTGGTCGGGTTACCGACAAAACGGCTCAGGTAACCGACTGGGAAGGCAATATCGGGACGCGTACTCGTAGCTAAGTACATTAAAGATCCAATAATAGCCCGATAGTCAAGTGAAGGTGTATCACCATCTTCCGCTCCGTTATTCGGTCGGAACTTGGCGTTCGTCTCCATCGGCGTAGCACTTCCATTGGCTTCACCAAAACCGAATCTGTCAAGTACTTCTTTACAGTACTTTTCTTGATTGATCCAGATACCTTTGTCGTTCTGCACCACTTGCACCCCTAAGAACTCGTGAGCGAGACCTCCGTCTTTGAAGCCATATTTCTTGTCAAACGCAGCAAATAGAGTCGTCTTGTATGCCTCCGAGTTCGTCGCGAGAACCACATCGTCAACGTAGAGCGGGATGAGTGCCAAAATACCGTCTCTGTAGTTGACATATAAACACGGTTCAGTTTCCGTGCTTGCATAGCCCAGCGTCTTAAGGAACTTGTCGACTTCTTCGAACCACTCGGCTCCAGATTGGTGTAGCCCGTACAGTGCTTGATCTACGCGGTAGACCTTCCCCTTCGGGCAGGGAAACCCGGGGATTCCTCGCACGTACTGCTTGATCTTGAGCTTGGCGTTCAGGTAAGCCGTGTCGATGTCTCCTTGATAGAGAGTCAGGTGCAGCTTAGCGGCCACTGCCATTATCACACGGAATGTGACCATCCTAGCGACTGGAGAAAAACTGATGACATAGTCAATGCCAAATTCTTGCGAATCTCCACGACCAACGAGACGAGCGCGCCATTTCTCGATGAACCCTTCTAAATCCGTTTTAGCTCGATATCTCCACATCGTATTCAGCAAGTGTGCCTCGCTCGGCATTTCCTTCTCGTCAATCAAAACAAACACGCCCTTTGAGAACATTGCATCGACTTCTCGCCGCATGCCCTCCAGCCACTCTTCACGCTGGGGTGAGCGTACAGCGTTACTGTAGCTCTTCGGAACTTGCACGTCCTTGATGTGCCATCTCTTCTTCTTAGTGCTGGCGTCTGCAGCCTGGTCTCTCGCGCAGTAACTGGCGTAAGTGTGATAATCATCGAGTCTCTTTGGCGAATGGCGTTCTGCCTCACTGCGGAGCGTCATCCTACGTGGCCGTCCGTCCAGATCACGTTGTCGCTTTAATTCTTGTACATCTTCCAGCTCTGCCTCCAGCGGCGACCGCTGGCAGCCCGTTATTGTTTCTGGCACCATACAGATGTCCATTTGGTTGCCTGCGTCCACAGCGACGATCTCGTGTTCACTAGGAGCTTCGTCCAATGTCATTGGCTCATCCGTAGAAACACTGCCCTGCTCAGGTAATTGACCAATCGTGTATGCGTCAACAATATCGAGTGTGTTCCACGGAGGACGCCGTGTCCAGTCATCGGCGTCTGACTCATTATCTTGACTCGAGTCTTCTCCGCTTGACTCACCTTGGGTTGCGGGCCCAGGGTGCTCCACAGAAGGGGGACTGGCTGGCTCAGGCTCTCGTTCGGGTTCTTCTTCATGTCCTACCTCTTCCACTGCTTCTTGTTCTTGCTCATGCTTACTTTCAGTAGTGGCTGAGTCGTCCTCAGCCTTCTCCTCCAGTTCGTCAGCGTCGTTCGCGGCCAGCAGGTCCGGACTAGGAGCGGCCTTCTCCTCCGACTCGTCGGCTTGGCTGGACACTATCTGGTCTGCTCCGCGCGCAACCGCTCTCTTTCTCTCTTGCTTTGGAGATGCCGCGTACATAGGCATGTTGGACCATTCTTCAATACTAATATCATGTTCACAAGGCTCTTCCTCCACGTCGATATTTGGAGTCTTTTCCGGCGAAATTTCTTCTAGGTCCTCGTAGTCTGGGAGCTCAGTGTCGTTCGGGTCGGCTGCTCTGGCAGGAGGCAGGTCATTCACGATCTCCATCTCTGCACAGTCGCTCTCCTCAGTGTCTCCAACAACATCGCAGCTCTGGTCAGTGTCGATGCCGCTCTCCACGGCGGACATCCACTTGGCCACTGTGTACGTATAGCCATCGCTATACCTGTCCTTGTACACTACATCTTCGTTGATGTGAGCATGTTCAACGTGCTGCACCACGTGTTCGACAGGGAAGTACACTTCATATCCAGCTTGCCCTTCCAGCAAACCAACGAAGAATCCGAGACGACAGTTGTCGTCCATCTTGCGACGTAACGGTCCAATTGGCTTGTACACGTATGCAATCGATCCGAACTTCTTGATGCGGTGCAAGTTTGGCTTCTTGCCTCTCATCAACTGGTACGGGACGTCCTTAATTGCCTGGTGGTATGTCCTGTTCCGAATGTACACTGCCATCTTCAATGCGTGAATGGCGAGAGAGGGTGGCAAACCCGCTGCACTCATCATGGTCTTCATCATGTGGGTCAGCGTCTGGTGTGCTCGTTCACACGGGTTGAGGTGGGAGCTGTGGGGCGGGTTCGGCAGGAACTCGATCCCTTTCTTCTTATAATACAGATCCATCTTGGAGTTAACAAACTCACCTCCCCCGTCGGTAACTACCATGCGCACTTTGTCATTAGGGAACTGACGATCACCCCACTCGATATATCTCTGCATCGCTGCGTTCACTTCGGACGCACTCTTTGACTTCAGTGGGTACACGGTGGTGAACCGTGAGTATCCATCAACAATAACCAGTACAGTAGCTTGATCTGGAAACAGTAGATCCGCGAAGATAGTCTCGTTCTTTCGCGTGATCTCGCGATCCATGTTCTTCTTGGACGGTGGCTTGCGCTCCTTTCCCATGTGACAAGCTTCGCAGTCAGTGAAGCGACGCTGGCGTAGCATCATGCCGCTCACGAGATCTCTGTCGACCATCACTTTTACGAATTGCGGGCAAAGGTGGCCGAGCCTCTCGTGCCATCTTTGAAGATCTGCAGCTCCGTCGGCTGCTGAGATGTTTGCTCTTGGTGTAGCAGACACCGGATCCGACGGCAGCATGTTGCCAGCATGCTCCGACAAGAATGCGTTCTTGACAGTGAACGTGAACAACCCGTACTTGTCACGTTCCACTTCAAGTAACTTCTCACTGCCCTTCCACAGCTCGTACTTGTTGGCACCGGTCCGTCCGTGGTACTCCACCGAGTAACCTTGGTCTTCGATCTGCGAGTGGGACAACAAGTTTCGGCTGTCCGGGACATGGAAGACGTCACGAAGCGTGATGACCAGGTCCAGTTCGCCTCGTTGCAGAACCAATTGTACAGTTCCGTGCCCAATCGGGTTCGTTGCAAACACTTTCTTAAATCCTCGCACACACTCTGCGTCCTTCTCGAACGGCACGTACTTGCTGAAGTATCTGCGATCTGCGGCCACATGCACGTTGGCTGCGTTGTCGAAGCACCACTCCGACACGGTGCAGGTCGAGTCACGTGAGTTAGCACTCACATGAACCGACAGGTCCTCACTTGGTGGCTTCACTTGGGAAGGGGCGTTCGCTGTGGTAGTCGCACGCTGTCGTGCTGCATCCACATCGCCCGTTTCCACCACTGGCGCGGACTCGGTCTGCTCGCTCTTCACAATCCGTCTCGTGTACGTTGCCTGCTTGCCACCAGGAGTAGATACCTGCGTGGGAGCCTTCTTGCTGCAGTCCTTCTCCAAGTGACCAGGACGGTGACAACGGAAACAGTTCCCCTGCTGCTTGTCCAGCTTCTTTGCTGCGACAGCAGCAGTCTTCTCGGGCGTCAGCTGCTTGGCTGCACTGTTGCATCTTGTGTTCTGGTGTTGCTGAGACTTCTGCTTGTTGCCGGACTGCTGAGTCTGCGCTGGAGCAGTACTCGCGCTCGTAGCGGTGAGCTCGCGGTCGCACTTGTTGTAGCTGTCCATCCTGAGAATCTGGTCTCTCAGCTTATTCGGGGTGTCGACCTCGCTCGCTCCGATCTCGACCAAGCCACGCAGCCGGTCGAACCGAGCGTTCGACGGCAACGACCTCATCAACATGTTAATGAAGATGGGGTCTCGCACGTCGGCGTTCAGCGCTGCAAGCTGTGCCTTGATGAGGAACATGCCGTTCACATGCTGGCGCACATCCCATCCAGGCTTACACTTCGCAGTCTGAAGCTTATTGAACAAGATGATCTCTTGGTTGGTACGTGTGGCGGCATTAGTCTTGCCCTCGTACGTATTCTCCGAATACTTCCACATCTTTGTTCCGTTCGTCTTGATCATGACTTGCTGTCCTAACTCCATGGACAACGAGGCCATGATGATATGCTCGACCTTCATCTGCGCGTTGTTGAACCTCTTCTTGTCCACATCGTTCGCGCCAGGTGCCAAGGTCGCGTCTCCTTTCGCGTACTCGAGAACTTCCTTCTCCGCGAAAGAGAACTCCATCATCTTCTTATAGTACGTCCAGCACTGGCCTTGCCAGTTGACCGGGCGACCATTCTTGTTGAGTTCGACTTTAGATGCCATCGTGGAAGCTTGTTCAGGCGTTTGCCAGCTTGGGCTCATAACCCTGTTGTGCTTCAAGCTGCAGTTCAGGTCCTTAGTGTTGCTCGAGTAGATCTTAAAGCTAGGAAGCGAGTAATGTAAACACAAACTCCTATTCCTACTTATCCACTCAGCTCGCTGTGTCCTTACGCGACTTGTTCTTCCTAATGCACTAGTTCGAGACTGAGGCTAAAATGCAGGGAGAGATCAACGGCACCAACCAATAGGATCCATCTTCGGGAGTTCAATGTTCTTGGCCCTTGTCTCTCATGTGGGACGCGCTTGCAGCTTCACTTTGGTCGCACGCGCTGCTGCACTGCAACGTGATAACAACGCAGCCGAATTGCAACATGGTCTCGATGACTATGGCCACAAGCACGATGACTGCAAGCACAAGGACTACGGCTATGACGATTGTGACTACAAGGGCTATGGCGGTGGATACACTTACGGCTTTAAGAGCTATGGCGGAGATCACGATGGCTACAGCGATTACTATGGTCTCGGCAACGACTACTATCCTGACTACTATTCGCCGTACGGCAAGGGCAATGGCTATGGTGGCGACTATAACTACGGATACTACCCGGACTACTACTCGTCCTTTGGCTATCCGAGCTACAGCTATAGTTACGGCAACGGCTATGGCTATCCTAACTATGGTTACCCTAGCTACTTCGACTACGAGTCTGCCGCATCGGCTGGTGGTTCTGGTGGAGGCAAGAAGGACTCTGAAAAGGATACCAACCGTACATCAGAGAAAAAGGAAGACAAGGTAAATGCTGAGAAGAAATCGAAAGAAGATAAGTCGGACGATGCGGACAAGGCCAAGGGAAAATGAGGAAGTTCAGAACAATTTGTTAGCAGTAAAAGAGTGTAGCTCGCTCATGTTACTTAAATCGTCGAGTAGGGTAGGTAACAGGTAATACTGGAGACATTGATGTTTACTACGTTCGTTGCACTAGCTTTTGTCCAGATGGGATCTATAGCATTGGCCTGCATGCTACATTGCATCATATTGTTGCTGTAAGTTGGACAAGCCTGCTTCAGTTCATCGAAACTGAAGCCGGCCTGGTTGCTTGCTCTGACAGATTATGCCAGCACTTCTGCCACTGTGTTTACTGCCGTTTTCATCTGGTAGCTAGGCTTGGGTTTGAAGCATTCCTAAAGCATAAACAAACTTCTACCTTAAGTAATAAGGAAGAGCTGATGGTCACTTTGCACCTTTACTTTGACCCGGAATTCTGATGCTTGCCACCAAGCTTAGACCCATCGAACATGTAGAGTAACGCCCCCCAAAAATGTATTAACTAAAACAGCATCAAACGACTTGCGAATTCTGCAAAGGTCTGTTTCAATTATGTAAGTCAACGAGGACTCTCGAAAAGCGTAATCCAGTGGAATTAGTAGGGATTGGTATGGTGTTTTGTAGGCCGACAGACAAGTCTGAACATCATTCGCACCTTTCGCATCCCCGAAACTAGAACCAGAAAAAAGATAGAAAATCCAGGATCCAAATGTGTGCTGTTCTTGACTTGGACCTCTTCTGGGACAAATTCGTTGCCTAGCTTCCCTTGCATACGTCGTCGACCAATTCCAGCTCGGAGTAGCAATCCTAACAACCCATCTTGTCCACTGGGAACTCGACTACCAATAGTGGATACCCTACAGCCATTTGTTGATGGTCCGCAGAGTGAAGCTGAATTCCTCGGTTGGTAATCGCACCGATAGGCAACGCTGGTGAACAGCTTGTTTACAGTTTGTTAGCATAGTTCCCAGCGCAGTGAGAATTTTGGACAATGATCCCACCGATAGCAGGCTCTCTCCGACAACAAGCGCTAATTGTGGCGACATCGACGCTGCAGTGCAGTAAGGGCCAGCTAAACTATAATATGTCAGAAGAGGTGGCCGCATACCAACTTCTGCCTGCATTGCCTCGGTGCGAGCAATAGCAACAGACGCTAGCCACAGCAATTGCATGCCATTTCTTGTCGGATAGCAATGCGAGTCGCACGCGCACGGCAATCCGTGCAACCACTGCCCTTGACTAGCGGCTGAGCGTAAGCAACATCATGTCGTCATCAAGGTTGCGACTTTCAAAGACTGCATCATCGATGTAGCCAGTGATGAACTAGCCAATCAGCGTGAGTGAACCCTCTCCATACTCAATCCAAGTGAGAGAGAGCAGGCACACAGACTTCTCAGACGCGACGGGCATTGGAAGGCGAGCGACAAAAGCTTCCCCGCCCCCGCCGCAGCCTGCTCTAGTGCTGCCCGGTCTGAGTCGGAGAAAGCAGGGCTCTACTGGCGCGAGACCCACATCGTCTCACGACACCCACTCCATACTAGACGATCAAACAGAGGCCAATTCCGTCGCACAATCAACCCTTCGAAACGTTGACTTGACAAAATTCCCAGCTGTGAGCGTAAATGATAAAACCATATCAGCAGACATCACATATTAAATCCATGTTGCAAACTGTTGTATTTGGCTCCATCATTTCAATACGGAATTTATCGGTTTTCACAGGGTCATAAGCCGTCCGGTTTACGGTACACTCTGGGAAAGGGCGCCGCGCGTCGGTTGGTCGACATCAGTGGCCAACATCAACAGTGTTTAGAGCACGTTTGATTAGACTGGAATTGGCGGTTGGGAAACGCCCATCCTCATTCGATATTACAGTCTTGATAACAAGCCTAAACACAAGTTGCCTGTCATACCCGATATCTATTCACGAAGGGAATCAAATGTAAGGGATTGAAAATTTCCGAAAAAGCCGCGTGATTATCCTTTTCTTTGCCGTGCACTTGTCGGCATCAACATTCGCCCAACATTTGCCAACACGCTCCAAGAACAAGACCAAGACGCCTGCCTGCCTTCCTCCCCCCTTTGTTCGCCACCGCCGTCACAAGACAAGCCATGGGGTCCCTGGCAGTTCAGCAATCGCAGTCTCCGAGACGCAAGGCCTCAGTCGCCTCCGCTTCTTCACCCGACTCGTCCCCCGGTGCACGCACAATGGCCAGCTCGGCCGTGTTCCCGCCTCTCAACTTGCGCTCCACGTCCACGGGCAGCACACGCAACAGCTTCATGCCGCACGCTGCCTTCCCTCAGAGCGACGACAGCAACGACGATGAGCGCCGCAATGCCACAGCGCTCACGATCGTGGAGCTACTGGCCCGCGCCGGAACGAACGGCAACAACAAGACCACACAGCAACAGACACAGCAGGCTCCACTGCCTTCTCTCCGACCGCAGAGCAACAGCTCGACAGGCAGCTCAGCGCTGCCGTCTCTGCCTAAGATGGTGATCCCGTCGCTTCGTGGCGACCAGCGCTTCTCCTTCCCGAGCAGCTCGGGTGGATACTCCAGTCAGACCCCAACGTCTAACGGAGGGAACCCGCACGGCCTGTCGCCAGCAGCGCGACCCATGCCGATGCCCTCAGCAACTCAATCGACTAATCCGAGCCCGCCCAAGAGAGGCCGAGCCGCCAGCGCCACGGGAGCTGTCAACAACTCGCGTAAACGACAGAAAGACGAGCTGACGCGACTGCGTGCACAGGTGCAGGAGTTGCAGCGCGAGCTGGAGCATGTGCGTTCCAGGATGCCTCGTAGTAAGATCCGAGCCATTCCGGCCGTCGTGAACGGCGGAATTAAGACGGAGCGGTCGCCACATTCCCCCGTAGCAGTGACTGCAGCACCTTTGATGGGATTGGAGTCTGCAGGAGACTCCACGAGTGGATTGATGGTCGTTCCTGTATGGGAACGCATGGCTCAACATCAGAAAGAGGAGAAAAGCAAGGCTGAGATGGAGAATCTACGTCTTAAGGGTCTCATCCAAGAGCAACTTAAGATCTCCAAGGGCCTAGAGAAGCTTCTACGTAAACGATGCAAGTCGTCTATGAGCTCAGGCTCCGACGCTGAGACCTCAGCCACTGTGCTTGGCGTCAAGCGACCACGCACAAGTGACGCTGAAGAGACAGCGGTCTTCGCCTCGCTGGCCTCTGGTCTAGAAGCTCGTCTTGCAGAGATGGAGGCTGTGTTTGACAAGGGCGGCCTCAATAGAGACAAACAGGAGCTGCAGGAGACTCAGATGATCCTGGACGAACGACGTGGGCCTGTAATGGAAGTCAAGGACGCCAGGATCCTGCCATTCGACGTACAAGCCTGTGCCACTGCCGTCTGGCAGTGCATGGAAGCCGAATCTGAGGCCACAGTCGTGGGTGGCTCGACTACTGATACGCTATGCTTTAAGAGCCCCATGCCTCTGCGCCAACACCGCGCGCCCGACGCCGAACTTACCGTCCGCTGCGTGATTCGCCGCGTGACGGACGTCACTACCGGCCGCGTTGTGTTCGTGTGGGAGTCGGTGGCCGACTGTCCGAACCGCTTGCCGCACGTCAGTGCAAGCGCCAAGGGCATCGAGATCCGCGACTGTGGCTGGGGCCTGCTGGAGCCGCTGCGTACTCGTACGGGTGAACACTCGAGCATCTTGCAGCTCTGTTCGTATCTGATGCCCCAGCTCTGTGGTGTTTCGGCCGAGCAGAGTCGGCAGCACATTCACGGCCTCGCCGAGCTGGTGGCGCCCTGCTACCGCGGGCTGTGGAACAAGCGGCAGCGCAGTGTTGAGAACATGCTCATGAACGGAGCCATCACTGCCAAGAACAACCAGCACGCGCCGCACAAGGTCGAGCTCAAGCAAGAAACGGAGCCGGCACGGTAAAATGAGCCACTCAAATGTAGAACAGTTTTGAGGCAAATAACTATGACTAGGATAATATATGGAAAGCTGTTAAAGCGAAGTTCTCGGGAAGCCGTTGGGATTGTTCGTGAACGACTGGCCATGGTATAGGGGTCGCGAATCTAGTGATTACGGTCAGCGCTTGATTACGGATGATTTGAAAAATGATCGGGCAGGCATCGAAGTTGACCTAATTTTTTGAAAGTAACGAACTGATATTTTTTAAAGTTCTCTCTCCCCCTCTCTCTCGACAAAATAGTAGTATCACACTGCCAAATGCAGCCAGTACACGTGTTGTTTGCGCGCCACACAGATCGTGCGCATGCTGGCTGCTCTGGCATGCGATCTGCGGCAGACTCTGCACAGATAGTGGGACGTGGCTACGGACCATCCATTCCGCAGCCGCGTCCCCCGACATTTAGCCAATGAGCTGACTGCCCCTGTTAGTGACGAGCAGTCAGCTCATTCAGCAATTTCCATTCTAAGCGTCAAGCAACTGGGCGACGTGCCTCGGCCGTGATTCCCGGCACGGCGGCGCCCGTGCGCCATGGACACCGAGCGGCTCGACATGCAGACTACTACTACGTACCTCGACAGGCAGTGCTTCATCGGGATTCGCCGGCAGCGTGCTGAGCTTGTGCGGGGCAAGTTGAAGGGTTTCGGCCCTGTACTGCTCTTGTGGATGGCTTGGTGTGTTGCTGTGCGGTTCAACGGTTGAAGTTTACACGAACAAGCGTTTTATTATTTATGAAGAAAATAAATGCTTTCTTGAGCCTGTTGGTACTTGTTTATTCTTCTGTAGCTTCAGCTTCCACGTAGGCGCGCTCCACTCGGCGCCGTTGGCGTCTTCTGTACATGCGTATTGCGTTTGAAGGGAGGTTCACCGCCGGCTCCCAGGTTGGCTCCCAGGAGGTTAGGAATTGAACGCGCCCATTCGACGATCCTCCAGGATGGTCCGCATTTGATACGTAGGTAGTCCCCGCAGGTCGGTACCAGTTGGTAGGACCCATTCCGCCTCACCAGCGTCGTCCCCCAAAGCAGCTGCCTCAATGAGGCGGGACTTAGTGATGCGAGATTTGAGCACAGCATCCAGCAGCCGCTTGATTGCCTCTGCGGTTGAGGCATTACCTTGTTGAACATGAACCCATGTTCTCCGGTAACGAACCGCAGCTTCATAGAGGTGCCCCCAACCGCGGGCGCGAAGGTGTGCTTGACACCACTTGAAGAAGGCTGGGAAGGCAGTAGGTAGGGCAGTGTCGGTGCTGGGGCGGCTTGCCATGGTGGAAGTGATAAGATGAATGAAAAGCAAATGAGCACATATAAAATTGAAGTTGAACATGAATTTATTAGTAATCAGAAAAAAAATATACAGGAAGTTCGATTTTCTTTTTTTTTTTTTAGCAAGACTGTACATGTAGCTACCGGTTTTCATTCCATATTTAATGCATGTCGGTTTGCCAATGGGCGACCAGCAAGATCTCGGGCACTGGTAGTACTAGGGTGGCGACGTTTCCTGGACACAGATCGATTAACTAGAGTCCGTTTGCCGTCCAAGCCTGTGTAGCTCTTAATCTGCAGAGCAAAAAGCACATGAATGCAGACAGCAAACTTGAAGTAGTACTTGAGTCCACATGAATTCGTACTCAAATCCACGTTTCAGCCACCCTCAGGCTTCCCAACCACTTCCATTCGCGCGTAATTAACTCCCATTTGCGCCGATACTGGACCCACCTCACGACTGCGCCCGAGCTTCGGGAGGTAAACAAGCGCGCAGCCACGTAACAGCACCCTAACCACGTCTGGGTTGGGGGAAACTAGTTGGAAGTCGATACTGGATCGGCTCGGAGTCATGTCCACAAGAAGATCGCGGCGGCGAAAATCCTTAACCCTTGCATTTAACTGCTGGGTGGCCTCAGGGGATTCCTTGAAGATTCTTGGAGTCACTGACTGATGTCCGCAACAATCCGCCAGCAACTGGATCAGCGTCCCGATCTTATGTTTGGTCCGCAGTGTGTAGTCACGCTAGATCAAACGGTTAAACTGTTCCACCGGATTGTTTGTGGTGGCGTATCCACTTGGTGTATGAAAGCATTGCCAACGCCAAAACGCGCTCGTCACCCACGTGCGTTCGAAATAGCCTCGGAACCATACCATCTGCTCTTCGTCCGACCGACTCGTTAGAATCGTGTTCACTTGTTCGTCATAGACATCTTGGCTAGCCGCAAAATGCAGGTCGTAAACGTCCACCACCACCTGGTAATCGATCGGGTACACTCTTCAGTTTTTCGTGAATTTTGGCCATCACGTGGTAAAAGCACATCAAGTAGACGAATTCGCAATCCGCACCGAAGACGCGTACCACTGCGTTCTGTTGAGCAGCTTCAGCGTCGGCCATGACGAACTTGACCACCAGTTGACGCCCACCCGACACTGAAGCAAAACTCCTGCGCAGTTCAGTCAGCACTGTCACGTAAATGTCCTCCAAGCGTTGCGACGTAATGAAAAGTGTCATGAGGTTAAATGAGCGACACTTGTCAGAGATCCCACACACGATGACAGGATACCCGACTTGGTTCAACTTGAAGGTGGCATCCATGTGGAAAACGAACGTCTCCGGGTCGCGAGCCGCATTCAGCAAAAGTCTTTTAGTTGTCAGCCCAACTAAAAAATGGTTTTTCGTCAGAGCCGTTCCCCACATCTGGTTTGCCGCGGCCGTCACGTTTCCAACCAAACGAAAATGGAGACGGTCGGACCATACGCCAGCTGATCGATTTGGCTCAGGATTTGGTCATAGTCGTCATTGCGGTGGAGGTTCTTCTTCGAATAGCTGCTGACGAACCATTGCACCTGACGCAGCGTCGGCAACTCCGACTCAGTAAGTCCAAAACGTCGAGCCATTCCATTGCGAATTCGAGAGGGCTTGAGGCCTTGCGTCACCATTTCACGGCCGTAATCCTTCAGCCGTGGAGTCAACTTGACCTTTTGGGGCTCCTTCACCAGCGTCTAATGAGCACCAGTCTCCATGATCGTCACGCGGTTAAGTCCTTGACACGTGAGAACCTTCCCCTTCCATGGGCACGCGTCATACGGTGCTGCTGCCTTGCATGTTTCCGAGGAATATCTTAACAGTTGGTAACGCATCTTGTGTGGCTTGGTCAGCGCACACACGACGCATGGAACCAGCTGACTCTTGACGATGATGAACACCTTCATGTCTTCCATGAGCAGTTGGGAGTCCTCTCGAGCCATGTCGCTATAGACAGTCGTCCACTTGGTCGTCGTGGGCATCTTCGAGGTGGGCGACGAGAGGGGTGGGAGTTCAGATTTCTGTGCTCTTTCTGTATGAAAAAAGATCCTTGCTACGATATAAACGGCTTTGATTGGTTCAGCGACTGTCAAAGCACAGGTCGTGATTCGCTAATATTAAGTGGTGTGTAGACACACGAGTTTGATGTATTTTGGCCAATGCAATTGTGCCACACGTATATATTGTGTGGTGTAATGTGACATTGATGTGTATCACCCACATTGTATGTGTTGTCACATTTTCTGTGTGTAAAACCTTGGTTCTGTGTGATTTACCAGCTCTGTCCTCTCTCTCTCTCTCTCTCTCTCTCTCTCTCTCTCTCTGAATATTGCAGTACAAAAAACACAACATTGGATTTGATTACCAAGTACTGTTCATCTTACAATGTATCTACACTGCCAATTTATCAAATCTAGTTCAGACTTCTTTACTGTATTGGCTCTTGAGACCAGGGTGCCGACAAACAGCTTTTGGTGTGAAAACAAAACGAAATGGACTTTAACTGAATACACCATTTCCCGCCTACGTTACAAACAGTACTTCTTAAAAATATATGACATTTCCAGATATGGCCATATTCTGAGGCGCATAATGTATTTTCGCAAACGATGATTGTCCTCCAAAAATGTATGTTGGCACGCAAACTGAAAACATTATTTATGGCGGGGAATACTTCTCTCTATTTCCACCAATGAATTCCGGATAATTCTTTATTGCCAATCAAACCAACGCATGTAAGCTAATGTGCGGCTTTCATGTCTTTTTTATTTCTAATGTGTTGGTTTTCACACAGTTATCCGATGGTTCAGTACATTCCGCCGACATCGAATGTCGTCGCGAGACTGTTCAGCCAAGCGAAGGTGGTGCTCTCCCCGCTACGTCAGTCGATGTCGTCGGTGCAGCTTGAGCGAGTACTCTTCCTCAAGATTAATCGCCGTTTCTGGTCCGTTAAGACCGTGGTTTGTGCATCTAAGCAGTACTAACCAACCAAGGGACATTATGGATGCCTTGATGCTCGATATAGGCATAATGTATTTTAGCGTTTTTGCGATTGCTTCGCTATAATGTATGTTGTACGTACACTCCCATCCATATACATATTATGTTAGGAAGCACTGGTTATAAAGCTTAGCAACCAAGGTGCAAATTGTGAAAAATGGTCTTTTGAGTAATATCACAAAAAGTGCATTTTCATGTTTTACATAACGTGTGGCTACACTATTCAAACAAGATGCAAACCCCCTCACCTCCAGTCATTTTGGCACGGTCTACCACCGCGTTTCGCGTCAACCAACCCTCGTAGTCCTCTTGGTGCTCACTCTCGCAAATACCGTCTGCACCACAGCCTAGCAAGAAGATCGTCGCCTTCGAGCGAGCCCAAGCCAAGGCTCGCGTGGTCCGGACATTTCAGGAAAGAACAGGCGAGATGCGGCCGAAGCCAACGATGTCAATTACTTTACTGCACGGCGGGCTGTCATAGCCGCCAGACAGGAACCCAAGCAGCACGACGGAGTGAGAGCAACCTCTATTACGATGACAGTGGAAGGTATGAGCAAGCCTAACGAGCTCATCGACGAGCACTGCCGTATGACGCTGAGTCAGCTATGCGATTGTCTGCACAGCGATATCGCTGTGGTCGTCAGCAAAACGCCCGCGCATCGCGCGCTACAAAGTATGCTGTACTCGATAAAGCAGCTTCGCATCGAAAAGGCCACCATGAATCCAAACGCCAACAAGGAGAAGCACATGGAGCAATGCTGACACGCAAGCCGAGCCTTACCAATATTCTCGGTTAAAACGTGAGCATTTACATTACTTCCAATTGCGCTGGCGAGGCTTTCAGCAGTTCGTTCATTTGATGTTTTACGAGGTTCTGCCCGTTTGAGTCGCGTCGGTTCGGGCAGTGCCTCAACGACCTTGGGTTTGAATTCTTGTGGTGTTAGTTTTACACTTTGGCTCTCGTTGATGGATTTCAACAATGCAAACGCGTTGTTTACACACATATCACGCATCCAAGTTAAAATCGTCAGAGGCAGCCGAGGTTCCTTTTGTTGCGTTGGGTTTGTACTTCGAAGCGGATCAACCCGATCCACAGCGTTCATGGATTTAGTATACACAGCGATGATACTTGGTATTTGTAATTTGGTTCTGTGCATGGACTCGTCTTCCAGTCACCTGGAAATTGGGTGTAGACCATGGACACCCCACAAGGCTTCTTTAGACTCGGTGGTGGGCTTATTTGACTCCTAGTTCCCAACAAGTCATTCGTATAAAAAACGACTTTTGTTCGAGTCTTTGAAACCTACGTAGCTCGAATTCGGAGAGATCGGCACAAAACATTTAAACCTCGTCTTATCACCTTTCTTCTTTTTTGGGGTATTTTTTGTTGATCTCCTCCGGTTTTTGCCACCAATCGACAGGATCGACCGCCGCAACAAGCTCCCATGATCGTCGGCTCATCTCTGCGACTCGTGCCTTGTCCTTTACAACACCAATTCGATTTCACCCACCCAAAAAGTTTGTTTTCACAGCTCTAAATATTCTGATATCACCTCCAGAGAACGACAATGTTGCCTTGGTTAGAGTATGTCTGGCGTAGAAATTGTCACCCACCCCCTATGCGCGTTTGACTGTCTAGAGAGGGAAACAACTTTGTCTGATGCCCAGCCATTGCAATCCGAACTGATGAAGGCGATCTAACGTCTAATTATAAAATGGGCTACACGCTGAAGACGCAGTAAACGCTCTCGCAACACGGGAAACATCAACATATCGCTCAGGCGCCTGGTGAAAGTTGCGATATCAGTCCGGATCCATTATCCCAAATGGAATGGACGTAGAGAAATGACCTGCAACCGTAGCATAGAACCGGAAAGCGCATTTTTCAGGCTGAAGTAGTGTGAAGCTGGAAGCTTTAGTACGCGTTCGTGTTCGCACTGAGCATTCAACAAACGACGACAAACTCAATGGTACAGCAATATCTTGGAATTACTTCTGTATATGGGCCAGCAGGTCGCGACTATGCCAAAACGGGTCGTTGCTTTTATCTGTTAGGGACGGTTCCTCCACCGTAAAATCTGCACGTGGCTCCGAATTACTTGAAACTGGATCCTGGACATTGTTTGAGGAAAAGCGGCTTGACCTAGCCGATACTCGCTTCAGTATTCACCTCGTTTTTCCGTGTGATGCTCCTTGCCAGTTCCAGCCCAAGATAGACACCAAATTCGGCAAGTTTGATCATTTCCAGATCGTCCGTTTCGAGCATTCCATTTATCCTGAAGACGATGGCTCCCCTAAAAATGTTAGTGAAGCAAAGCGAAAACAGTTCAATTTCACCGTTTTCTTTGTAGACCTTGTTCACGAGGACTGGCCGGTGCAAATGAAGATCGCTACGAGCTATCCGCTCTTGAGTATAATATTGAAGACCAACTGCCAACGACTCCCTATCTTGAGAATTCAACATAGTGCTTGTTAGACTGTCAGGTTCATCTTCCCACTAAGAGGAGTACCAACCGTCCACTTCCTCCTCGTTATCTTCTCTAGAGTCTTGACCGATCGTATGCCTGGTGCCACTTGGGCTGTCATCTCTGCAAATGGCAAGTGTTTGTCATTAGGGAGATGTACTATGAGTATTTACCCAGCTGAGGGGAAGTTCTTTTATTGGTGAGATTCAGTCTCTATGGCTCCCGAAACTCCCTCACAACATCTCAACCACAGCCTATCAGGGCTCGTGTCTGTGGATCCTATTGCGTATCCTACTAGCTTTCTGTACAGTAGTTTTTTGTGTCACCAATCAGACTGCCTGAGTTGGCATGTCACAGCAGCACCCCCCCCCCCTCCTCCCCAGTTTATTGGTAGTTTGGGCGTAGCGTGCAAGCGGTCATCAGCGATCAGCAGTCTCTGCAGAACCACTTCGCCACCCCGCGGCCATGGCTCGCAGCAGGAACTCGATTTTGGCAGCCTTGCATTAAGAGCCGCTCTTCCAATGTTCAACTCACCGCAGGCCTAACACTTCGATGTCTTCTTTTCAGCAATTGTCTTTCACTCCGATCAAAAGCTGTCGACCAACAAGATATCTCCCACAATAAGAACACATATATAGCGTGTTTTGTTATTACTGTTGACGAAGTGTAAATAGACCACTAGTATTTTCATATTAGAATATGGCGCTATATTTATCCGATTATTCTGGAATTATTGCTGTGGGCCTCTGTCTACAGGTATACTTCTCTGGTCCACGATAATATGCGCGTTTCGGTGTTTTTGGGTGTAAAATCGGCCTTAGAGCGAATTAGACAACAAAAAACTATCGTCAGACAGCTTTGCTCTTGCTGCATTCGGGGGATTTTTGCTGGAAAAAACTGTTTCGAAATGAGCACTAGGACATCGTTATTACGCTCGGTTTTCCGGGGCCCATTAGGTTTTTATTCGTAAAACTTAGGCAAGTTAGCGATATTCACGCTGAAATATACTGCTGGATCTTCTCGATACTGGCTATTGCATGAATCCTGTTTTATCTCTAAAACACTGCTTTTACGGAAGAGACAGCACGGAAATAAATTGAGGTTTTTCTTAATGAAATTTGCATTCACTCAGAGATTTATCCAATAACAGGCAAGTAACGATTTATTTGAAAAGTTATGGTCAATTTTACATAAGATTTAAGCGACACTTTAGGTAAAACCGTACTTGTATTTGGCTTCTAGCAAGCCAAGCGGCGAGACGTTGCGCTGTCTCGCCTCGGCTACTGGCATTCCTAAGACGACGCTGATGCGCCACTTGGCTGCAGGTGTCTTTCGTCGTGCTACGACTCGTGTTAAGCCGAAGCTGACAGACGTGCACAAGGCAAACGAGGTGCATACAGACAACGGCGACATTTTGGAGCAGTTATTACAACTTAAGGAGGCCACAGCAGCTTAGAACCAGAACAAGATGAAGCTTCTAAGGCCCAAGAACGGGTGGGCAGCGACTCATGATGGCAGCAGAGAAAAGGTAAAAGCGATTCTCTTTCAGCTGTGGTTTAATTATTTAACGAATGCATTTATGTGTTTAAAAGGTTGCAGACAGACAGAAGGGTGATAAAGGAAAGTCAAGTAAAGTAAGCGCCGCCGCCTTTCGACATTGCTCGATAACGAGCTGGACGAGTCAGCAAACACGATCCAGCTCGCCTCCTTGGTTGTAAATAGCTTCAATGAACGTTTGCAGTCTCTAACTAGCATATCCTAAATTTCCCAGTAGTATTTGATCACACATCTCACTAATCCATCAAAGTAGAAAATGCTTGTTAGAGCACTTGGCCACCTCCCGTAGATTATAGCCATATCCATCCATCTTGTATGGTACACTAGGCGGTGACGTCTGATACAGAGGCCTTCCAGCCCACTACAGCATGCACGCCTGTGAGGACCTGTCGAGATCACGTTTGGTCACTCAAACGAAGCTTGTATAGGCTTAGAACTGGTTTGGTGGCTTTAGCTCTTTCGACACGATCTGACGCAACCTGGATCCCTTGTCGAGCTTTCTTACTGACGCTTACACCCGACCGGGCAATATAGCTCCCTCGCATGCGACTCTCCGACCCACCGGATGGCTTATGGGGGGGGGGGGGTGCTGACGGTGAGCCGCAGTAGGCGCTGCTTTGTGATCTGGTACTGCTGGTGAGCTGCTGTCGGCTTTGCTGCTATCAAGAAACTTGCGATTGCAACGGGGGTGGACATAACCAGGCTTTTTCTCAAATAACCATACTTCTTTCCCTGGTGCAATAACAAACAACCAAAATAAAAATATTTTCGTCCAATCAGAGAACCACTTAAATAGACATATATATTGATCAATCAAATTTAGCACTCGTTTATAATTCACATTTCCAAAGATGACTGCAAAGAGAACTAAGGCGCCGTACGAGAGCGCGCCGAAGAAGACATGCAAGAAGTGCGACAGGAAGATCTCCTGTACTAACATCTCCAAGCATGTCAAGGTATGCAAGGGCATAAAGCTGCCAGAGACGCGCAGCAAGATCCGGAAGAAGACATGGGAAAAAATCGCGCTAAACGCGTAGGCTTCCAGCGCGACCAGCGCGCAGCCAAGTTTTTCGAGGAATTACAAGGTACCTAAATTAAAATTCAATATGTTTGAGATAATTATGATATCTAATACTTTGCCGTTGATTAGATATTCGCGCACAGCTACGGGAAGCAGAAGGAGCGCCAGCTTTACCACAACCAAAGCCGAAAGGGATGTCAGGCCATCCCCTCGAGGTGCTCAGCTTTCATCCAGGTCTCTTTGAGCACGCGTTTGTCAAGGTACACGCCAATAATATTTATAAATGCAGGTATCCATCGGTAATGCTATGATGTTCTAGGCTGAAAAGCACGAATTGTTGTCGAAGAAAGGGTTTCATGCGCTGCTGCTGTTCTTGCATTCGGACAAAAGCCATCATCTTCCCCAAGAGTGGCAAAATGCACAGAACTACACTGCGGTTCGGAAGAGCTTTAAGCTTCTCCCACAATATAATATAAGGAGGACATGGAAGAAGCGAGTACACGCACGGTTTACGAAGAGCGGGTTCGTATCGAGACATATCGACTCTATCTTCAGACGAAGTTCAAGCAACGGTTCAACAACTGGGAAGCAAAATGTAAGGAAATACGCGATGCTAAAATGTCGGAGGCGAAGGAAGAACCGGTCAAGTTTGCAGAATATGCGGATTGTGTTTCATTTGATGACTTCTAAGTCATTTACTATGCTCGCTTCTTGGAGAAGGACAAGGCGTACGAAATCAAGGAGAAGGCCAAGCTGGAGCAAGCGGCAACCGACATCCGATTCCTCGAAACCTTTGGTGCGGAATCGGAAAGTGACGAAGAGTAAAAATTAAAAACTTTTATATTTTTTTTTGCTATGAAGAGTATAAAAAGTGCGAGCTTAAACTACGCGATAAAACGAATGCAAGTACTAAGACAAGATCGTAACCACTAGTACATACGGCAAGATCGAACTACTATAAACAACAACACTAAAGTACTACTATGACAAGACCATAGGTACTATGACAAGACCGTATGTACTATGATAAGATTTATAGTACGATTACAAAATCGATTGGCGCTGAATCTCTTGGGGCTCACAATCCATTTGGTTGGAGAAGACGAACTTGCTGAGCACCGTCCTTCTTAAGAAGCATGACTAGGCAATCTTTGACGTTCCAATAACTATTACAAGGTGGTATTGACACAGCAACTCACGTGATCAAACAGGAGACAAGAAACGTGTATGTATCTTATTTTAAGAAGTTCTGTGAATTCTGTATCGCCAACGAGTATCCTGATCCAGCCGTGACGCGTCATCACGAACTGCCTTCGCTTTTGGTTGCGTTTATGGAGGGTGTATCCGCGTCCAGTACCGTTTCCAATCAAACTGCGGAGATGATCAGAGCTGCGGTCGCGAACTTTTATGGTAGTTACGAGCGCAGAGACGCCGCAGGACCGGACAAACAGGTGGTAATGACAGACGACAGGGGCAACAAATTTGACCTTGGTAATCCTGCAAAGGATGCGTTTGTTCGCCAATTCATGCGGGGCCTCAAGAAACGAAAGAACAAGGAATTCACGCAGCGCCAAGCTACGCCTATTTCTTTGGGTATGCTCCGTGTGCTTCACTTTCACTTGACACACACGTCAGGATTCACAGCGGCAAGCTGTTTGTGGTTTTTGGCGGTATCGGCTTTCGCTTTCTATGGAATGTGTCGAATCAACGAGGTGCTAAGTTTGCAGTGGAAGAATATCACCCTGGACCTGGCTCGTCCAAGTGCGTCTGATTCGAATTCGACAATTGGCTACGGTGTCTACAAACTGGAAGGGAGAAAGACGGAGACCGCTGAAGGTCGCTGCTACAACCTTCATTGTTTAGATGAATGCGAGAGTCCAATGGATGTTTTAACTCACTTAAAGAAATGGATTGGGTACGTTATAACGAAGACGGACCACAAGTGGAGCGATAACGACTACGTTTTCCCAGCATTGTCCAAAATTGCGAAGAGTGCTATCAAGACTGATGACCCTCATACAGGGTGCGAGAACGCACGTGTGGAATGGGGCAAGAAAATGTCTGAGCAGTCTTTCATCACGCTATTGAATTGCGTCGTGAGAGATCTCAACCGCAATGGGGAACATCTGTGTCCGGATACGTTCGCCAACAATGGCGTGACATTTGGTTCACTTCACACACGTTTTGCCGCGCTGGAGCACAGTATCGATTTATGTTCGCACCGCCTGAGCGGAGGTGGTCGCTCCGAATGGTGAAATCATGGGCCGGATGGACTCCAAATGATTCGGCAGAGACCCTTGTGCGTTATCTTCTTGATCAAGCAGCAACCGATGAGGACGCGCAACTAGCAGACTGTCTTGCACCAGTTCGTGGAGCAAATGTGGGCTGTCCTTCTACTTTTACAGGACGAAAACGGAAAATGGCGGGACATGGTAGCCAACGATCCTCAACCTCCTCATCCGATACAACCTCTCACTTCGAAAAACGTCTGAAAACTGTTGAGTGTTCGGTTAAAGCTCTTGAAGACAAGATCGACTTACTCATCTCGGTACTTCGGCCATCAGAAATCTCAACACCATCTGCAACAGCTTCACACAGCAGCATCGACGAATTGGAGCAGATATCTATTCTGCCGCCAGCTAAAGACTGGCGGGCTTTGTATCGAATGTACTGGAAAGCTGACCCAGCTCGTCATCTATTCAAGCCGATTTGTGAATGGACACCACAGGAAAGAAAGAAAAGCGGATCCCTTCCCAGTCGCCTCAGTGTTGCAAAGCTGATAGCAGAAGATGTTGTTGATTTTGCTCTTCAAAAGAGAATTCCGATTCCAAGGGACGTCTCAGAGGCCACATTATCGATGTATGCAGCTTACTACGTCGATAATTTGATGAAATATGCAGCGAATACAAACCTGAATGCGCTCACTATCGACACGCTGGCACGATATATCAGACTTGATAAGAAACGCCGGCTCGTGAAAGCTCAGTATGCTTACATGAACAGATAATGCTAGTATAGTAAGATAGTATTCCGAGTCTTGTTTTGGTATATTGTGTCTTGGTATAGTACATTGAGTCTTGTATTAGTATTATTAATCTTGTCACGTACATCCAGTCTTGTTGTAGTATCTATTATCTTGTCATGTTTTCCTAGTATTTAAGTCTTGCTGTAGATTTTGTCTTGCCGAGAGTCCTTTAATAATGTATCACCATTACTTAAGTTGTGATCGAAAATTAATACACGGCTCTTCATTTTATTGGACAATATTTACTCTAAGACTATCTTTTCATTGGTAGACTTTGCATCAATTGTTATTTGGGAAGCCTGAAGTAGCTTCCGACACAGAAAGCATACAATCTCTAATATGAGCTGAAGCTGCTTCCATTTTATCACAATCACAGCTCAAACAGACGTATGGATAGGGTTAGGTATACTATACTAACATGTAGAAAGCATCATAAACCTACCCCTTCATTATACGAATGGAAGCGCTACTTCAAACTTTTACCATGCTCATTTTCGAAAACCCTTTATTATAATAAACCATTGCTCACGTATGAATTTCCGAAATAAGACAGCTACAAATATTGGTGAATACAGTGCAATGGTTAATGTAGTTTTCGGAGGCCCTGATGGGCTTAGCTACTGCTCCCAAGTCGTTGGCTCGAAAGTCTAGTCAATGGAAGGTCGTGAGTGGAATATCTACAAGCACCATTTAACGGCGTAGCAAGCCGAATGACATACGCGACGAGGCTATTGTATCGGTGGAGGCATTTCGTGTGCGAAGCAGTTATTTAGACTAAAAAGCTCGATTTTAAATAACCGATTTCGTTTATCACACTTGCGGGTATCCAGAAGTGGTAGTGTCGTGATTGTGGCACGAGCTAGTTCAAAATCTTGACTCCGATGCTTGTAAGCGTATCTGTTTACCTACACATAATACCATGAAATACAGGATGTCTGCTCCGCATAGAATCTTGCTCGTTGTAATCTAGGCAAGCGACATCAGGTCCATGGTATACATGCAGTATACCGCAAAAGTCGTAACGATAGAGCACTCATCGAAACATACATGCATACTTGGAGCTAATATTTAGACTTATGAAGGATTAGAATAAAAGCTAAACATACCGAAAATACGTGCTATTGTTGGTGACAGGAAGGTGATTTGTTGTTACGACTTTGCCGTTGTATGGTATGTACAGCCCAGTTCGATCTTTCAGTAACTTCAACTACATCATGTAAGTAAGCGATTCATGTAATATAAGTGAAAGAGACCTCTATTTTCCTTTGTGTCTTGAGAAAAGGACAAAATATCGTGGCTCTGGTCAAGTTCCGAACATCACGATAAGCAACATAATATATTATAAGCAGAATACAGAACAAAGTTAAGCCATGCCGTTCAAATGTCCGCGGTTGCACGTGCTGGATATTTTGTATCCATGCTTCAGGTGTTCACAATCGCAGGAGAAATTCAAGTGCAGTGACGTTTTGGCATAATCTTCTGCCTGATGGTGCCGCGATACAAAACGTAAAAAAATCTGGACGGGGCGCTATCACTGCTCGTCATACAGCACAACTACCGCAAACTTTGTCAGTCTATCCACGCAAACAGCGTTAATCACTATCCGACTTGCGGGACAACGCCAACCGCCATGATCCAGCAACTCGCCACCCCGTTCTCATCCGTGGATGCATTTGAAAGCGACTTCAATTTATCCGAATTCCTGCACGAAATGGACGAGCTGGATCACCTACATGACGTTCACTTAGAGAGCACCAACGCCAAGCGGCAACACCCCGCGGATGTTGACGCGGAGCCAGAACTCAAGAAAATGAAACCCGCGACGCCAGTTGAGACACCGATACCCCCAAAGCCAGCACCGAGAAAAAGACGAAGTACGTCGTGGTTGCGTCGAAAGCAAGAGCTCAACGCCTTGCGCTGCGAATCGGAAGAGCTGGAAACGCGCGTGACCTTCCTACGGATGGAGATCGACCGTCGAAATGCGATTCAGAAGACGCTACCCGCAGTACACGAGGAGCCAGGAATGTGGAAATCAGTGGCAGCCATCGCACGCCAAGAGTGCGAAAGCGCACAAAACGAGAATGCGCGGCTGAAGAACGAGGTGGAGCTGTACGCGCGTGCGTCGGGGATGCTGCAAACGCAGCTCTTCGCGGCCGAGACTCAACGAAGACAACTACTTAATAGTACGTTGGTCTTCACGGACGCCTTTCGAGTCGGAATGATACGAAGCCGTCAGCTATGCTTTGACAACGACGGAGTCTTGGACATGTTAGAAACAAGGATTAACGCGCGGTACCATGAAATCGATTTGATCATGAACGAAGCTCGTCGACCTGCAGAAGGAGGCACCACTGAGAAGGTGCAGGTTTGTCGTGATGGCGGCCAGGATGCAGCAGCTGCGGTGGAGTTCAAACATGTTCGTTTGCTACCTTTCGGAGAAGATATCATGGCTAAGTCCGTGTGGGAGATCATCGAGCTGGGTGGAGTGGTAACCAAGTCCGATACTCTTGTGGCCAGGAGCACTTCGGATATGGTTGGCCTCGTGTCTCGTCATACCGTGCCACTCGGGAAGAATGCGAGTGTGAGTGCAGACGTGCACACTGTGATCAAGCGCTTTAATGCCAATGCCGGTTTAGTTGCTTTGATTGAATCTCATTCCGAATGGTCCATCAAATACCCCGCATCGGGTGTTGCTCGGTCCACGACGGAGGAAGGAGGTTGGTTCATGGTGCACGAATGCCCATTGAAAGCACGCGGCTCGACACAGCGAGTATCCCAACTCCAAACAATGGTCAAGCTCCGACCAAACGAGTCCAAGACAGAGGGCAAAACGAATGCGTTGACAAGTACTATGGTCGACGTCGTCATCCCGTCGTTCCGTGATATCTTGAGTTCACATCATCAAAAGGTAGAAAACTTTTTGCTAGACTCGAAATGTAAATAACAAACATTTAGTAAAGCGACAAAATGATAATAAGACTCCGTCGATTTCTAATTCAGTTGAAGGTTAATCAGTTCTTAGACGTACTTCTTATTCATGTTTATTTTCTTGTGTTTCTCATTCTACGTAGTACGCTCTAAGTAATCGTGATTGCACTGACTTACATCCACTTTTAGTCGTAAAGCGATTCCAACATGCATGCACTTTTAGCGTGATATACGTATCTCATTGCTAGTCGCGTCTAAGCCTTTCCAGCAGAAAACCTCTCATTTGACAGACATATTCTACTGCTAGATATCGCAGGGAATCCAAAACTTTGAAGCAACTTGTCCATTACGCGGGGTGGATATTTTTATTTTATTTTTTGTAGCTTGCTGGGTCGTTTCTCAAATCGTTGGGTTAAGTAGTTGTATGGTTCCATCATACAACTACCATGTGTACTGTGTCCAGGACATTCGGACTAGAAGCAGGTTTGAGCAGCCTGATGGTCAAAGTACGGTTCAAAGCAGACGCCAAGATTGCATCGGAGACTCCGATTCCGAGTGCTCGTTGCAGCCTGCAGGCGCTAGCAACTAATCAGTATCCACCCCAAAGCGATTGCGTCCAGAAGTCCGCAATTGCCATCTGAGCAACCAAAAAGTTTTGCGGTATAGCCTACGTCGTCATCGTTGACGTGGTGCTATCCTTGCACTTCTAACAGTATAAGTTTATTTTTTTTGCCAGTAATCTCTCGAAGTCTGGTCCGCTTTTTTCGATCGCTGTAAAGCAATTGCTGGATATTGCTCAAACGCATGTTGTATCCATCCTATCGCAAATTGCGCGTTGACGTCACGCCATAATCACTTGGCTTTTGGGCGCCATCAGCATTGCTGATTCAGCAGTCAAGGCCACACCACAGTACATGCAACAATTCATGTAGCACGTTCTCATTTACCACTTTCCGACTTGCGGGACAACGCGGATCCCTTGCTGACCAACAATTATGGCGTCTCAACTCGAGGCTCTCACACTACCTCCGTGTCCAGCTCTGGACACATTCGACGGTGACTTTGTTCTGTCCGAATTCCTACTCGAGATGGAAGAATTAGATCGAGCACAAGCCTCGCCGTCCCAATCTATCGCCAATTCCAAGAGAAGACGAGAACCTGAAATCAACATGGAGCCTGAGGCGAAGAAGATCAAACACACCAAGTCGGAAATTTCAACCAATCCGCTTCCGAGGAAAAGAAGAAATTCGTCGTGGCTTCGACGAAAACAAGAACTACTCGCACTACGCAACGAATCGGAGACGCTGGAAACTACATTGGCTCTACTTGAGGCACAGCAAGCTGAATCTGTTCTAGAACCACAGTCGAAGAGTTTGACTGAAAATCAAGAGCTGTGGAAGTCCGTGGCAGCGATCGCGCGACAGGAATGTCGGAATTCCCAGGAGGAGAATGCTCGTCTAAAGAGCAAGCTCCAGACGTGCACATACGCTTTAAAAATGCTGCAAACTCAAGTGATCCAAGCCCATTCGCGGCAACAGGAACAGCAGTATAGTAAGACTGCGTTCGAGAATGCTGTGCGAGTCGGGATCATCATGAGTCGACGTCTGTACTCGGATGACAGTGGGATCTTCGACATGCTCGAAAGCAAACTTGAGGCTCGACTCTTCGAGCTCGACGTGATTGCCAGGACCGCTCATCAGCCACTACTCCAAGGTGCTTCTGAGCGTGTTCAAGTGTGTCGAGAAGACGGCAGAGACGCTGCCGCCGCGGTGGAATTCAAACACACTCGTCTACTACCATTCGGACATGACACGACTGCGAAGACTATTTGGGAGATCATCGAACTGGGCGGACTAATCACCGACCGACACTTTCGCGTTGCTAGACGTTCGAACGATATGGTCGGAATGGCGTCACGGTTCACGATTCCCCTCGATAGAGGCAATTGCAACACAGTAAACGTGGATGTCCACGCTGTAGCCAAGCGCTTTGCTGGACCCGTTGGGATGGTAGTTTTGGTAGAGTCGCGCTCCGAATGGTCCATGAATCATCCTAATGCGTCCGGGTGGAAGCAGGTTACCGAAGAGGCTGGTTGGGTGGCTGTGAACGAACACCCTCAGCAGTCTGAAGGAGCCATGCAACATGCCTGCCAGTTGCAAACTTCGATGAAGCTGCGACCGGATGCTTCTGACGTTGGTGGATGCGGTAGTACTCGTCCAACATTTACTGGCCATATCGGAGATGTTGTGATCCCGTCGTTCCGCGAGATCCTGAGCTCACACCATCAATCTGTAGAGAACTTCTTGCTGGACTCGTCAAGGGCAATTAAAGCATGAACAAGCAATTGATTACTAGTATGAGGCGGATGCAACAAAGTACTAAGCATTAATTATGAATGACTCCAATAAGTAAAGGTTAACCTGATACGTGTGCCAAAGCGCTGAGTTCAGGTCACCTTCCGATACTTTAAAGTGTATTGCATCCAAGGTCTGGAGCACCACTTTAAGAACGCATTGAACGATATCCACTAAAGTCTTACTGTACTGTAGCAACACCCGATACGACTGAAAATGAACCCCCCAGTTGCGTAAGGCTTGCGAAAAATGAGGTCAGGCAATCCCGTCATCAACGATGTACTAGTCAAGTCACCCTGGTGGAGTTCACGTCTTCTGAATGCCTTGTTCAACGCTATCCGGAATGTTGTCGAGTAGGGATGGTTGTTCGGGGCACCGTTCCCTGGTGTCACCCAGGGAAACGGCGCCCCGAACAACCATCCCTACTCAGTCTGAGTCTTGGCCCAAGACGTGATAAATCGAGTGGTAGGCCCAGACAACCAGTGCTTCATACACATGACAGATTCAGAGATTCTAACGACTTGGTGGAGCATTGTCTCCACGCACGTAGCTCAGCTATGGACCTCGCAGTGGTCAAACTACTATCTGGCACCAGCCTGAAGCGGATACCGCTCTGCCAAATCTGGGCTGCAGGAGGCGGGGGTCTGGGAAGTCATCGATGATTGTCAACGGTGGGCTCATGTCAAGTTTACTCCAGTGCGCCGTTCGTCGGCACCGATTGCTATCAAACATGAAGCGCTGGTCACGGCTCCAAGCCGGAAACTGAAGCCGCTGACCATCTGAAGCTGCCATCTGAGAAACATGACGCCCCCACTTCGTCCTCAACGCTCTGATCACGCCCAAATCGAAGTTTCCGCCCATGTTTAACACAACTGCGGGGTTACAACGCTCGACAAGAACGTCGAAGCGTTTGACGTTTACGATGCCCGATCCAAGCGCTCTCTTTAACATCCGGCGTCGCCCCGTTGTGGAGATCATTTTAAGACAGCCGGAGCCTTTAGCCCGTGTTGTGCACAACCTGCCGGGCGTCCAACTCACGGGCTTACGGTGACACTGGTGACGGCGCAATCATCTTCGATAGCGCACAGATCCGGCTTTGAATCACACCGCCCGATGATACGTTCGGTGAGATTCGCCGGTCTGTGGTTGAACGCGGCACAGTCACGCGGAGCGGCACCATATCGATGATGGCATGTGGGCCTCTCCACGAAGATAAGATCGTGTGGCAATTGTCGTCATGAATTATAATCCAGATAAATGAACAAGGTCCAAGGGATGAAAGCACTTGATGCCCATCAAGGTTCAACAGCACTGTCATACGTTCCAGGACTGGATTGCCAATATTTTGGAAATCTTGTTTGGAGTCTGAAAATCAACAAAACTTGGAATCAGAACGTCTTCGATGACGGCCGTAATCGGTACCTTGGATTCAGTAATTAAAGACAAGCATCAAATATCTGATACCGTCTCTGATTGGATATAAAATGCTCTAGCCAATGGTCGAGCGTCATTATCAGCTACTGAAACGCCACAATTTGTTGAAGCGCAGCGACTTTGCACAGGTTGATTCGACGCATTTCAAGCGTAAATGGTTAAAGCCGGGCGCCGCCGCAATCCGCCACCCTTCGCGCAACATAGGCCAAATTTCTGTTTCACTTGCTTTTTAAAAGAAGCGTTTCAAATCCAAATCGCCGAAGTTGCTCTATTTGTTGTTGCGCAACTCTTCTTTGCTGCAATCCCCTCCTTTTTTACTGCTTGGAGAACTCGAGCAACTTAACCCTGTCAGTCCCTCCAGTGTGAAACATTTTTCTGGTTTTGGCCGGCACCTCAGTTCCAGTTTTGCTAGCTCAAGGACAATCGATGCACTGCACGTCTCGTAATGGCGCTGGCGCTGCCGTGTTCACGGACATTCCGCCTCTAAAAGCCCAGCGCGACGCCTTCTTGGCCTCGATTTTAGCGCAGAACATGAAGAAATACGCAACCAACAAGAAACGGAGCTGCCCATTCGCAGCACCAGCCAAACGACAGCGTCCTCGGTCGGACGACGACATCAAGTCGCTGCAACAGGACGTGGAGGAGCTGGAGGCGAGACTCGCAGCCGCCAGGAGGCGGAGGAGTCCGCAACCAAAGAAACAGGTCGACTCCGAGCGCCTTCGAGCCATGTTACAGGCCTGTCGCAAACAGGCACAACAGGACGCGAACGCCACTTTTGGCTTTCACCCGGCCATGCCGAGCTGCGGCCAGCTCGAATACGAACCTACGGTGGACGCTCCTGTCTTCAAGCAAATGGAGAAGAGCGTTACGGACAACTACAACCAACTAGCTGAGGTTTTCAGTGACGCTGGACTGCACGACAACAGGACGGACTTCTATGACGCTCGGGTGGTCACAGGCGCTAAACAGGGCACGTTCGTGCGATTCACGACGGCTAAAGTCGCTCCGTTCGCGCTGGACGCTATCAATGGCGCCATGTGGAACGGAGCCAAGAAGAACTCGGTGCTGAACATGGGAGCTGACTTTGCCATTGAAGGCGGGGACAGCGACGTCATGTACCTCAAGAGGGAGTGCATGCTTCAGGGCGAGTCGAGCAGCATCCCTGTACTGCTCCGTGGTGTGTGTCGTCGCTTTGTGGAGCCCCACCGCATCGTGGTGGTCTGGGAGGGCACCGGAGATTGGCCCAAAGACTACCTACGCACCCACCCAAGCAGCGTCCCGATCCGGGAACGTGGCTACTGTGTGGTTCAGACGTTCCACAGTGGCAACAAGGGTGGGCGAGCCATGCCACTTAGTTTATTGCAGAGCTGTGTCTGCATGACGCCAGGTCTGTCAACGGGTATCGATATGAACCAACCGGAGTGTCTGCAAATGCTCTCGGACGTCGTGATCCCGTCCTACCGCAAGATTCTCGACGCTCGCGAGCAGATGCTCGAGAACGCCATCCTCGACGAGATGATTCACTCCAAGATGCGTGGCACCAGCACGAGGATATAGTACTCTAGCGAACGAAGCAGTTCGACCAAAACATTATAAGAATTTTTCAACATGTGCCATATATTTTTGAGATATCCAGCAGTTCTACAAATAATATCTTTTCACTTCAAATAGAAAAGAAAAAAAAAGAAAATAGTTAACGTTTGTGTATTTATTAGATAGCGGATATGGAAGAATTTCCATGTAAGAACGCAGCGTCCATGAGTCGATTGTCTACGCATTGCTGCCGGTTGCGAATAAGTGTCCTAAAGGAGGGGATGACGACGTCGCTCACGGCCGGACTGCCGAGTAGTTTCCGACTCGTGTCGCTGTCAAGCCCAGACGGCACACAAGTCATGTGCACCACGAACTTTGACACGGACGCAGGTGAGGAGGATGATGAGTCACGTGCATCCGATCCATTCCCGTTGGCTGGGTATGAGTGTACCAGGCCCCATCCGCTTTCTCTCGTCACGCGGGACCAGGCCCCAGACGCAGCCAAATGAGCAGGCCACTCGGTGGAAGACTCTGCAATGACCACAAAACCTTGTTGCACCTTGAAGCGCTTGGCAACGGAACGAACTCGGATCTCCACCGTCTCGCCCTTGTCGAGCTGAACAGGGAAGCACCAGTCGGATGAAACAACGTCTTGTGCTCGTCTAACAACACGAGCTCCTCGATTTTTCCAGCCGTGCTCTGCTACTCGCCAGCAAACACTAGATACCGTCTCCACATCAAACGGTAGCACGCGCATTGTTTTGAACTCCACTGCAGCGTGCGCTTCGTCCTTGCGACAGATGCAGACATGCTCGGTATTTGCAGTCACCACAGGCTGTGACACCTCTCTGGTTATGGCTTGGATCTCGCTGACTCGGGCGTTTACGCTCCTTTCGAGCATGTCGAAGATGTGAGCGTCATCAGCCCAGAAGTGCTGGTCCATCATCATTTCCACTTTTAAAGCTCTCGCCGCAACGGAATTTCGACCGAGTTGCTCTCTGCGCAACGTTAGAGCGGTGTTCAACGCCGTCTGCAGTCTGCCAGAGTCCTGCACACAGGCCTGAATTTTCTCTTTCAGCTCCTGATTCTCCTGTTGTGAGGCTTGACAACGGCGGATTTCTCGGATCGCAGCGGCCTGCCAGCCTCCTGTCTGCAACTTAACGAGTTGTTCAAGCTGAGGGGGTAAGTGAATGGAGCCTTGCAGCAGCATACCAGGCACACGACATGCCTGGAGGAAAGTCACGTAGTTGGCTAGTGTTTCCGCCTGCTCCTTAAGCGTCTCGAGCTCCAGTTTGCGACGCTGCCACCTCGTCATCGTCGTGTTGGTCTGGATTTGAGTCTCTAGTGGCTGAAACTTGTCAGGAGGCTGGGTTTCTGTCCTCTTTGCCTTCTTGGCGGGTCGAGGAGGCGTGTCTATCGCCTCACGCTTGCGAGTTTTTGGCTCGGGAGTCTTGGGCGCGTTCAGACGATCGAGCTCCGCCATTTCTTGCAGAAAATCGCGCAGCACCTCGTCGCTGTCAGGCGGAGGCGTCTGAGACAAGGGAAACGGCTGTGGCACGAGGATCCCCATTAGCTCTCGGTGTATCCAGCGGACAAGTTGACTGCGCTAGCCGCTACAGCAACGCAGGAACGTAAATGCACACGACTGGCCAAAAACAAAATGTGTGGACTAAAAGTAAAATGTCCGCAATCATTAGTGTATTACGCCCAAATATAAGGCCGTGACGGGAGTAAGCAGGTGAGACATGTCAAAATACAAAGAGCTTTCGCAATTAGTAAGAGTATTTTAAATACTCAATTTATCTAACTTATTATATATTAAAGGAACATGCTGCTCAAATCTCATCAACAGTGTATTAAATATTGTAATTGTATGCAATCTGACGGACACTACAAATTGAAACGCTCGCTTCACTTTGCGTGAACTTAGGTTACCATGTTGATGTTGTTCGTGTCGAGTCTAGCAGTGCGTTCTCTACGAGCTGGTGTCGAGAGCTCAAAACCTCTCCAAACGACGGTATCACCACGTCGCAAACAACCGGAGTGAGTAGTGTCGGTCCATTCTGCTCCGTGTCCTCCGTCCGTAGACGCACTGCTAGTTGAACTTGACACGTACCGGGTCTTTCTTCATTTGGATGCACTAGAGCCCAGCCAGAGTCTCGTGTCACGTGTGTCCAGGCTTTTGCCTGAGCAGGACGAGCTTGCCATTCGGTTGTCGACTCGATAAGCATGATAAAGCCGCCCGGGACGAGGACCCGCTTCATTAAACAACTCACCACGAGATCGACAGTGCCTCCACCTGCCAACGCCTGGGTCTCGCAGCCTTGAGAGAGCAGCGTGTCATGTGATTGTTTAATAACGCGAGCACAATGTTCGTCAGGAATGACGCCCAGATGCATCACGTCCCAGATCACTCGAGACGTGTTGTCGGCGTCGAACGGCATCATTCGATTCCGCTTGAACTCTACGCTGGCTGAGGTTCCCTCGTCGCCTTCACGATGAACGTTAACCTGGTCAACATCGGGGCCAAACATGGAAGCCCGAATGTTTTCAATAATATAGTCCAGCTCCGTGAGTCTGTCGTTCACGCGGTTAGCCAGACTTGTCAGCACATCGGAGCTTAACTGCAAAAGACGCTGGCTGCGTTGTTCAGCTTGAAGCGCCTTGGCCGCGAAAGTATTCGCTACGATGAGGTTGTGCTGCTTGATGCCTGCTACGGACAATACCGTCTGCAGGTCGTGACAAGCCTTGTAGCATCGCTCTAGCCTGCCCTTCAGCTGTGTATTCTCTTCTCGAGCTGATTGACACTGCTGCTTTTCATTCGCTGCGGCTTCTCTCAATAGTTTCTGCTCTTCGGAGAGCCCCACGCCGGCCTTCCACAGCGTGTCTTGAGTCTTCTGCAACTTTAAAAAGATCACACGAGTCTCCAATGCCTGTGCTTCGGCTCTCAGGCGATGCAGCTCATCCTTCCGGCGCTTCCAGGAGAGATTGGGCTTCTTCGCTGTCATTGCTGGTGGCTGCTTGGCCGTTGAGATGCTTGATAGTATCGGCGAGTCTGCCTCCACGTACATTGCTGTGTTGGCACGTTTTAATAATGCGCTGCTCGACCGAGGTCGGAATCATTTCAGTGCCGTCTCATTACTTGTTTTACGCCGTTTGCCGCTGAGATGTTCGCTAGGCCATAATCAAACATGCGATAACAGCAGACAAGAAATGTGGATAGGATCACAGGACGAACCATGCATCTTACGGGTTGCCATCATACACTTTTAATAAATGTTCATGCATTCAATCGCAGTGATAGACACTACCAACATGCTCGACAGCAAGCGAGAGCTTTAGTACTTCATTGCATCTTTCGACCTTAACCTTCTACGTGAGACCCAGCGACACATTTGCAGATTATTTCTCCTTTTCGGCCTCCTGCGCTGGTGGTAGCAACGGTATCACCCTTGCTTAATGTGGTGTTACATGTAAGTTTGCGCTGGAATCCTTCGAGATCGCAGGTGTTGAGCCTCAACTTGAGGCCATACGCGAACAGGGATTGAAACCCAATCTATATGATCAATCCTGGCCCATGCATTATCACGTGGCAAGGAGGTGATTCTGTCACGTCCAACACGGTCACAATGGCAGTTGATCAGATACTGCACTGCATTTGGTTCTCTAGCCAGCTACATGCTGCGTAGTTCGTGTGTCTAACAGTGCATTATCAATAAGTTGGTGGCGCGAATTGAGAACATTGCGCACCGAAGCCACCATGACGTCGCTGACGCCGCGTGCGAGCAACAACGAATCGCGTTTGCTCTGAGTTGTCGATACCTTGACGCTCTCGTTGGTTTGAAGACGCATTTCCAACTTAAGCTGACAGAGCTGAGCAGTTGATGCAACTGGTCGAACGGCTACCCAGCCAGAGTCACGCGTCATGTGCTTCCACTCTCTCGAGTTCGAGAGACGTACTACCCACTCGGTTATGGACTCGATCAGGACCGTGCAGCCTTCCGGTCCCTCGATACGCTTCATTAGACAACAAATTCGAACATCCACTCTACCTACATCGTCGAGTTCATGAGTGAAGCATCCTTGCGACGTCAGGAGATCCTCTGAGCGGATGGAGACGCGAGCACAGCGTTCGCTCGAGATGACCCCCAACTTCATCACATCCCACACCGATTTTGATGCCACATTGGTCGTGAACGGTAGTAAATGTATACGCTTCAATTCCAACGCTGTGGCTCCCGGGACTTCACCGCCACGATGCACTTGAATTTGATCGAAGTCGGTACGAACTTCGCTAGCTCTAGACGCCATGTAAACGTCACGTATGTCTTGGATCCTCTTGTTCAGTCGGTTTTCAAGCAGGTTAAACATCGTGGGGCCAGCGGCGTCGATGTGCCGGCACTCAATTTTAAGGTCGTGCAACACGGGATTGACACTACCATTCGTTACCATTGTCTTCAGTCTATCGCAAACAAGCATGTAAAGCTGAAGGTTCCTCTTCAAGCGTACATTCTCTTCTTTCGCTTGCTGGTACCGCTGTTTCTCGATGGTTGCCGCATCTCTCCGTCGCCTACTCTCTGCAAGCCTCCGTTAACTCGATGCAACTCCAAATGCGTTATGTGTGCATTCAACGCTTTCACCTCCGATCTTAGACTCTGCAGCTGCCCATTGCGGCACTCCCACGGCCATTTTGCTTTCTTCGTGCACGGGTGTGCTCGTCCGCTTTGCGCTTGGTACTCGCCCGTTTTTCGCGATTCTGCGCGTCTGGAGCGAAATCCGACACGTTCATTTCAAGTAGAAAGCTTGCGAGGACGCGCTGCCCCGCAGACGATGGTGACATTGGTCGTGGAACCGCGATGCCGTTAGCATGAGCTGACGTCATTTGGGCGGAAGTTAAAGAGTGAAAACTGGATCCCTACTTTTCTGAGATTGGCACGCAGCACCACAGCGGTGGTAAGATTGCTGTGTGAACAGACTTGTGGCACATGAAACTTGTAGTCTTTACCGATACATTTAGGAGTTTATGAACGTGCTGCATGCATCACTACGAATTCCTTCAAGGTTCGGTGGACAAGCACATGACTGAGCTCAACTTTGTTATTATCAACATAATATCGTACATACTCATGACTAGCTACCCCGACAATGTGCACGCAGCGGATGTACGCGACGAATCCAGCAGCGCGTTTTCCAAAAGCTGGTGTCTTGACTGTATCATTTCGCGAAAAGATGTGATCACGACTTCACCGACAGAGGTGGTTAGTTGGGTCTGAGCTATGTGCTGGTTGCCAGTAACAGCTTCATTTGAGTCTGCCGTAGTAAGCCGTAGAAGCGTTTGCACCCGACACATACTCGTAGATCCGTTCGTATCCAGTGGATAAACAAAAGCCCAACCTGTATCTCTCGTCACATACCTCCAAGGCGCAGAAGACGTCGGATACGCCGACCATTCCGAGATCGCCTCCACTAGAACCGCGAAGCCTCCAGGAATAGCGACACGCTTCTTTAAACAGTGTGATCGGAGCATTGCTGTACCCCCACATTTCAGTGGCTGGTTGTACCAACCTTCCGATGCCATATCATCTTCCGAGGGCGTAGAGATCAATTTCTCGTTCAGGAAGTCTCCAAGCTTCATGATATCCCACACGCTTGTCGACGTTTTTTCGGCACTAAATGGCATCAAGCGGTTGCGTGTGAACTCCACTACGGAGACTGGGTGGAGACTTTCTTGCTGATAAATCCGGATTTGATCTGCATCGCCTGCTTCTGTTGTAGTCCGATTGTCGTGGAGAAAGGTGTCAAGTTCCTGGAGTCGAGCCTGCACACGACACTCCAGCCTGTTGAAAACTGTTGTACCAAGCAATCGAAGTCCATGTACGATCCGCATCTCGCCTTGCAACGAACTCGCGTTGTTCTCCACGTTCTCTAAGGCCGCCTGCAGCGTATCAGATATTTTCTTGTAGCGTTTGATCGACTGTTTAAGATGCGAGTTCTCAGCTTGAGCTTGCTGGTATCCTTCTCGCTCTCTCTTTGCGGCAGCTTTCCATAGCTCCTGCCCCTTAGTGGTGCCCATACACTCATCAAACAACTTGGCGTGGGTGTCCCGCAGCCTCAGAAACGCCACTTGAGTTTCCAACTCCTTTGTTTCGATTCGTAGATTTCGCAGTTCTTCTTTACGGCGCTTCCATACCGGATTCGGATTCTTGTAGGGCTGCTTTGATCTCTTAGTGGAGCGTTTGGAACAGCCCTTCCGAGCCGGAGTTGACGTGGCTGGCTGGCAGTCGAACGCCTTCATTTCTTCCAAGAATTCCTCAAGAACGTCGAAGTCGCAGGTGATAGTCGCATTTGTGCTTAGTTGGTCTGTGGGCGGCATTCCGACCTGTAGTTCTACCGGGTTATCAGCGATCATGAGCTCGATGTGGATAGCACAAGAAGGAGACTGAGGGCCGGAGACGAAATGAGCACGAAAAGTACCGACGAGATTTGATGCTGCGATTTGAGGTGATCATTCCTAGCCTTTGTCCTTGACATCACCGATGGCGATAATGTTTTTGCCAATCATCCGATGATTCATTGTGAGCTCTATGCCCTGAAGCCAACAGTTGTACAAAAGTTGTTTTTCTTTACAGTTTGCAAGTTGCAGCACAGAAGACTGAACGCTGATTGCGGCAAGCATATGCGAAGCCAAGCATCGAGCGAGGAACTGCAGCTGGACAGGAGAGGACACTGTGTCAGTGTTCGGGGAGTAGAATACTGCTGGAGACACGCTATCGCAGTGGTAAGCAACAGCACGAGCAGATCGGACGCCAGCGTGTCCGATATATTTGTCGGAGCATCGCGCATTTTTTTCACCTTGTTTGGGATGAAAGGGTAGAGCTGAACATGATGAACACTTTTTATTGTCCGGGTTTCAGAAGGCTCGGTGAAAGTCGCCAATAGGATTGAGATGATGCAAATTTGGCCAGCATCAACTCTGTGAAGCGTGGTGAAGTCCTTTCATTTGAAAGAGTTAAGATACCAGCACAAAAAGACTCGCAACCCACGACTGTGAAATAGCCAGAGACAGTATGAGTTTCCTTTTGCTTGCATGACAGCTAAAAAAAAACAAGTTAACTAAACGATATCCCCAAAGCAGCAAGCAGACCAGTTCGTAGCCGCATCAGACGACTTTGTTCTTTTTCTTGCCGAACCGGTGAATTATTTGAGAAGGCTAAAGGGCATGCTTCTCCGAATCGATAAATAAAACAAAATCTTGCTTTATGTAAATACACTGGGTCACAACAGAAAATGGATGTTGCTCTTAATTTAAATTAAAACTGTAAGGTAAAAATTGTTTTGACAATAATTGGAATCAGTACCGTTTAAATGTCTGCGTTGGCATCATTTTGACGCATTCAGCGACCACCTTCAGCCTTGCAGCAACTCACGGCGACAAATGCGTGAAGCTGAGCTACATAACCCCTCGAGTTCAGCAAGTGTTGCGACTGCTGAATGCAATGATATTCTCGAGGCTTTTCTCCAGGACATGAGCGCTCTTGATCAACGCGAGCTCAGACTGACGGCGACTGCATCAACGGCCAAAGTATCACGTCCATCGTCCGTATCAGCTCCAAGGAGTAGACAACTAACGCGAGCTCAAGATCGAAATACTCTCGAGACTGCAGCCACGAGGACAGTCAAGAAGAAGCGATTAAATCCGTCGTGGATTAAGCGTAAGCGGGAACTGGAGGCTCTACGGGAAGAAACGGAAGCATTAAAGACTCGAGTGGAATTTCTGCGGATGAAGGGCATCCCGGCTACAACGCCGAGAGTCAATGGACCTGTGACTTTGGAGCTGAAAGAATCTCTTGAGAAAGAGAGGCAGCATTGCCAAGCTGCTCTGGAAGAAAATTATTTGCTGAAAAACAGACTACAAGACTACGTGAATCTTTCAGGACACTTACAGACTGTCCTTACTGCTGCTGCACAACAGAAGAACCAACTAATCACTATGAGCTTCTCAGCTGCAAGGAATCTTCGCATGGAACCCGGAGCAGGATATCAACTACGCCTCGCGAGTCCAAGCGTCTTTGATATGCTAGAAGAGCGAGTAAACACGCGATTCCGAGAGCTTGAGGCCTCTCTCAATGACACTTCGCAACACGTATCATCAGTCGATACAGAACTCATTCAAGTCTACAACAAAAATGGGGATAGAAATATGGGAACAGTGGAGTTTAAGCGTGCCCAATTGCTACCATTCCAAGAGACTGCGATCTCTGGTATTATCTGGTCGATTGTCGAGATGGGCGGGTTTCCTGACGGCCATGATTCGCGTATTATTCGACGCTCCGAGGACGTTTACGCGATGGACTCACGGTTGACCGTTTGTCTAGATAACGGGGACTCTGTGAGTATGAACACGCATAGTGTGATGAAGCGCTTCCTGACTACAACCGGGACAGTCTTGTTGCTAGAGTCGAATTCCGACTGGACGGCTGACCTCGAAGACTCCGGCTCGTGGGTGCAAACTACAGATGAAGGAGGCTGCTTCGTTATACGCAGTTATGGCATCAATGGGAGTCGTGATCCCAGCGATATCTCGCAGCTTCACTCTGAGCTGACCCTGAGGCCCAGTGATCCATCAGAAAATGCTAGACGCACGGTGAATGACGTTGTGATTCCTTCTTTTCGTGAGATTGTCGAGTCTCGCCACCAGTTCGTAGAAAACGCCTTGTTCGATTGCTTAAGAACCACCAGGGTTGCTTGAAATGCCAGTTGCGAGTGCTGGTAGAGTGTTCATTAAAGTGTTTGGCTGTTGGCCGCATCTCGCGATAAGCTGGACATGTGAGCTGAAAACTTGAAAAACTCGCCGTAAGTGTTGTTTTCCATGCAGCTATTATGTCCAGAAGCCCAGATTTGCACCAAGTTTGATGACGTTCCACGCGATGCTCTTCAGCGCTAGGTGGGCTTAAGCGAATGTACGTGAACTCTACTACAGAAGTAGAACTCGGTCTTGCTGGAAAACATGAACTTGATCGATGTTGGCCTTGAAAGTCTGACTGTCGCGGAGAACAGTGCCCAATTTAATGAAGCCTACGGCACTCAAATTTGACAATAACAAAAATCGGATCAGCTAACTCAAATTTGTTGAATTGTAGCTGATCCGATTTTTGTAATTGTCAGGCCCTGCACCAGTAATATGACTTGAGTGTGAAGTGATCCATCTGGTTATGTCCGTTTTGTAAACACCCTTCCAATCGTTGGTTAATTGAGACCTTGGAAATGGGCGATTCCACGTCCATGCCCGACTGCGCCATACTAGATGAAGACGCCCTGCTGGACATTATAGAGGATGTATGGGGTGATCAGACTCTCCCTGGCAGCCCTCTCGCCTATGTTGCGGTGCCCGACGAACAGCTCACTACCATGGGGAAGAATGCCATAACCTTTTCGTCAACAGACCAAGAACAGGAACCAAAACCCGACAAGCCCAAGAAGAAGCGACGACGCGACCGTAATCGCCCATGGCACGAAATTGCTCGATTGGAATCGGAAAGTAGCGAACTAGAGCGAGAGCTACAGACCCTAATGGCCAGTGCCAGTAAACGAGCTCGAGGAGCTCTGCACAGTCGCAACATCAATGCTCAACTCAAGACAATGCTGAAAGAAAATATCGAGGACATTCGTCACCTTGAGCAATATTTATTGCATCAACTAGACGAGCTAGGAAGAGACTTTCCAAACCCTCTGATGATGACGCGTGTTCTCCCGTTCGACGTTCAAGACAACTCGATATTTTGGGATATGGCTCGCAGCGTGGACGACCAGTACAAGGACATGGATCGTGTCATTCGACGGGCAGAACTGGGTGACATGACTTCAGAAATGGTGGAGAGTTACGTCAGTCGCACGAAGTCTGTGTATACGGGTGGCCAATTGGCTGATATGCTCAAATTTCGAGCTCAACTCTTGACGCCATTTAAGAGAAATACACTGGAGAAAGCCTTATGGGGAGGAGTTGAGAGCGGAGGAGGAGTCACGCTTCGACAGGATCAAAATAATTGTGATATTGTAAGTTTTGTACTTGTTTGGTGCATTCGATGGAGAAATTTAATATTAACAACATTTTTTATTGTAGGTACTACCGGTTGATGTATCCTCTCGAGTTGCTGTTCAGAAGTACGAAATTTCAATTGACAATTACACGTGCACTATGCGGATGGTGATGAAAGAATTCATTGAGAATCATCGAGTTGTTCAAGTGTGGAAGATGCTGGCAGAGTGGCAAAAAGTGGGGGCGGTGCACAACGTGAAGACGCACGAATACGGATGGGGATACCTCCAACCTGTTGGAGAGAAAACTACCCTCAGCGTGGGCTGTATCCTAGTTACTCCGACTATTGACGGATTGTTTCCACGCGACAATTGTGAGAGTATCAAGTCTCTCACTAACACGTATCAGAAAATGGTGTTATCGCGGCTTCAACAGCTAGAGAACCAAACGATGGATCAACTCGTACGAGAGAAGAGCAGCGCAGCATTCGGAGGGAGCTCCTATCAGGTGCTAAGTTGATAAATCTGCCTCATGAACGAATGGTGTCGAACAAAGCATTCTGCACAAACTGGTGGCGAGACTTAATGAGTTGACTGTAGGACGAGATCACCACTTCCCTGATTGAGTTCTCTTCTGACCGCAAATAGCTCTGTGTCGTGTCATAATTTTCGTCCGGGTACAGACACAACAGTGATCGAGCCTGGCAGATTCCAGATGAAGTGCCACTTTCAACAGAGTAATCCCTCATCACAAAGCAGCCTCCTTCTCTTGTTGTATGGTGCCACATTCCTGACGCTGGACTATCGACAGTCCACTCAGAGTAACCTTCCATCAAGACAGCGTACCCTTCACCTGTCATAAAGCGCTTAACCACGCCGTGGGTATCAATAGTGACCATACTACCACAATCAATCTGCACTGCGACCCGGGTGTTGACGGCCAGGATATCATCAGAACGTCGACTGACAATAGACTGCTCCCCATCAGGGAATCTCCCTTCCTCGATAAACGACCACATTGTAGAAGAAATGGCTTCTTCCTCAAATGGCAGTAGTTCCAACCTCGTAAATTCCACAGCCCCACGCTCGTTTCTCGTTTGTATAGTTTCTGTATCTGTAGAGATCATAGGCTGCTGCATAGCTCTGTAAGCATACTCCAGTTCGTGGAATCTGGTGTCTAATCTCCTCTCCATCATGTCAAAGACTTGAGTTCCGCAAGCACGTAGTTGTCTCCCTGCCCCCATTTCGACTCTCAGAGCTCCCGACGTGATACTTTGAAGCTCCTTTAGCTGATATTCTCCAGACGCGATAGCCATCTGGAACGCTTCGTACTGTCTTGTATAGAACTGTAGCATGGCTCGAAGCTGCATGTTCTCGTTCTGAGCAGCAATGCACCGCTGCTTCTCCACTAAAGCTGAGCTTTTTGCTTTTTGTACGTTAAAGGCGTTTAAATTCTTGTTTGGAGATGATTGTTTCATTTCCAGATACACCACACGGGTTTCCATGGCTTGAGTTTGTTGACGTAGCGCTTCGAGCTCCTGTTTGCGCTTCAACCACGACGGCTGCTTCTTCTTGACTTCAGTTCTGTTCTGACTCGGGTGGGCCGCTAATGCTTCTTGTTTGCGCTTCTTGGACGCTGACAAAAGATTACTGGTGGCTGGCTTCGATAGGCAGTGGTCGAGGGTGTCCATGTCGTGCAGGAAGCTCTCCAGGAGGTCATCGCACGCGCCTGGAGACGGTGACAAGGACGGCATAACGTAATTCGTTATCTCGTTCTGAAATTATGATACTCTTTCGTACTTAATTGGAAATCAAATTGAACTTCAAGTTCAGCAGAAATTTTTTTTTTATTATTTTTCGAATAATTGAGGTATTGTTCAATTTTCTCTTCATGCACGAGCAGAATCTACGAAAGCATTCTCCACAAATTGCTGCCGTGCTTGGACGAGTCCACGAAATGACGAGACCACGACCTCCCGTACCATGCATGGATTAACCATTGGATGTTTTCTCTCATGCCCTGCAAACTCACTAGGACGTAGACGCAGCTCGGAACGATTTTGGCACAGCTCTCCACTTAGATCCTCACGTATCGCAAAGCAGCCCTCCTCTTGCATCGCGTACGTCCAAGTACCTGAATTTGGTAGCTGGAGGGTCCATTCGGAGCACGTTTCAGTGAGCAGCGCGCAACCTTTTGGTCTGTCGAATCGCTTCAGTATTTTGTGTCCGCTAATTTCGATACTCCCGCCGGAATTAAGGTGTATCGTGGAGACAACAGTTATCGCAACCACATCTTCCGAGAGTATTTCCGCCTGCACTTGCTCTCCGTCTGGAAACTTTCCACTCTTTGCCAGAGCCAATATCATCGAAGCAATGGTGTGGTTGTCAAACGGCAGCAGCTCGACCCACAAGAATGCCACTGCCCCATTTTGAGCATTTGTGTTGCACGTACGAAATTCGGACCTTGCTGGAGCTGTTTCGGTCTCCATCTTAATAAATACTGCATCCAATTCGCTGATTCTTGCGTCTATTCTCCTCTCCAGCAGGTTCCAAATGCTCAAGTGACTAAATCGAAGTTGCTTCCCCGTTCCCAGCTCCACTCCAAGAGCGCTAGAGACTGCCATTGTCCGGTACAATTGGTCTACATCGCACATTGCCAGTGCTGTCTGAAGCTCCTCACGCTTCCTTAAACAATTGCGCAACTGCTCCTTTAGCACCGCGTTCTCGTGCTGCGCCTCGCGACGTCGTCGCTCTTCGACGATCGCCACTGTTTGAGCTCGCACTTCACCCAGGCGTCCTTGTCCCATCCACGCGTTTCAGCTGCATAAACAGGAGAAAGTCCTCGAGCTCCTCGCCGCAAGCTCGTTCTTACGCCGCAAGCTCGTTCTTACGCCGCAGCCATGTCGATTTCTTCTTTCTCATCGTTCTTGTGTTATTCTCCCGAAATTAAGCATGAAAGGAATACGAAATTAAATACGAAATTAGTTTCCATGTCTCATCCCCTCTATCGAGATAGAGACGAACCAATATCACTATAGACAGGAAAAGGAAGGCCGCATTTTGACTCGAACAATGACCAAAGCTTCTCATGTGGCTAAGGAGGCCGCGTCAGTCTCCTCGGGCACCAACGACTGCTTATCGCACTTCCTGGCAATACCAGACAATGACCAACACATTGTAGACCAGGAAAACTCATGTTTGCAGCAGTCTCCGGTCGTTTCTGCGTCCCCAGCAGCCTCGAAATCAAGTTCCTCTGTTGGCCCGTCCTTTTGGCCTGCCAACGCTACGATAGCGACGAGTAAAGGGCCCAGTACTAAGCCCAAGAAGAAGCGGCGACGAGACCGCAATCGTCCAATCCACGAGATCCACCGCCTTCAATTACAAGTGAAAGAAATGGAGAAAAAACTCAAGACCTTGAAACCTGAAAATTCGACGGAGTTGCACGCTCTGAAGGAGAAGAACAAGACTCTAAGGGAGAAAGTGAAGAAGAGCGTTGAAAACACGACAGCAGTAGCGCAATTGCTACAGATTCAAGCAGATCAACTGCTACAGGCTCTGCCAAAGTCGCTCACAGTCTCGGGTGATAATTTAGTGTACGATTTAGTGGAAGACGACGCGATTTTTCAGGCTCTGGCAAGGACAGTGGACGAGCATTATCTGGGTATGGATAGAATACTGCTAGATGCTGGCGTGAAGGGAGCAACCACCGAAATATTTGACGCTCGAGTGTCCAGACCGACCTCTATGACTGACTCGGATTGCGTCTTAAAGACGAGAACTTGTGCTTTTCTACCGTACGCGATGGAGTGTGTAGAGACGGCCATGTGGCGTCGACTGGAGAGCGAGTCAGCTATTCTACCGGAGACTGTACAGTCCAGCAAAGACCTGGTACGATATTTTATTTTTTATGTTATTTAAAAAAATTCTAACTTTTTTTATTTAACAGGGTCTGCCTCTTGGAATTGCGTCAAATTTGATCGTCTCGAAGCGGGAAGTGCGTCTGGATAACGTGTCGTTTACTATTCGGTTGGCTCTGAAGGAATTCGCAGAACCAGATCGATTAGTCTACGTCTGGGACGCTGTAGGCGATTGGCCGCAGCCTAATACTGCACTTCATGTGTCCACTCGAGAGTACGGTTGGAGCTACTATGAGCCGACAGACTCACCCGATCTCAGTATCCTTCGAAGTCTTGTGCTAGTGCGTTCGACCACTACACCGACGATTGACATGGAGATTCTGGAGCGCGTGATGCAGCTGTATCGACAAACCATCGAGGCAAGATACCAAAAACTAGAGAATACGCTAGTGGATGCGTCGATATGCTCCAAGAAGGCCTCATGCGTGGACGATGGTTCAGTTGTGAAAGATGTCTGCTGCATTGGCGACGGCAATACTTCCAAGTAAGTAAAATTCTTTGAGTATTTTTTTACTTCGGGAATTTATGAAATCGTCACGTATTAGCCGTGCGTATCGAATCCCACAATCTGTTTTCCCAACACTGGCGCTGTGATTCGATGAGCTGACGAAACGTAGCCATAGTAGCGTCCTGTGTGAAGCCCGACGAAGCACTTAACGTATTGCTAATCGTGTGCTTTGGAACGGCTTCGCTGCGTGCAACAGCATTCACTTGGCAACCAGCTTCATGACAGCTAAGAGAAAATCTACGGATCACACACCAGATCGACTCTCGAGACTCGTTACTCCATACAATCGACGAGTCACGGCGAACTGTCCACTCTGAAGTTGCCTCTGCTAGTATCACACACCCATCGGGTAAAATAAATCTCTTGGCAACACCATGGATGTCCACAGTCGCGATTTCGTGTTCGTGTAGTGGCAACGCAAAGCGAGTATCCACGGCATGCACGTCTCTCGACAGCTTCGTTACATTGGACGCTTGCTTTTGTGTAGCTCCTCCCTCTTCGACTATTGTCCACGCAGCGCTCGATGTCGCACGCTCATCAAAGGGCCATACTCGTGTGCATTTGTACTCTAACGTATTTCCTGCTTCGCTTTGAACGTGATCACTATCCATTGGTATCGCAGTATGGCGGATTTCGTCCAGAATCGATTGAAAGCCTTCGAAGCGCTCGTTAACTCTGTCTTCCAGTGAATTAAAAGTGCTGGGGCTGCTGATCTGCAACTGCGGTAGTGTCCTTGCGTTTAATTCAGCGCAAATTACGCTGGCAGGCGCCACGACGTTTAGTTTGCTTTGTTCTCTTCTGATTCCCGTCGCTAGAGCCACTTGAAATGCCCTCGAGACCTGGAGACAATTCTTCAAATGCTTTTTCAGATTTTCATTTTCCTGCTGAGCCGCGTGGCGTCGTTGCTGCTCGTTATCGGCCCGTAGTTTGGTCTTGTGGAGCTGGTCAAGGCGCTTTCTCGAGATCCCGAGCTGGCGCGTCCTTTTCACCTGCTGGAGCTGGAGAAAAACAACTCGAGTTTCCAGCTCTTCTCTCTCTTGTCGAAGAGCTTCTAACTCGCGTTTGGATCGGAGCCACGAGGGAATCTTCTTGGAGAGTCTCGGGGTCCGAGGACGTCTTGCCACGTTGGCAGTGCGATCTGGCGCATTCTGTTGTCTGTCAAGTTCGTCCATGTCCTTCAGGAACAAATCCACGGTGTCGATAAGCTCCATCCTGTCCACCTCGGTCTCTGATAGAAAAAAAAAAAGCTGAAGTGAGACCACTATGGATCTCACTCTGTAGTACCGTGATGATGGCAAGGATATCATGGGGTAATCCTTGTTTTGGGAGTCGCCTACGCAGCGAAAACTAAAGCTAAAGGGCCTACTGGAGCGAGTTTCTCGTAGCTGAGTCGTGACTCATGACTAGTATTACTAGCGGCTTGGTCATTATCGGAGAAGAGTAGTGATGTCCTGTCCACGTGTATCACTATCATACTATCAAGGACCAGACCTGCCGGTACGATGCCGGTGTCGCCCTACCTCGATGAAGAGAGTCTCATGGCAGTGGTCGACGACGTCTGGAGTTTGCTGAGTCCATCAAGTAGTCCAATTCATCACTTGAAGTCCGTGGCAGGCGATGCAGCAGTGACAGACACGGCAAATGTCGTGGCAGCGCAGACCGCAGTGAAGAAACGCAAGAAGCGGCGGCCTGACCGCAATAGACCTCACCACGAAATAGCGCGATTGCGAGCTCAAGCCGCTGAACTGGAGAGCCAACTGCAGAAACAAACCACAAAAGACACTCGGTACTACACCAACGTTGGGCTGAAGGCGATGCTATGCGAGAGTTTCGATGACATCTATGCACTCGAGCAGAATTTAAACACTCAGATAGAGGAGCTCCTTCGAGGCATGCCCCGTGTGCTCGCTGCGATGTCTCGAAATCTTCCGTATGACATAACGCAGGACGATGGAATGTTCGCAATGATGGCGCGAAGTCTGGATGATCAATACACGAACATGGATCAAGTTCTTCGCGTCGCTGGGCTTGACAAAATTACTTCGGAAGTAGCAGACGCTTCAATTTGCCACTCTAACGACGCAATTGGGAACTATGGAGTTACTCTCAAGTCTCGGACGTGCATTTCTTCTCCGTTTAGAAGCGACTGCAGCGTTGGAGCATTGTGGAGGCATTTTGAGCGCTGCCAACGTGCAACGATGGACTCGACTCAATTTAGAAATCTGGTAAGTTCAAATTTTAGAGATTTTCTGATAAATTACTTACCAGCGGTCATTTTAGGATCTCCCACTTGGAATCTCGTCTCGCGTTGCTATTCAGAAATTCGAGGTCACGTTGGGCGACTATGTCTGTGCCATGCGGATGGTAGTGAAGCAGTTTGTCGAGAGGGATCGTATCGTTCACGTATGGAACGTACACGCCGACGTTGGAGCACTATTCAATGTGGAAACCTGCGAAACAGGGTGGGGCTTTATCCGGCCAATGAACAACGACAAGACCAGTGTGTGTGTGAGCTACAGCCTCGTGAATGTGACCGCGCAATGTTTTTCATCCAAGGAGACTTGCGGGACAATTAATTCTCTGATCAAGTTGTACCACACTTTCATAATCTCCCGCCTCCAAGCTTTAGAAAACCAAACACTTGATCGACTCATTCTAGATCGAAACGCAGTGGTTTCTTAAAAATGCAACACATCAGTAACTTGATGCAACAACAAAAACTCGGCACAAGACAAACCGAATGTTATTAAGACAGTAGGCGTCTGGAAACCTACCATTATTCATTAGGAAATGGTCGTAGTCCAGCGCTCCAAACGTACTTGTAGCCATTCTGTTCTCACCGTCACATTCCACTCCACAATCGCTCTGTACAACATCATCTCTTCTAGCCTCCAAAGTTAAAGTGGAAAGTGCGTCCTCCTTGCTGGAAAAAGTGTGCATTGCTGAACGGGTTTCCACGCTGCTGCTGCTGTTGCGGGTTGCCAGTGACATCTTCGCCACGGTCGTACTTAGCACGGGTCTCCTCGTTCGACAAGATCTCATAAGCCTCAGCGATATCGTGGAAGCGCTTCTCCACCTCCTCCCGCTCTGCCTCATCCTTGTCCGTGTGCTTATCCGGATGCCATTCCAGCGCCTGTTTGCGATACGCCTTCTTGATCTCCTTGGCTTCCGAGTTGCGAGCCACGCCCAGAATTTTATAGTAATTCTTGGTCTTGCTCTGCTTCAACGCGGCCTCTGCCTGAGCCACTTTTTCCTTAAATTCGCGGCTATCATCCAGTTCAGCAGCTCGTTTTGCCGACCGAACGGCGTCCTCGTACAGCTCCAGTCCGATCTGTGCCTCGCTCAGCTTGGCAAAGGCCAGAGCGTAGCCATTATCGATTGCCACTGTCTTCTCACAGGCATCACGAGCTTCTTTAAAGTGTTTCAAGTGCAGCTCACTCGTGCACAATTGGAGAAAGAACTCCTTGTTCATTGCAGAGTGGTCCGGGTCCACTTCTAGAGCCGATTGCCACTCTTCCACCGCCTCAGCGTGTGCTCCACGTTGCATGGCGTCTTCAGCTCGATTCACATATTTCAGTACCTTTTTGAGTCGTCTGTACAATGACTTGATGCCTTTGTGCTCGGGATCTGAGTGCAAACCCTGTCGGTAGTGCGACTGAGCCGCCTCCAGCGACTGTTTGTCGCCCAGAGAGTACAACACCTCGCCACGCATCTGTAACGCGATCAAATTAGACGCATCCAGTTTTAGAATTGATCCCAGATCGGCAATTGCGTCGTAAGGGTTTTGCAGTGACACACTCAGTTGCGCACGTTCCAGAAGCAGTGGCACACTCGAGATGGCTGAGCCTTCCAGCACTTGTGACAAGTAATTGTAGGCCGATTGGTAGTCTCCGCGACTGTGAGCACGCTCCGCTTCGTCGATATACGAGGCACATTCCTTGCTTTTATCCAGTTGCTCAGCACTGGCCGAATCTTTCGGGTACAACCTAAATTTTTTTGAAAATTTACAAAAAGTGGGTTAAACGTAATGAAAACAAAATGAAAAATAACGAAAACATTTGCCAAACTCACTCAACAACCGTCTGGAAATCCTGAGAGGCTTCGGCACACTGCCCCAGCATCATAAGCAGCTTGCCACGCTGTAGTCGACCCTGTTTGTACTTGGGATTTACGTCTAGCGACGATGAAAGGTCCGACAACGCGTGCGAGTACTTGCGCTCGCTCAAATAGGCCCGGAAGCGCTTGTAGAAGTTGCGCTCGTTCTTGGGTTCCAGCTCGATGAGCTTGGATAGCAGAGAAATTGCTGTCTTCATGTCCCCACCGGCGAACGCATTGTCAGCGGCAACGCGAACTTTTGCCACTGAGTCGGGATTTGCCTCTGCGAACTGAAAATGACAAGTATTTTTAGACATGTTAGCGGAATGATGGTCCGGCAATGTGGCAAAACTGCGAAAACTCGAGATGTAGGAGGAACTAAGCTCCGAGCGTTGGCAGAGAGATGAAACGCGAGGTGGTACGTACGTTGGTCGAGCAGAGTGCGCAGAGGACGCCAGCGACGAGAGCGAACACGCGCATGATGCCGCTTATCCGCCGATTCAGATTTGTTGCGTCGCGTTGAAATCCCAAATGAATCGGCACCTTTTTACACTCGCGATTTGTAGCTATCCGATTAAGTACGATTATGGATTTTCACATTTTGTCAAAAATGGACACGTGGCTTCAACTACGAGCTTGTTGTCAGCCAGTGCTTTGCCAATGTGGATCACGAAAAGGCATGTGGCAAATTTCATCCCGAAAGTTCCGCAAACGATAAATGTGAAACGAAATGGAAAACTGTGTATTACCATAATGAAGCAGTGAGGATCAACTGCCCCCAGTTACTCGATGGTGGGCACAACGGCGTTTGTGAAGCGGTCGCGGTCGTGAGGACGGGTAAAGTCGACGTTCGGACCAGCCGGGACAATTCCGAACGGATTCAAGTGCGTGTGTGAAGCGTAGTAGTGCGTTTTAATATGCGGCATCACCACCGTTTCCGCCATACGAGGCAACTGGTAGATGTCGCGAGCGTACTGTGTACCAGAAGAGAAAAAGATAAATTAGATTTGCTACAATGACCAAAGCTCCCGATGCAATACGTACGTTGCTGAGGTTCGGATACTGCTGGATGAGTTTCCTGCTGGCCTTGAAGTGCACGGCATAGACCTCGTCGAACCGCACGAGAGTCGGGAAGAGCTTCAGATCCGCTTCCGTGAGTCTGTCGCCGACCAAAAAGCGATGCTCCGACAAGATTTTCTCGGCGCGGTCAAGGCCGGCAAAGACTTTTTCGACAGCGGCGTCGTACAGTTCCTGCGTCCCGGCAAAGCCGCACTTGTAGACGCCGTGGCTGACGTCATTGTAGATCCAGTCGTTGATCTCGTCAATCTCCGATCGGAGCTCTTCAGGGTACAGATCGATTTTCGAAGGCACCAGATCCGCGAACCCGCTGTTGAACATGCGCACGATATCTGCGGAATCGTTCGACACGATGGTGTTCTTCTTCTTGTCCCACAGTAATGGCACGGAGTAGGGGGTTTTCTCGGTCGTACATTTTTCGTACAGATCGCGGACGAACTGCGCGTTGTTTACAGTGTCGGGGATGCAGCCTTCGGACGAGTACGAGCCGAGACCTGTAGGCCCAACAAGTGAAGGCGTTGTGGCTGGGTCCACAAATGTCCACCCGGTGTGGGTGTCGTCCTTATCGTCCGGCCGCGTACGCTGCATCACCGGGTGCGCGATTGACAGCTCGATGATACTGTCCAGCCCTTTCAGGTACAACGTGCTCAGACAGCGAGATGCCCATGGACATGCGTAGGACACGTACAAGTGGTACCGATCCTTCTCTAGAATAATAGCAGAGTTTAGATTCTTGCTATGTATCTAAAGCTTTTGGTGTCGTACCAGCAGGAAAAGCTGCGTCGCTGCTACGCTCGATGAAGTTGCGGAACTTGCTCGCTGGCTTGTTTTGCGCCTTGGCTGTCTTGAACACAAAACCTTTAGCTGCCATGGTTTACGCCGCTGGGATGCTTGAGTTGTTGGTTAATTGTAGAATGAACAACGAATTCCCCTTTTTGACTGCAACTTCCACTGACGCACGTGGTCAACAAAACCCCGTGCGTCAACATCAAAAAGTAGGATAGTACTAGTATTACCTATTGTTAAAATACCAATTCATGGTCAACATGTTTTGATATCTTAGGATTACGAGTTTGGGTAACCAAGAGAATACCCTCGTATTATGCAACAAAGAGAAAGCTCATCAAAGAGTATCGAGGATTCTGGAAGCTTAGAAACTCGGCAGTGTGGCGTTGCTGAAGCGGTTCCGGTCGTGCGGGCGAGTGAAGTCAACACTGGGACCAGCAGGAACAATGCCGAACGTGTTCAAGTGCGTGTGGGATGCGTAGTAATGCAGTTTGATCTGCTGCATGTTCACACTTTTAGTGATCGGTGGCATCTGATAGATGTCTCGGATGTACTGGGCAAATAACAATTAGTTAACCGCCAGCTTTCTCACTAAGTAAACACCACACGTACATTGCTGAGGTTCGGATACTGAGCAATGAGCTTCTTGTTGGCCTTGAAGTGCACCGCGTACACTTCGTCAAAGCGGATCAGCGTCGTAAAAAGCCGCAGATCAGCTTCAGTGAAGCGATCTCCAACCAAGAAACGATGAGCAGCCAGGATCTCTTCAGCACGGTTCAAACCGCCAAATAACTTGTCCACAGCTTCTTCATACGCTTCCTGCGACGTCGCAAAGCCACATTTGTAAACGCCGTTGCTGACGTCGTCATGTACCCATTCGTTGAGTTCATCAATCTCCGACTGCAACTCTTCTGGATACAAGTCCACTTTGGACGGCACCAAGGCCTTAAATGCACTGTTAAGCATACGAACGATGTCCCCGGACTCGTTCGACACGATCGTCTTGTCTTTCTTGTCCCACAACAACGGCACAGTGTACCGAGTTGGCTCAGACGTGCACATGTCGTACAAGTCTCGGATGAATTTGGCGTTGTTTACCGTATCTGGGATGCATCCTTTGGACGAGTAAGACCCAAGACCCGAAGGTCCTGGTAGCGTTGGCGTCGTCTCTGGGTCGGCAAATGCCCAGCCACAGTGCGCGTCGTTGTCGTCATTGGGTCGAGTCCGTTGGAAGACCGGGTGCACCACTGAAAGTCCAATGATATCGTCCAGTTTCTTGACATACAATGCCCCGAGACAACGTGAAGCCCACGGGCAAGCCAATGAGACGTACAGGTGGTAGCGGTTCCTCTCTGCGAATACAGCATCGCATTAGGCGAAATTTTCACAGTTTTCACTACTAACGGACTATCGGTTGAATTTTTTTTTTGTTGTTGTGAATATTTTGGAGATGCACAAACCGGCTGGGAAGGTGGCGCTGCTGTTGCCCTCAATCCAGTTGCGGAACTTCGAGGCCTCGCGCTGGAACGCGCCCTTGGTCGACGTGGCAACGAACGCCTTGGTGGTCATACGCTTTGAGGACAAAATTTCTTTTGACAACATGAAGGGAGGGCAACAAAAACGTCTAATTGGCCAAAATAGATTTATCCAGCGTACCAAACTTTGATACCCAACACTTATCAAGAAGTTTATTGATGCACAACTGTAGAGCCTTCGTTGCTGATGTAGGCAGGAGATTAATAAAGTCACTGTACGAGGTTACAACCAACTGAAGGCTCCATCTTAGTCTAACCGATGGGTTGGATGGTAGGATGTCTGTCAGATAGCGAAAATTAAGGGGATCATAAAAAAAAAAACGGTCGCCGTTGCCGACACTAAAGTCCGCTTCGTCGCATCAAGCAGCCGCGTTGAAGTTATCTCCATGCGTCAGATGACTCTTTAGCCCCGTGAGTCGACATCCCAGGGAGCAAACACGTTCTTTCCTCGTTCCGTGCTGGCGTCGACGCTAAGAAATGGCTCATAGAATATTTGACATAAAGGACGCCATGGGTATGTACAGCCGGCCTGTGAACACGGGATCTCAAATATGAACAATTGCATACGACTTCGAGCTCAGGTAAACGGGGATGCCAGCTAAGACGTCATGGACCACCGTTCAAAGGACACACACGTCAATATCTTTCAAGACTGTGCAGGAGCGTAACGCCAACGCTCAAAGTACGCAGCCGCCTTGACTAGGAGGAGGATAGGCCGTGCGGAAAAGCAGGTACCAGGTCGGACCGAATGAAAGCTGAGGCCTTTCGTTTCGTCTTTCGGCATACTTGAAGTTGCCTTTTTTCCGTTACATAACCTGATTACGCGTATAGTTGTCATTATTTGATATCCGGATTGTGAAATTTATAATACTCGGCTTAAGTCAAGAGATGTATACACATTTACCCAAATACAAATATACATATACAGTACTGCACCCATTTTCGTGCCCTCGGACATATGATAAACCTCCGGATATAATGTTCCTTTTGCAAAAAATCCTCTGTGTTTTATTCTGAAACCTGATGTGTTTGCAAATACGATATGTTCCATACCAGCGAAAACGGGGTTCATTACTATACGCATGTATCGAGCTATACAATGTTGTCGTGTGTTAACTACCAGTTGCATCTCCTCATGAATCGTTTCAAAACGACTTTAGTTTGTTCCTGCACTGGACTGAGAAGTGCCGGGCAAAGTGCTTCCTTCCAGGCATTTTTTTTCGAGATCAGAGGTTTTGACTGACGCACATCAACCGAGCGTTTGTGTCTTTTGCGGCGCCAATGAGCTCGCACACAAGTGTCAGTGGCAAGTCGAACATGCTGGATTCTGTACCGACCGAGCCGCCTGTCACGCCACTGCGGAGCTATTCCAGTGTTGACTCCGCTTGATATGCATTGTGTGGCACCAGAAATGGACAGATGTGACAAGGGGCCACACGCAGCGTCTTTCTTGTTCTGGCCTTTAGAGCAAGCGTTGCTCTACTTGCACCTTTCGCCAGCCATCATGGGCTCCGAACGCTAGTGTGGCGGCGGCGTTAATGGCCGTTGCAACTTTTCTTTTGTCTACATGAACGTCTATCTTGAGCAAACTGCAGACCAGGCGTTCTGCTCAGCGTTTCAGCATCAAAACCCACAGCTTGCCTCTGTCCCAACTCCTTCGCTCCGCTCCATTCGAGAATTGACCTTACACGGCTCAGCAACAAGAAGTCTGGCTTAATGCGTATCCACCACCGCCCAGCGAAGTCACCGGACTTCAAGAGCCCGTTTGCTCCGCTCCAGCTAGCAGTCGAGGACGAGGCGCAACTGGAAGCGGTAGCGCGGATGTTCGTACAGAACACCGTCGTGCAGTACGAGAAGTACATCGAGCAGGATCGTCGGAAAGTAGACGGGAACTACTGGAAGTGCATCAAGCACGAACGAGACCTGCGCGTATTCCTACAGCGTCGACGGAAGGACGTGGAGCGTCGTATGCGCCGACACGAGCGTCTCCGGAGCTTCCGGCATCGCAGCTCCGTAATCGCCGAGTTTTCCGACCTTGAGTCCTTCAAGTCGAGTCTTGGTAGCCGCGACAGCAATTGCAGTAGTATCTCGAGCTTTTTCAGCCGACGTACAGGCAGCTTTGCGAGCAATCATAGCAATACAAATAGTTCCGACAGCAGGTCAACGGCGTACAGTAACGATTCCGACGTCGCCCCCGGGGCGACTACACTCGCGGGTGTCGAGCTGCCGGTATTACAGCTCGTCGGGTCTGTGCCAGGCTCGATGGACGACGCCATGTACGGTGCTCTTGGCGCTACGGCTGACGCTATGCGTGTGAAAAGCGCTTACGAGCGCGACAACACCACGGACGGCGCCGTGCTCGCTACAATTACCGCTCCTAGCATTGCCGAACCGTTCCGATCCTTGACGGTCAAGTGGGTCGAGCTGGAAGGTCCGACCATCGACCACCATCGCTACCATCCGCTACACTACCCCGTAACTCTACCGGGCGCAAGTTCTCGAGAAGATCTGATCTTCTTGGAGGCTACGGGTACAACGCAACTGGCATCGGGTGAACGGGTTGGTTTCCAACTGCGTCACTCTGTGCACTTCCCTCAAACGCACATCCGACACAACGTACGGCGAGGAAACATGTCAATGTGCACATTATTCCGCGACGGAGACGCCACCACTGGTGCCGTCTCTGAGGGCCCGTGCCGTGGATCCGTCGAAGTGTTCGCGCGTGCCTGTCTGAGCGGCGGCAATGCCGCTGTTCGATCCACGACCGCCCAAATGGCAGCAACCGGCACGGTCGTGTTGTGCGGACGGATGAAGAAGCTCGCGTGGATGCTGGCACAGCGTCAGCCGCCGGCGCAGCAAATGATGGGATTCATTGCCCACCAGACCAGTCTGGCAAGTCTTACGCGTTCAATGCCACCGCAAAAGGCTCGGCACGGATCGCTCACCGTCACGGTGCCGGCGGCCGCGGCGGCCGCCACGACGGCTACTGACGCTAAGTTATGCGTGACCTGCAAGAAGCGTGGCACGTGGTTCAGTACGCACGGCAAGAAGAAGAAGCCGGCCACCACGTGCCAGTTATGCTGGCGGTACGTGTGCTCGTCCTGCCGCTTGAAGAAGACGGTCATGAACTGCGTCACCGATCCGAGACGCGACGACCGTCTCGCAACTCACGTCGTGCAGCGTGAAGTGACGCTCTGTAACGTGTGCGTGCACCAATCTATGGTTGCAACCAGCGCTCGCGACGTCGCCCGAGAAGAGATCGAAGCCGACCCGAAGCGCTGGCGATTCCCGTCCCCAACGCACGGCCGCGACCGCTCCTCGGACGGATATTTACAAGCGCATCTCCTAGCTCAACTAAACGCTTCCACGCACGGCACGAGTGCGCTCCGTCCTGTACCCGTCGTCTCGCTGCGCTCCGATCACGTAGCGAGCGACCTTTTCCAACGCTGTGCATGATCACAGCTAGCTAGTATTCAATATTGTCTCGACGGCCGAACTGTAGGTCCATCGATCATCCTGACCAAGTTACGAAGTCGAAGTAACAAGAAAATAGTCCCAGTTTAACTGTTTTTGGTGGTCCAGACCTTGAAGTTCATGTTGGTCATGCTCATCAAATCTTTGCCCATTGTCCTGCTTGGCGTCTCAACACTTTTATTTGGCATTCTCTAGTGCACCATGGCCTCCATGGCCTTCCAACTGCTCGAAGAAGACGACGAGACGTTCACGGAGGTTCTAGCGCTGTTGGATGAATACAACGCCGCAGTCGAAGAGCCTGTACCTCTTCATAGCTGTACCAAACACTCGTCCCCTTTTAGTCGCGTGTCCGGGAGCGCAGCGTGGGCGGCGTTCGAAGCTGCACACCCGATCACCAGAACTGCCAGTAAACATCGCAATGGAGCGCGCGAAATGCGACGTCGAGAAGTGCAATTCCTTCGCACTTGTGCCAAAGGACTCGAAAGGCAGTTGAATGCGTTGAAAGAGGGGGCGGAGCAGCGCGCACAGATGAGAATCGCCACTGCTGGAACGGACGGGTCCTCGGCGCTCACGGGTATGTGGAAGGACCTGGCGACGCGCCAATTAGAGCTGAGATTGGTCTCCGAAAGGGAGAATAGTCGGCTTCAAACTGCTCTGGAAGACCAGAAAAAGCTGCGTGAAATGCTCGAGCGAGCACTAAACACCCGAGTCGCGAAACGGGTACGAGCTGTGCATTCGAGGTGGTAAAGTAGGAGCTTTGGTTGACTTGCTATTGAAATTGTAGGTGATGGAGACGAGCTTAACACCAGAGAAGAGGACAACACGAGTGCATGGAGTGGCGTTAGATGCATCGGATCAAGAGATTTTCCAGGAGTTGGAACTTGGCGTGGATTCTGTGTATCACGAGGCGGCTCGAGTGTTTCTTCAAGCGGATTCAGGGGATGGTTCCACTTTGGGAGGTGTATTTGGAGAGAAGACACTGCCATTCAACCTTCGGACTACGGCAGACGCTGCGTGGCGATGTTTGGCACAGGCTTTTCACCACGAGAAGTACAATTTCTCCTACAGTCGTGAAAGGAGGAAAAACGACTCAGGAGATGTGGCACACGACGACACGGTTGGCGAGAGCTTTGGTGTTGAGATCAAAGCTCCAGAACGGATGGCAGATTTTAGAATCAAGCAGATTTTCCGTCGTTTTGAAGAATCTGACCGAGTCGTGATCGCGTGGAGATCGTACATCGACCCAGCGGAGTTCAAAGGCCAGAAGCTGGACGGTTTCCGCTTCCAGGAGAAAGGTTCATGTGTCGTTCGGCATCCGACGATGTTGCCAAATGATCAACTAACTGTGCTGCGTATCTGGCACATCATCACTCCAGAGAGTCAAACTAACTCGGAAATGGGCTCGGAGTTTGTCCAGGACCTTACGGATTTTGTGCTCAGTGGATCATCATCGGCAAACACAGTGCAAATGATCGAAAACGCGCTCATTGACGCGCAATCTCCTCGAAGTTGCAGCAATTTTGGGTACGAAGAACTTGTTTGACAGATTTTTTTTTTTTTCCAATTTGTTAAACACGATGTTGAAGCATAAGTTCGGTTTCCATTTTCCAACTTTAATTGTCCCTGAACCGTCGGAAAACGAGGCGTCATCATGTTTTTCATTTTGTTTTTCTATCGACTCAGAATCAGATTTTTCTTCTGGGACTTGTTAAACTGGACACTAATCGACATTTGCCACGAATTGCCAGAGTCCAAGCACCATGGCGTTCCCGTTGCTAGACGACGAGACCTTCACGGAGGTTCTAGCGCTTCTGGACGAGTACAACACGGCAGTTGAAGAGCCTCTCGTTCCCATCTGCAAAAATCCTCCGTCGGCTTTCAGTCGCGTCTCCGAGAGCGCCGCATGGGCCGCATTCGAAGCTGCACACCCCATCACGAAAAATGCCAGTAAGCACCGCAATGGAGCGCGCGAAATGCGACGCAGAGAGGTGCAATTCCTCCGCACATGTGTCGACGGCTTAGAAAAGCAGCTAACCGCGTTGAGAGAAGAAGTGGAGCAACGCGCACAGCTGAGAAATGCCACATTGGCGTCAGAAGACGCGGCTTTGATGAGCATGTGGCGAGATTTAGCCACACGCCAATTGGACCGGAGATTGGCGTCTGAAAGAGAGAACAGCAGACTCAAATGTGCATTGGAAGCTCACAACAAACTGCGAGAAATACTGCAACAAGCGTTAAACACGAAAGTTGCGCGAGAGGTACACAATAATTGGATTTTTTGGTTGGGAAAAAGTGATAATCATAATTTGTTTTAAATTTAATAGGCAATGGAAACGAGCTTGATACACGAAAAGAGGACGCGACGTGTGCATAGCGTACCGTTGGAAGCTGCAGATCGAGAAGTTTTCCAAGAGCTGGAAGTTGAGGTTGATAATGTGTACCGAGAAGCGGCAAATGTGTTTGACACTGGCGGAGGAACAAGTTTAGGTGTGTTTGGAGAGAAGATGTTGCCGTTTGATGTTCACACGACAGCGGAGGCTGCGTGGAGGTGTCTGGCACACGCGTTTCAGCACGAGAAGTGCCGCTTTTCCTACATGAGAGAGAGGCGGAAGGAGAATGATGAAATATTACATGATGATACAGTGGGGGAGAGCTTTGGTGTGGAGATTAAAGCGCCCGAACGAATGGCAGCCTTCCGGATTAAACAGGTTTTCCGTCGATATGTGGAGTCGGAGCAAACTGTGATCGCGTGGAGATCTTTTATCGACACGACAGAGTTTAAAGGCCAAAGTTTGCAGAGTGTTCGCTTTCTCGAGAAAGGATCGTGTGTCATTCGACAGCCGTCAAAGTTGCAAACTCCCAGTGACGAGTTCACTCTTTTGCGTATCTGGCATGTCATCACTCCGGAGAGTCAAACACGACCGGAAAATATGAGCTCAGAATTCGTACAAGGCCTTACAGACTTCGTACTGGGCGTATCATCGTCTGCGAGTACAGTGCAGACGATCGAAGACATGCTGATTGATGGACAGTGTACTGCGCGTCACAGCAATTACGAAGAACATGTGTGAGGCATAGTAAATGTAGTCATAGTAACAGTGAATACTAAAAAAAAATGTTTTGGTCTCAAAAATTCATGCATCTTGTCACCATCTGTCCGTCTTCATCTGCCCCCAAACTATCAAAAGGGATATCATTTCTCCTCTTTTCTCACTCGACTCAGAATCAGATGTTGCCTTCTGTGACGTATTGCTTCGGACGCCATTCAACAAAGTCACAATACCCCGCAGCATGTCGTTCCCTCTGCTGGAAGACGATGACGAGGCCTTCACGGAGGTCCTGGCGCTGCTGGACGAGTACAATGCGGCAGTTGAAGAGTCCCCGCGTGCGCACAGCCGGTCCAAGCATGCGTCGCCCTTCAGTTCGTTGGCTGAGAGCTCGGCATGGACCGCGTTCGAGGCCGCTCACCCCATCACGAAAACCACGAGTAAACATCGCAATGGAGCGCGCGAAATGCGGCGCCGAGAGGTGCAATTCCTACGCACATGTGTCAAAGGGTTGGAAACGCAGTTAACCGCGTTGAAAGAGGGCGCGCAACAGCGCGCACAGCTGAGAAATGCCACTACACATTCCGGTGGCCAGTCATCCGCCCTAATGAGCGTATGGAAGGACCTGGCGACGCGGCAATTGGACCAACGACTGGCGTCTGAAAGAGAAAATAGCAGACTCAAATGTGCAATGGAAGATCAGAAAAAAGTGCGCGAAATGCTACAACGAGCGCTGAATACAAGAGTGGCACGACGGGTAAGGAGACTCTGAGGTTGGATGAGAATTTTGAGTAATAACGCTTAACTTATTGATGATGCAGGTGATGGAAACGAACTTAACACAAGAAAAACGAACCAGACGAGTGCACGGAGTGCCACTGGAGCTGTCGGATCAGGAGGTTTTCCAGGAACTAGAGATGGGGGTGGACTCTGTGTATCATGAAGCAGCGAGGGTTTTCTTCCAAGCAGATACTGGAGATGGAACGTGTTTAGGAGTGTTTGGAGAGAAGACACTGCCATTTGATCTCCACACGACCGCAGAGGCTGCGTGGCGGTGTCTGGCTCATGCGTTCCAGCACGAAAAGTATCATTTTTCATACAGTCGCGAGCGTCGGAAGGATGAGTCTGGAGAGGTGGCACATGATGATACAGTGTGTGAAAGTTTCGGGGTGGAGATTAAAGCACCGGAACGGATGGCAGATTTCAGGATTAAACAGGTTTTCCGTCGATATCGAGAAGCGGATCGGATTGTGATCGCGTGGAGGTCATATATTGATCCGGCCGAGTTTAAGGGACAGAAACTCGAGGGCATTCGCTTCCAGGAGAAAGGGTCGTGTGTCATTCGACACCCACACCCGACGAAGCTTCATACTGCTAGTAACGAGGTCACATTATTGCGTATCTGGCACGTTATTACTCCGGAGACACTGGCAAACACAAATGGGACTATAAATAGTTCCCAATTTGTTCAAGATCTGACCGATTTTGTATTGGGTGGATCATCGTCTGCTAGTACAGTGCAGATGATTGAGAACATGCTGATTGAACAGTCTAGAAGAAACAATGCGGATTGTGTAGTGTAAAATGTTCAAAGAGCAATAGAATTTTTGGTTTCTATTAGATTTATTGTACCACTGGCATCATTGTTGCCTCCATCTGCATCGACTGTGCACGTAAAGCTCGCTCCAAACTCTCCACCGCTCGTTCTGGTCTACAGCCTTGAAGTAAAAACTCAGTCATGTCTTGTACCAACTTGGTTCGACCGCTTTTTGTTGCGTTGTCAGTGATATCTGGAGTGATCATTTGCCATGTATGAACGACGCAAGCACTATTACTATCGGTTTGAAAGGGCTCAATTACAAGAGCACCCTTCTCTTCGAATTGAATGCCGCTGAGACTCTCGCCTTTAAATGCTTCCGGGCTTAAAAGTGCTCGCCAAGCGATCACGACTCGACCAGCAGCCACATAACGACGAACGATCTGCTTGACTTTAAAGTCGAACAGAACTTTACCAAAGCGATGCTCCTCCCCAAAGCTTTCTACGATTGTATCGTCATGTACGAGGCCTGAAGACTAGGAGTAAGTGTAGAATAAGTGTAAGTGCACAATATCCGACCAGATTATTACTAGCTAAACAAACCTGATTCGTCTCGGTGTGGTAATAGAACCGAGTTGTTGGTCGTCTAAAGGAGTGTGCAAAGTACTGCCACGCCACGTCTCCTGTGAGTTCGACGCTATATGGCAAAATCTTGTCTGCAAATAATCGGGGGTGCGCGTTCTTGGCCGACGGGAAGAGAGTCACATCCGTCTCGGTTCCAGAGTTCGTATCGAGTGCAAGCACTCGAAGCACTTGACGCTGCACAAAGTCGATAGTTCCAGCCATATCTTTGAAGAGATAATTATCGTTACTGCCCAATGGAACAGGGTACTGTCGTCTGCATGGCCAAGGGTCTGGCAAGCGCTCGATCGTCTAGAATCAGGAAAATAGCGTTAAAATAAATACTATCTTTTAAAATAATAGTAACTCGTACCTCCACATGCCCCTGTTTACTACTCAAAATATGTTGAATACTTCGATTTGTCACTTCATTGTGTTCACGAATGAGTTCACGCAGTCGCTTGTTTTCCTCCTCTGCGCTCAGTCGCGTTTGGCGTTGATACAGAGCCATTTTCCTCCATAAATTTATTGTCTCTTGTTTGCCCACTGACATCGCTCTGATATTCATATTTTCCATCTCTAGGTGCAACATTTTGAGACGCTTTTCCAATGCTGGCAATTCTTCACGCAGCGCCAGTAGTTCTTTGCGCTGCTCCTCTCGTGCTCGATTCGGATTGTAGTTCCGTTTCTTCTTGGCTGTCTTCTTCGCAACTGTTACTGGTTGCTTCGCACTGACTTCTCCTTGCTCCCACGCTTCCACGAGGGATAGCGCTGCCTCCAGCACCTGATCGTCTTCCACGAGGTCCATCTCGTCCTACGCCCGAATCGTTTAAATAAAACTACGAAATGTCATAGACGATATCGTATGATTAGCTGGGATAGGAGGAATTCCATTTGGCAAATATTTTTCTTTAAATAAAACTGCGTATACAGTATACAAAGTACGTACCGCTTCTTCCCTCTTCAAGCGAAAGACGTGTGGAGCATACAGATAGCTCACTTGGAATTTTGAACTTCAGAGTGCAGACAACCATAACGACGAGGTCGGAACCTGAATGTACACGGCTGCAAACCGAAGCTCTGAATCTGGGTTCGATCACATGACGCGTGCTAGCATCAGAGCACGCATTACTCAGTGAGCTGAACCTTTCAACTTGAAAGCTTTAATAGTTAACAAACCGCACATGCGCTCGAGCAGAACGTGAACACACAGATCCGGTAACTCGATTGGTAAGCATGGCCTCAAAATGTATTCTACCGACAGCGGAATGCTCATCGCACGTAGTAAGTCCGATTGTATTGAAGTGACTTGAATTTTTTGTCAATCCCATCACATGCAAATTTACACGTAATCCATAATACTCATCAACCGTATTAACTGCATCAGGTGTAAAAAATTTTTTACATGTATATGATAGTGCTAATTGACTCAGTTTTACGGGGTAAAAATACGTCCGACCAGATTTGAAAGAAATCTGTAGCAATTTGCTTACAAATGTTATACTTAAGATGGGGTGTCATCACCGCAAAAACTGCCATCACCCTTTTCTTTCTAGATGCGAACCTTTTTCATTATTGCCGTTGCCGTGAGGCCGTCATTTACAGTACTGCTAGATACAGTTTTGCTGTCCAGACGGCTGTGAGTTTCCCTACAGTTTGTGATTTGACCACAAACACACACGCACCAAAAATGAACTACCAGAGAATATGGCTGCTACTTGTTGCTGTCTTCTTACCAAGTCTTTTCGCACAAACACCCATTGGCCAGGTCCATAAGACGAAGGTGAACGATCTTGATGCAGTCGTCAAGACGAACTCTATCACAAGCAAAACTCCGACATCCTCTAACCGAATGTTGAGATTGCGCGACGCATCCGTCCGGGATACGGTCGGTGGTGACAATGGAAGTGGCGAGGAGAGGGTGAACACACATGCGTTATCGAGGATCGACGATCTAATACACAAACTTTTCAAGTCCAATCCGGAGAAAGCGCAAATCAAAGCATGGGTGAATTCCGATGTGCATCCTAAAATGCTTTTTGACGTTTTGCGTCTCGGAAAGGGTACAGCGAAGCTGGATGATGATCCAAACATCCTCGCTTGGCTCCAGCTTGTAGCGGCATTCAGAGCTAAGAATGGGGAGCAGGCTTTTTCGGATCTGGACATCTATTACTTGTTGCTGAAGACGAAAAGTGCAGAAGAACTGTCCAATCTTCTCGAATCTCTACAAAAGGTTCCAGCCTTCAAGAAGCTTGCCGCGAGTATGCAGAAGTCTTTGTCTGGAACGTGGATACCCAAAACCTTAGAGCACGAAACGAACCCAAGCATCCTATTCGATACACTACGCCTGAGAGATGCTGGTGCAAAACTGGGTGACTCGCCAATCTTTCACCAGTGGCTGTATTACGTAGAGAAGTATCGCGCAAAGAGAGGGGATCACTGGTTCGGCGACATCGAAATGCTCGCCGTGTTTCGAAAGACAATGCCGGAAGATGAAGTAGTTCTTCTGATTCACAAGATTCGAAACATCCCGGGTATGAAGAACCACGGCGATATGATGCAGAGATTTCTGTTCTTAACGTCCAAAACCAGCCAAAAAACAATGAATGAGGTGTGGTTAAAGTTCCAAGTGCCCCCAGAAGAAGTTTTCCGGATTTTAGCTCTATCTAAGGCTAGGATGGATGGTCTCGACGATAACACAATGTTGATCCATTGGCTCAGGTACATCAAATTGTACAGGGGTCACACAAAGACGAACGTGTTCACCAGCGAGCAAACCGTGCTTTTCCTGACGAAGGCTAAACCATTTCAATCAGAATGGGAGTTTGCAACACTATTCCAATCGCTAAAGGACGTCCCAGATTTGAAACCATTCGCCGAAAACATGCAATCTTCCCTGTTTCTAAAATGGTTACGAATGGAGTTTGACCCGAATCAAGTTTCGCATTTCTTGACTCTTCCCTATCCTACGAACGCTGTGAGACTGCCGAAGAGCCATCCCGTATACAGGACTTGGGAGAGTTACACACTTTATTTCACTAAAAGGAAGGGTGGCAAACCTCTGCTGAAGAAAGTGAAGGCACTATTCGACAACGACAACCCGACTGGTGCGCTTACTGCAGTTATGAAGGCACAGTAATCTGATCATTCGATGAGTAAGAATATCGAGCAATGCTTTAGAGAGTAAGGTAGATTCTTTGATGTTCGTCACTGCCTTCCTCTCTCACGCTACTACAACCTCTATGGTGATCATAAAGTACAAGTTGGACACTATAAACCATCTAAACTCTTTCTGACGAGCAACTGTAGGAATCATTGATTTCACAGTTGCAGCGTTTTTCCATTGCCCAAATCTTAATTTTAAGTGGCGTTACAGATGATTAATGGGCCAAGCGTGCAAGACTTGATGGAGTGGCTTCGCAAAGGGAAATAGTTACTTAACTAGTAGCATTGTCATTGTAGAAAAGCGATATATTTTTTTTGCTTGAGTTTGTAAATGATACCGATTTTTTTTTGTTTTGCATATTTGAACGCCGAGTTACGCACTAAATCAGTTGCGCATAGTTCGGGACTCATCGAACAAACTCTACTATACGTAATGCGCAATAACATCACTTGAATTCTTTAAAGATAATTGGTTGCATCAACAACGAAGTTTTCTGCCAGCACTTACCAACCCTTGTGAGCGAACCAGAACCCAACTGCAATTTTCTTTAGACAACCCTTACACTCCTACGGCTTCCACCTGGACAAGAGTAGCGGTCATACTAGCCAGACTTGGGTCCTTTTGAGCTTCTTGAACCTGCATCTGGGCAGCAATGAATCGCGCGATCTTCTCCTGTTGCAGTTGTCGCAAGAGCGCGTTCAACGCGTAGATTTCCGCACGTCGACGTTGTTTGGCATGCGCAGCGTGGTTCAGTCGGCGCTTTTCTTGCTCTTGTTTGGCTTGTCGAGCACGCTCTTCCTCACCTCGCCGCTCCTGCTCCGATTTCTTCCAAACACTGACACGTTGGGCTGCCTTTCTTGCCAAATCGGTACCGTTGGATACTCTACGCGCAGCTTCGTTGTTAGTGGAGGCTGTGCATCCCGACACAGAGGGGGCGTCTTCATTGGTGTTAGTAGAGTTGCCGTCTGCGGGCTCGTTGGGAAATGGAGCAGCTCGAGCAGCGTCTTTGGTGATCGGCGTTCTTGCAGCATTCAGTGCCGTCCCTCGTGGTAGCTGCTCGATCGTTGCCACATGCAGTGACAAGCTCGTCTTGCTTGACACCATCTCCGAGTCGGGAGCGAGAAGTAGAAATGATTAAGAGAGAGCTGCATTGGTTAAGTCTAGGGATGAAGTTCATTCGAGGATGAGGGACATCCTCACACTGGTCGTTGTACCATGTGGAAGATTTTCGGTTCTGAGGAAGCTTGATGTCCTTAGCAGGTACCGGTAGTATATTTTTGAACAAACTCTACTAAAAAGTAGTCTGATGCTCAGGTTTGGTGGTGCCGTTATTGTTGAGGCTTTTGCTGACGCATCACTTGAGACGGGAGCAGTAGCTGCGGTCCACTCTTTGGCTTAGTGTCACCCTTCGGCACCCACTTCTTCTGAGTGTTTGGTGACGTTTGTTTCTGTGCGGCGTTGCTTTCGTTTGATGCATTGGTCTTCTTGTGTTTTCCACGGTTGTGGTGTTTCTTTGGCTCGGCCGCAGGCGTATTGGGTTTCTTGTCATCGTTGGAAGGTGTAGCTCCAAGAGGAGGGTATTCTTCTTCACTAGGTGGCATGGGAGTTTGTGTCTGCGGTGCGTAAGATCCTGGAGGTGGCGAAGCGTACATCGGTGCGTACGAACCATCAGGCATGAGGAAGAGCTGCGGCTGCTGTCCAGGCATCGGCGGCTGCGTAGGGTAGTACGCAGGAGGTGGAGCCATGTACTGTGGCGTCGGAGCACCATTCGGCAACGGAGGTGTAAGCAGAGATGCACTAGTAGAAGAGTGTTTATACTGGTGAGGGAACAAGCCCATCAATGGGTCCGCTGGAGGCGTAGGAGCTGCAGCCTCAGCGACCGAGAAGAACGCAGCGACAGACGGAGTTAGCTTCTCCTCTGGCTTGGATGCTGTAGGATTTGCTGGTGCCTTCGCACCGTTGCCTTGCTGAGATGTAGTAGTCTTCACGCTTACTTGAGTAGCGACTTCACCGTCAAAACTCCACTTTTGAATAAGTTGCTGGATCTTCTCCGGAGGTGGTGGAGGTGGCATAGCACTAGGAATTGGTGGGGGCGGTGGCACCAACGGCGTCGGGGTCGTCACAGTCTTGTCATTTGGCTTGAGAAGTTTCTTGGGCCCTCGAGTGTTGGTGCTGATGACTGGCATTCCGCCAGACGTGCGACGTTGACTAGCATTGTTGTTCTGCGCATTTCTATTCTGTGCCTGCTTCGAGCGAGTATTGTGGTTCTGCTTCTTCGTTCCAGGAGGAACTGACACACACAGCAAGTTGTTCCAAGCCACGATCTTGCCGCGGTCTAGACTCGTCGTTCCGTAAAGAGCCTCTCCACCTGTGAAGCTCTCGTCGAATAGCACCTCGACGCATCTACTGCTCACATGCGTAGCAACAACAGTGCCACGATGACCGAAGGGCACTCCACGCGCACTAATGTTAATCACTCGGTCGCCTAGATTCGGTGCTCCACGGTTCACTGATGATCGCTGCGATACTTCCTGTCCCGTAAGGTCCTGGTTCACCAGTGGGTTGGGACGGAATAGATCCGCAGCGTTGACTGTTGCAACAACAGGAGCACGACGTTGTTCATCAGCAGCCTTAGCTCGCTCCTTCGCACGCAACGTTCCAGCGGCTTCCATAGCGCGAACAGCATTGAGAGCGATATACTCGGACGTGATCGGAATGTGTTTCGAGTGTTCGCTGGCACCTAAGCGTTGCTGCTCAATCCACTGCTTGACCGCTTCTGCCTTCACCTCCACGCGCTCGGTATCATCGATTCCAAACACGTCCTTACCTTGATACGTCGTGGCAAACGGTAGACGACTCAGGTTGCGAACAACTTCTGGGAATTCCTTCTGGTAGTTCGCGATCAACTGCACCGCACGCTCAGTGTACTCCCACGCAGTGCTGCTACCATTTTTCGTCGGAGAAGAACCCGAGTTCGAGTTATCAGTGGAGTTGTTGCCGCTGCTTCCAACGATCTTGACAATATCACCTTTCCTCCAAACATTGGTATCATCGCTTGGGTTGGAGCTGCTATTGTCGCGATTCACGAGTCTACAGTAGCCAGGGAGCAGCAGCTCCTTGCGGTAACGAATGTTCAGTCCGATATCAGCACTAATTGGCTTGATAATCACACTTCCAGTGATCAAACCCAACGTAGACGCCGAGATACCCAACTTCTGGGCCACCAAGTAGCCCGGGAAGAATCGATCTGTGATTTTCTGCGCGATAACGTAACCAAACGGCGGCTCCTGGTCGATCGTGTTCACATGGACAGTAACAGTGTGCTGCTCTTCGTCCTGAGAACGCACAATAGCGGTACAACCCAGCCACTTCCCACGCGTGATCAGTGCCTTTGAGTCGACAGGGAAGCGCTCACTCAACGGCAACGTGTCGGTTTCCTCAAACCTCGCATCCAGCAGCTTACGATTACGAACCGTGAGTTGAGCAGGCACGAATGCCTCGGTCTCTCCGAACTTCTTCTCGATAGCACCTGTAAGCGGGTTGGACACCATACCTTGAAGCGGCAAGACGTGCAACACGGTCGTAATTCCAGTCCTGCCTAGATCGATACCTCCGCTGCCAGGGATGCCACGACCAGACAACAACTTGACCACTTCTGTCTGCGCATAGTACGCCCACGCACTCTTCTCGTCCGGTCCATACGGCGTGAAGACAACCTCGGTCTGCTTCCGTCTGTTGTTGTTGTGCTTGCGACTGGACTGCTCGAGACGGTATTCTCCCGATAACATACTGATACCAACAACAAGCACCTCGTGAAGGTTCGGCCAATTCGCTAATACTGTAGTGCCCAGTAGTTCGCGCGGGTTGATCTCGTCAGCAGTAGCATTGTCGCTGTCGTTCAAATTTCCTGAGACAGGAAGCTGAAGGATGAGACTAGACTTGCGTGAGCTCATACCGAAGCAGTTCAAGCCGACACTAGCAATTCGCGTACTCTCTAGAGTCACAGTGTAAAGCGACGGGAAGCCAGCAAGCGGAAGAACAACACCATCCATCAGTTTGCTCTGGAACTCGCCACCAGGGATTGGCGGAAGATCGTAGTCTTCTACACGAGTATTGCAGTAGAGCACATCCGGGAAACCAACAACTCCAGGCAAGGTGGACTTCAACGTGTCCAGGACTGTCAAGTCTCGAACAATTCGGATAGGCAAGCGCTGCAGCTTGTTACGCTGCATCTCGGCCTCCGTGAGTTGAGAATCAGGACAGTACTGCGCGATGGCCTGCTTCAGCAATGCTACATCAATAAACGGCAGCAGATTCACACCTTCCCACGCGTTACGCTTGCCTTCCATATCAATTGCAAACGTCTCTGGGTAGAAATGTTTGATCGGCGACAACGGCGAGATCATGAGGAATCGGTATGGTTCCGGCACGAGATTGGCGCTTGAAGCTGGCAGATTCGACATTAGCTGCTCAAACGGCAGCAACGGGCCAGCGACTGACGGATCTTCGTCGAATTTGACATTCGTAATCATGTCTTCAATATCCGTAAGATCAGAAACCATCGGTGCGTAGTGGTAAGGGTAGTACCATGACCAGGACTGGGGGCCTTGGAAGTAGTAGGCGAGACACCAGACTAACGCCTCCATGTACGACTTCTTCACTTGCTCCAGCTCCTTGTTGCCTGCATCGCCATTGCCTCGCTTGATGCCATATTTCCGCTCATAGTAATTCCACTTGGTGTCCTGGAAACTCTCACTTCCAACCAGCAAAAGTACCTCACGGTCACTTCGTTCGAGTTCAAAAGACATCCTAGTCTCTTCAGGGCCGTCCAGCGCCTCTAGCAACGCACGCTCGGCTTCTTCCTCGTCCTCTTCGTCGTCAAGTAAAGGTGGCGGGATGTCATCGTCGTCATCTCGAAGCGCCATGATCGCTCTCTGCACCTCCGCTGCGTCAACATCATGTTGCTTGGACTGTTGTCGTCCACCACGACGTCCTGAGCGTCTCTGCTCCTCCATAGCTCGATTGATCAGGATCTCTTCTTCTTGGTTACCAATAACTTGGAACAGTTCCTGCAGCAACTTAACGTTCGTGATCTTACCGTTCAGCGTAAGATAACTTCCCTTATGAGTCTCCAGTAGTTCCCGATACACCTTCAGCAGCAATGGGATGGCATCCTCACTGATCTCCAGCGTCGGGCTGTGTGGGATAAAGTCATTTCCTAGCAAGAAAGTCAGCAAAATGAAGTCATCCAGCATGCGTTCTCCATCGAGTGGCGGCTGTACCCTCATCTCCATCATCAGATACTCTCGGAACAGACTCAGATGCACCAGTTGCCACTGCTGTTCTTCGATCTGCTTGGCTGCGACCTTCTTGTGGTGACTGCCCCACACTACCGTCTCTCTCACGAGTGTAAAGTGCGGCTCGTGAGTCATGAGTCCCAGTAGCATCAGATCTGCGTCACTGCCGTACATACAGTGGCGCATATTGGCCTCATAGTCCTCCGCCATCTTCCTGTGGCGGATAAACTCGACGATCTTGTGCTCTCCCTCTCCGGGCACTTCGCTGCCACTGAAGAAAACCTCGAGTCTGGCCCAAAGAGGGTCATTCTTCATCTTTTGCCGTACAAAATACACTAAATGTTGCGAGAGTTTACTCAAAAACTCGGTACCGGGCGTAATGCAGTTCGAATCGAACTTGTTGGCCACAGATTTGGCCTTGTGGCCGTCTTTTTCGTCCTGGAGCTTGATTTGCATGTATCGCTCCTTGTCCATGGCCTGCTGGCGATCCAGACCGGCGCGGAACCGACGCGAGCGCTGCTGGTTGAGTTTAGCGCGCGGGGCCACGCCGTCGATGGCGATGTACACGAGCTTCTTGGGCTTGATGATGTGCGTGATAAGGCGATCTAGATACGTGAAGATGCCGTGCAATTGGCCCTCGAGCGACAGCGAGTTGAGCGCGTCATCTGCCGCATCCGAGTGCGTGCAGTTGTGCACGATGCCGTTCATATCGAGGTAGAAGGCGTCGAACTCTGGCAATAGCGACACATCCGAGATAGGCTGATTCAGCAGCGGATACCGCTCCGACATGTACCGGTAGAAGCGCGGGATGCCCATGGCGAACCGAGAGGAAGCGGGATCTATCTACGTGGTCGTCTCTTAGCGGATGCGGAATTGATGAGGGGAGCTTTATGCTCACAATCTAAAGTTGCGCTAATGTTGCTAAGTCCAACCTTTATAGTCGGATTGAGCAACATTATCGCAACTATAGATTGTGAGTGATGGTCATAATTGGTTACGAAAAGGGTACGCAAAAAAAGGTGACGTGATGGAAGATGGGTGTATTACTTGTAGTGGTGGCAACTTTGGTGGCAAGGGTCAGCTTGGGCAATGATCGATCGCTCTCCAGCAAGGAATCCAGCACTGCAATTGAGTTGCTACGTCAACTGGGATTTGCGAGCTTGGGAGGCGAAGGATGTGATGCACGGGGTGGAGAGCAAGGTTGGATGCTATCATCCACGCCGTGCTGTAGCCCTGCTGCTAAGCAGGGGTACGGGAAGGTGAGCCTTGCATCACTCTGAGCCACTTTCTCACATGATGGTAACTTGAATCCAATCGTCCTGGGGGGTCGTTAGCCTTGACGGTCAGTCAGCATCTTCTCTCGAGTTCTGTCGAAGTTGCAGGCGGCACGAACGTTCACACATTCCACTCGCTCCAGAACTTTATCACTCGAGTCCATCTTCATCTGCACGTCCAGCCAGGCCGCTCTGTCCAGACAAAAGTGAACGATTAGCAATTGAAATCTATACAGCGCATGAGTTAGCCTCTTCCGTACCTCTGCAAGAACTGCTCTTCCAACTCGAGTCCAGGACATGCCATAAACACACTCAGGACGCACAGATCTCCATGCTGCAAAGCGACTCCGGCCAAGTCCTTGGTAACATACGGCTCAGAGTTTACAGCCACCACTGTAGGCATCAAATGTGCTCCCGAAGTCGCCGTGAACGGCAGGAAGGACTGATTTGTATCACCATTTTCCGAAACTGAGATGCAGTCGGTCACGTGGACTCGCGAGCGACTCATACTTTGCACCACGACGAACAGCTCTACGACTTGCATGACTGCGGCTTTGCCGTTCACCAAGACCGTCCTTGTCGTGTGTCCGTTTGAGCGATGAGAAAGCATGCCCCACACACTAACACCCTTCGTCCGACCAGAAGCAAATAACTGTCCACCACGCGTGAAGTTGGAGCAATCTGGAATACGGTTGGCTACGTGGAACTTCTGCCACTGCTCGAGTGGCTGAGGAATGTCAATCTGTGGGGAAAATCTCCACCGTGCACGACAAAGTTCAGTCCACAGCTTGTCGCTTTGTGCTGCACGCCTCAGTTCGCGAGATGTACGCATCACTGCCACTAAAGTCCACGCATCGCAGAACGACAGAATCGTAGGAATCTCCTGAGCACTCCACTCGAAAACAGACGACTCAGAAGAGACCGAGCTACTAGTAGCAGTGCCCTCTATGACTTCAGCCTCGAGCGAGCTTGAAACTGGTTCTGAGATCGTCGTGGCCTCGCTTTCCACACTTTCAACTCGTCCACGCTTCCGATTAGACGCGTCGGTAGTCCGATCAGGAGCAGCACGTTTCCGGGTCATTCCTGTGGACGTAACAACAGGACAAGGCATCCACAACATCGGTGTCAACGGGAGATTAGTTCCAATAGCCCCGGCGTTCCACGGGTGGCTCTGCGAAGGGTTATACGGCAGCAAGGGAGGACCACCTGGACCACGAACTGAGCTGGCAATATTGTGCTGTCCCATCGCCATTCCATGAAGCTGAGGATGGTGCAGCGGGATGGGCGTCTTCCTTGCAGAGTTGTGTTGCAGTCCTTGAGGCTGTGACTGTTGTCCGGCCTTAAGTGCATTCACCTGCGCAGTCAGCTTCTCAATATGTTCAATGGTCTTCTCCAGAATCTTGGCTCGGTTCAATTTGCGGTCTTCCTTCAAGTGTAAAATGTCCATCAGCTCTTGAAACCTCGAATTCAGGTCTTTACGGTTGATTTTCGCGCGTTTCTTCTTCCTCTCGTAGTTGGTTTCTAGCTGTAGTAACCTAGACGGGTTGGTCGCAGCGCAGGGCGTCGATGGAGAACCGGAAGACGAAGACGAGTAGGTTGTGGTCGCTTGGACTCCCCCGAGTGAGAAGAATGCTGCATCACTCAGCACCCCGACGTCTGCCATTGCACTAGACACTGCGACGTCTTCGTGGAGCTGGAAATTCTGCGTCTGGTGCTGTGAATCCCCATCATCGTGCAGTAAATCGTCGAGGAAAGTCTGTGGAGCGCTAGAAGTTGCAACAGTGGACGTTAAAAGCGCTGCCAGTTCGTTAAGTTGCGCGTTGCTGGTGTTGGGCAGTAGCAGTCGCTGCTGGTGCGTCGAAGTGATGGTGGACGTGGTCGTCGAAGTGGAGGAGGAAGAAACGGACAGCTCCTCGTCGTTCAGCGCCGGCCACAGCGCACTGCTGCGTGTAGGGAACGTGTCGGTACCCGTTGCCATGAGCAGAGAGTCCAGTAACAGCGCGGAAAAGCCCGTAGAGGTAGCTACTAGAGCAGCACTTGAGTCTCCCTCGGTGTTTTCTTAACTGGTTTTACTAAAGGGTGGGCGGACGAAAGAAGACATATGATTGGTTGAAAATCAGAACTATTTCCAGAATGAAATTCCAGTTCCAGATCATGAACGTGGTGTACGTGATCTTGTCGCTAGGTCACTGACGGTCAGGTAAGACAGCTCTCGGAAGCTTTGCTGGGTGTCGACTCTGATCCGGCACCGGTAAGAGGAAACAGACCTCTTTGTCTGTCGACAGTCGACTCGACTTGCAGGGCATCACTTTTGAATCACTCCCTCCGACAGACTAGCCATCGACTCAGACTAGAGCTCTTAGCTGGCTACGTAAGACTTTTTGATAGAGTCTTGATGATCCCTGCAAATGAACTACAGTATTTGGGTGTTTCAGGTTGGATCATTCTCCCCAATGACGGCAGGTACATAGCATTGGAACAGCGCCTTAGACACGCTGTGGATGCTCATGGTTTTGCTGAGCATGAATAATTTGATATCCAGCAGCAATGTTGATTGCCATTTCGCTTAGAGCGAAATCTGTCAGCGCACCCGTGATAGCACCGTCGTCCGTCAACGAGTGGATGGGTGTCTTTCGGTGGATGAGATAGTATGCCCGCAGCAGTGCATAGTTCTTGACATTACTATTTTGCGAATAACAATGTAGCCTTTCTCGCGGAATTCTGCTCCGCGCAGTTGCGTACCAGAGAACTTGACCGGTTCAATAAATCCCCGCCATATAATTTCCACGCGATCTTCGTTCACGAATGGACGTAGTCCATTCGCATATAGCCCCACATTGAAACTCTCAACAATCGTATCGTCCAGACTCTACAAAATAAAGCGTTATTTTTCCAAGCTCAACTCCTAATATAAGCATCTGTGGTGTTTCTGATACACGTATCGAAAGAGTATTCGCACCATTGACTTGTCAAAGTACCACGCTGTAGTTTCCCATAAGTACTCTTATCACCACTTTGTGCTCGATAATTTAGTGATCAACACTTAACCTATCGGTAAGTATGTTTGTCCTCCCAGTATTAGTGATTGTAATGAATCCTGAAGACAGAGGTTGCACTGTTTGAGAAAACCAGAATATCAGATAGAATTGGAATACGAATTACATCAATTTAGGATAACATTTGAATCCATTTCAACGTAAGAAAAGGGATCACATTCATCGGCTTTGTATTCATTCACTAAGGCTTACAGCTGCCATCTTTTTTTTAACTACGCTACACCACTTCACAAGGGCTTACATTGTCTTTCGCCCGCCGACTACTTTTCTCCAACAAAACCACGTCAGGCTCTTCACTTGTCCTTCGACTTGCCGGTGACGTCCGACTTGGCTTCCTTCGACGACTTCGCCTTCGATTCCGTCTTGCTCTCCTTCTCGACTGACTTGGTGGTGGCAGCATCCGTGGGTTCGGTCGCAGACTCCTTCTTACCATCATCAGCACCGACACTGGAGGCAGACTCATAGCCAGAGTAGCCCGGGTAACCATAGCCGTAATTGGAGTAGCCGTAGCCGTAATCGGGGTAGCCGTAGCCGTAGCTAGGATAGCCATAGCCATACGACGAGTAGTAGTCCGGGTAGTATCCGTAACCATAACCGTAGCCATAGTCATAGTCCTTACCGTAGGACGAGTAGTAATCGGGGTAGTAGCCGTAGCTGTATCCCTTGCCGTAGCTGTAGTAGTCGTTGCCGTGGCCATAGTAGTCGTCGCTGTAGTCATCGCAGTCACCGCCGTAGCTCTTGTAGCCGTAGCTGTAGCCACTGCCATAGCCCTTGTAGTCATAATCGTCGTGGCCGTAGCCCTTGTGCTTGTAGTCATCGTGCTTGTAGTCATCGTGATTGTAGTCGTCGTGCTTGTAGTCGTCGTGCTTGTAGTCGTCGTGCTTGTAGTCGTCATGGCCGTAGCTCTTGTGTTTGTAGTCGTCGTAGCTATAGTCGTCTTTGCCGTAGCGATAGTCCGAGGACTCGGTGGCCTTGCTGTCCTTGTCTTCGAGACGGCGGCGGTAGTGTGAGCGGTCATGATCGTGGTGGTGGCGGTGCTTCTTGTGATCGTGGTCGTGGTCGTGCTTGTGCGGGTGGCGTCCGTAGTCGTCGTAGTCCTTGTAGGAGCCGAGTTGACGGCGCGGAGCCATTCCCGCTGGAGCGCCACGGGCCGTGGCATGGGCGTCGGATGATTGCAGGATGGAGGCAACGGCACACAGGCCCAGCACGACGAGGATCTTGGAATGCATCTTGGAGACGGTGTTGCTTAACGTGAAGTTGTTAGGCAGGGTTTTGCGGTCGGTCGGCTGGTTGGCTGGCTGGCGGGCTGGCTGGCTGGCTGGTTGCTTGTCGGATGCCGGGGAGGGGGCGAGATGAAAAGTGGGAGAGCGTGGAATGGTTGATCGGACTGAGCTGTCTCCGCACTAGATCATTGTGGTCATCCGTCATTAGTCTCTTACAATGGTTCAACTGAACCTCCTCCGTTGTGATTGATCGGGGAGTTGGTAGAAAGGGAAGCGTCGAGAGAACGACTCCTTTCATCACGAGAATGAATGGCTCTGATCTATGGGACTGAGGACCTTATACTGAGTCACTCTTCCACAGTTAACCATTCTCCAGTTCACTAACACCAATCTAGCCAAATTCTAACACCCCCTACTATTACAACGAAACAGTAACCCTAAAGACTAGCATGGTGCTTAACATTTGGTGTGTAGCAAGAATCGCCGGCATGATCACAAGAAGCACAACCAGAAATCTGGCCATAACGACTACTACCACTAACGTTATTGCTACTGAGCTGTCGGTGCGTGCGAATGAGTTGTAGTAGTTGTAGGATGGATGTATCCAAGTCTAATAGTTCAGTGATAACCGTGCAATATATCGATGCGTGTGCCGTGTTACCAGTGACTTTGTTAGACAGTGATAGCATTGACCCAAAATCTTCTTCATGGCGGCCAGCCTGGCTATTATTATGCAGTATTCCTGCTATTCGGTGCCGTCCGTGAAAGCGACGAGGAAGACTCGGACACCAGTATTTCGTATCAGTTATTTTTTTACTGTTGTGTTTCGGATCAACAAGTTGCCAAGCAGACTAATCAGATATATTTTTGAATCCGGACCACTTCAACGTAAGAAAAAATGGGGATCCCATTCATCGGCTTTGTATTCATTTACTAAGGCTTACAGCTGCCATCTTTTTTTAACTACGCTACACCACTTCACAAGGGCTTACATTGTCTTTCGCCCGCCGACTACTTTTCTCCAACAAAACCACGTCAGGCTCTTCACTTGTCCTTCGACTTGCCGGTGACGTCCGACTTGGCTTCCTTCGACGACTTCGCCTTCGATTCCGTCTTGCTCTCCTTCTCGACTGACTTGGTGGTG